TTATTATTAAAATAACGGCATTATTACTTTTTGTATCCTTGCTTACTCATTATATAAGCTTTAACTTTTAAATGTCAGTTATTTTAGCCTGCTTAAACGAGCTTATAATCACTTAATTAAGGATTTTATTTAGCGTTACATAACCTACCTTTCAAAATAAGACTTTTTTGTAGCGTCTTATATAGCATATAATGCTGATATAACACTAAAAACCATTTAAGTAGGTTTTAATATTACTAGCTTTATTTCTTTTAACTTAAGAGGTATCATTTTAAAGCTAGATGCTATTATTATCGTACAAGTACCGTTATTAAACCTTAATTTATTACTTCTTATTTAAACTTTGAAAACGCTTATTATTATTATTAATAAATCGGTAACTTAGCCGGCTGATATTGAAACCCAAATTAAGAACTATGAAAGAAGCTTACTTATATTAATTGTTTATATATTAAATTCGTTTTTAAAATTCATATACAATCTTCTACACAAAGTCGATCTAATTAATTACCAGCTCTGCGAGTTACAAAGGTTAATTACTTGCCAAATAAACGCCGGAAATACTAAATAATTGTTTGATAAAGAGAAAAATACCTTTCGTTAAAAATGCAGTAGGTTTTTAAGCTGTAAAAGATAGTATTAAGCTAATAAGATAAAACATAAGTAAAGGTAATCGTTGTTCAAAAAGGGTGGAAGCGCGTAAGCGACGGTGTGGCGTTTACAGTAATACTAGCTATAATAAGCGAATCTGTATAGTAGAGGTAAACCCGTTTAAAGAAAAAATCCGATTAATTAAATTGAATTAAAATGCGTTATAATTAAGTTATTTAACATGTTATTTAAAAGGTTTATAATGGCTTGCAGCTCGCTTGTTATTGTGACGGCCTGCACAGACCTTCCCACATAACAAGCCGATACCTCCCAATAAGGGAAGGATCTGACCAGAGGATCCCCTTAAAGGGACAACCTTCCGCTGTACCTATCTTTCTCTTTTTTCTTTCCGCTCTAGTCTTGATATTCTCGTTAATAGAGTAATAGCTGCTTGCTGCAGGCCATGTCTCAGCTCCTCAGTATCCTCGCCGTAAAATTTATTTACGTTTTACTTTAAATATAATAATTTAATGAATTTAAATATGAAGACAATTATTGGAACAGGCTTGAACGATCAATCATAATACTCGAGTATTGGGTCAAGGTCATGATGTTGCTGATAGTTGGATTGGGAAGTCTAGCTGAACCTGAAGTTCTGGCTAAGTGACCTCACAATCTGGTATCTAATCTCTTATCTAATCATACATATAGGTTCTGTATGGATGGTTTGACTGTGGAATCACATGTATCCAACAACAATATTAATAAAAGCCTTTTTAAGGTCTAAACTAACAGCGCTCAGCTATATGTTATTATTAATCCGATTTATTAAATAATTAAATAATAATATCGTAATAAAGAACCGCGTGGCTAATATAATAGAGACCAAGCTATACTTAACGTTAAAGTTGATAGAAGTATGCAAATCGTAAAACATTGTGATAAAAACAAGCCTTTAATATAAATTATAATAAATTCATCGTTTAAAATAAGTATAAAATATATTAACTAGCAACAGTTAAGTTATAAGCTATTAAATAGATAGACCGGCCTTTTTAAAATTATAAAAATTTATAATTTTGAGTTTACATACAAAATCGACTTGTTATCATTATATGACCGCATATATAACGCGTTTTTCATTTTGGTTTTTTAAAGGTATAATCAAAGAGACCTAGCTTTAAAAAGCGTTTATAGCTTAATATTAATGCGGGAAAGTTATAAATAATTGATTATATTGTTAACTACTATGACATAAGTAATCAACGCTAATACTTTATTTAGTAAGAAGGATTTTTTCAAAGAGAATATATAAAAACTGTTAAAAGATTATTACCTAAAGTTATTCAAGATCATGAAATTAATATTAGTTATAAAAAGATAAAAAGAATAAGGGTGTTTGAGTATAGTTTAAAAAGTAAAATGTTTAATTATAGTTAGTATTATTGATAACCTGGTTTCAAGTGTAAGTTATTATGATAAATAACTTACAAAATAGTTAAGATAATATTACCTTTTTTATAACGGTGACGAAATAACTGTACTATTTAAAATTAAAAATTAAACATTGCGGTATACATCAGGCTTATTATAGAACGGGTTAATCAGAAATACGATATAGATGAGAATTGAATTTACCTTGTCGTTTATAAGGTTCTTTTAAATTAATCGAAATAGAGTTTTTTTAAACAGTTGTTTTTTAATTTAATAACGGATAAACGGCGTTTAATATTTATTGTAATATTAATAGCAATAATACCGGGATTAATAAGGCAGTTTGTAAATAACGTACCCCATTAGATTAGAATATTTACGCGTATTAAATTTTAATTTATACATGGGTTAGGTTTATATACAAACTAAGTATAAATCGGATAAAGAATAAATTATATTGAGGTTGGCATTTCAAACTTTAGAAAACCCCACTTTTTACATTTAAATTAAAAAGTTTTTAATAACGTCCTAAAGTTTATTAGCCTTAATGCGAACGAAACCTAAGACCTGTTCAAATTCGTTGGAATGTTGTATTAAATCTATAATATATATATTTTTAATAACGATACTTTTAGTAATAATCGTGTTTAAATATTCCTATTACTTGACTTTTAATATAATAAGAGGTTAATATAAAAGAGTGCGGAGAGAGCCCGGTACGTATTTATTTTTATAAACCAACGAACAGTGCGGCCTTATAGCAGGCCAAGAGGAGACGATTGGAAACAGGTTGACCAGTAAGTGGGGTGCTGATCAGTGGAGAGATTGGAGCAACGAAGCAACGGTACACAGATCACGTGACCAGCAGAACCTGGATCACGTGACTAACGATTTGGATCACTGGATCACCTTGGATCACCGGTGATCCAGGGTGAGCCACCTAATTAGTGAGGGAGAGATTGGATATATAAGGACAGACATTTCCCAACTAGGTAGATAGACAGTCTCTACCTCAGTGATCAATCTAAGCATCTTAGCCAACCCTAAGGTGGGAGAAATCTCCTGATGACTCGACTACACAGTGAACCCAGTTCAGACTAAGCCCCAGCATCTAAGTGTCTTCTATTTGACAGAAGCCTCTATTATCCTTTGTGTTAACTTACCTCAGAACATAAACCCTATAGAACCCTTTAGCCTTATAGGTTAGATGGCTCGTCACATTTATATCGTATTAATAACGCATGCTACAATTTATAAACCCTTTTTTTATATAAAGGCGGTTACGATTTTAATTATTAATTATTAGCAAACTGGATTTAAATCGGATCCGTTTTAAGTAACTTTATATAATAATAGTCTTTTTAATTTTATTAAAAACAGAGCTACACTGAACCTTTATAAGTCTCCATACGCGACCCTTCCAACAAACCACGGTAAATCCATCATATCGGTATAAGCATACCAGAATAAGCTGTTAGATCTTTATTAGCCGTCTCTGACGCTTATTTCAGGGTGCTTATTCCAGTATTTCTAACTATCCCACTGCTTTGCTAGAATCTTGCCAACATGGGCGTACGGAGACTTATAAGGGCTAAGTGTAGCTTTATTATTACAAGACGCGGAAGTTATAACTGAAAAACGGTATCGTATTAAGTATGGTATAAAAATGGATTAAAAATGTTTAAATATAGTTTGAACATAATACAAAAATGGCAAATAATAATTATAGATATAGTTTTTATAATTTTTTTGTAAAAGAAAATTATAGGTGTAAGACTTATATATTAGGTATAAAGATATCTCTTATACAAAAAAGTACGATATATATAAAAATTATGATATTTAAGAAAGTGCGAAAAAGGTATAAGAAAATATTAATTAAAAGTATTACGTAAGAAGAAAAAAAGGTTTTAATTTTTACCTGCAAAGATTTTTTAATATAGTGGATAAGTAGGTTTTTAGTTGTTTTATTATTATTAGTTACATATAATTATCTACACTTATAAAAATTATTTAATTATACTATATAAACTATTTATAGTTATATTATTATTATTATTATTATTATTATTATTATTATTATTATTATTATTATTATTATTATTATTATTATTATTATTATTATTATTATTATTATTATTATTATTATTATTATTATTATTATTATTATTATTATTATTATTATTATTATTATTATTATTATTATTATTATTATTATTATTATTATTATTATTATTATTATTATTATTATTATTATTATTATTATTATTATTATTATTATTATTATTATTTGTTGGATCCATGCGATTCCAGACTGCAAACCATCTATACCAGGACCCACATGTATGATTAGATAAGATAAGATAGTGGATTGAGAGGGCACTTGGCCAGACCTTTGAGTCCAGCTAGATTCCTCTCAATCCAACCATCAGCAACATCATGACCTTGACCCCATACTCGAGTATTATGATTGATCGTTCAAGCCTGTTCCAACATTATTATTATTATTATTTTTGCGTATATTTTACGATAGTTTTTTAATAGGTTAAAGATAACCCTTTTTAAGAAGGATGGCTTTATTAAAGGCTTTTAAGTTAATCGGCGACATTAGCCCAAAAAGAAGGGTATATAATATTTACAAGGGCATATATAAGGTCTACGAAATGTTCATATTAAAAGGAAGGCCAGGTTTTAATTATACTTTACTTTATCCCTTATTATACAATATCTAATTGATTGTTTCTTTCAATCTATGACACCACGCCTTGACATTCTTATTACTTACTACTCGTCTGGTGTAGTATGTTCCATGCCTTTGCGTATTAGCGCGGCGTATAAGTTACTAGCAAGAACCAAAACATGGGGTATTTGTTACTTAGTTCTAGGCAGAACGTGCCCTGCCAACTCATGCAATCCCAAACCACCCCTACTAATGACCATCGTTACCATACCTTACCATACCTCACCCCACGATTCTATGCGGCTGTCAGCTGGAACACCTCTCCTGACGCGTCGCTCGTTATGTACAATCGTCCTACAGCATCGAATGCCAGACCGACAGGACGAGCACAGGTATCGGATGAGCATTGCGACACGTCCGGGGGGTAGAAGACGTTAATGTAACCCGAGTCACTGGATGGGCCCTTGACGGGTTCGTACGACCCTTGAGGGGACCGAGTGAAGGGAATGGCGACCACCTTGAATCCCGTTGGCGGCTGGCGATCCCAACTGCCATGCAGGGCGACGAAGAGGTTCATATATCTGGCATCAAACTTGCTTCCCAGCGGCGCCGAGTGAGCCTGGATGCTTAGTCGCGGAGCCACCGATAGCCTCTGGCATATAGTATCGTTGAACCTCTCATCAGGAGCAAGGACGAACTGCTCGCCTATACTGAACGGGCGATCGGTAATCTCGTCGGGACGCCAGACGGTGAAGCACCAGGGGTAGCCATACCATGCGTCATTCGGCTTGGTAACATCACCAAGGAGGTTGAGCTCTTCGGCCGGATTGTCGTTGTGGACGTCTTCTGAGATACCATTGACGGTGCGGGTGAGTCCATCGGCGCTGTTCTCGACACCCCAAAGCCTGTCAAGAAATCAGCAAACCCCCAGAATATACAAGGTAAAGGTGGAGGTTACATGTTGTTGCCATCAAAAGCAAGGCCGACCTCATTCCTGAGCCCGAATCCTGCGTTCCATCCCTCGCTGGCGTAGTCGTACCCAGCTGCAGTCTCTGGCACTGTCGACATATTGAAGACCTTGACAATCGCCCGAGCCATTGCGGAATTGGTGGAATTGTAGTCGAGGTTCTCCGAAGAGCCGTGTGAGACGACCAACAAATCTGGCGCCTGCGGTGGTATGGCCAGCGTCCTTGTGACGTGGCCCGTCACAGCCATGCCATGGACGACTTCGATGGGATCCGTGCCGGCATTGCCTGTAATCGGGTCATATGCCCAGCGAAACACCGACGCGGCCGAGCTGGCAAACAGAGTAGTGCCGACGAGGCTCAGGTGGATGCCATGGTTGAGCGCTGTATCCGAGATGAGCATGCGTGAAGCAGTGACGCAGCCGGTTGCTGAGTCGACTGTGTGCTGCCTGATTCCGACGCCTTCCTCGACGATCAAGAGTCGGCCCTGGGTATCAAACTGGAGATCACGAGGTGAATGCAGTCCATCCGCCACCTTGACGACTGACCATCCAGGGGCGAGTTGGTAGGGATGGAGAGGTGCGGCAATATTCGGGCAAAGCGAGGGTATGGCCAGAGTTTGGGTGATTACTGAAAAGGGAGCGTGTGAGTCAAGTGCATCGTACAGTTTGGTGTTTGGCCTGATCGATTTTGGTGACTTACCAGTGGCGAGCAACGCCGACGCTGCCGTTCTGGCCAACATGATGCAGCAATCTTCCCTTCAGCTTTTGATGATGGCGTACTCGGAGTTGGCCACGAAATGTTTGTGACCTTGAGGGGGACTGAAGAAAGACAGAGAGTCCTGGTGAGCATCTTTGGATGAATGAAGTCAGAGAGTATATCAGGCGGGGTTGCGGTCGTGAGACCTGGACATCGTCATGAGACCTGGGCATCGTCATGATCACGTAGCGGCTGCCAGATACATGTGCGACGTGCCTCCTGACCCATAGTACCTTCCTGATCGTCTTTGCATAGGTAGCGCTCCGGGGATGGGGTTGAAACAGAAGGTGGGAAGAGCACAGCTGAAATTACGCGAAACTACAGGTAGGTACCTACAGTTCGAACATGTGCCGCCTTCTGCCTGCTCCTTGCTGCTATGTCTTGAACTTGTCAATATATTGATGGGCAGTGATAGGCACAATCATAACCGTTGCCGCCATCCTCCTCCGTGTTCAGCGGTGGAATACTTCAGCTGTATTATCTAGTCTTGATTGAATAACATTCACATTCGGTGTACTCAACAGTCCCGATGGCCATTCATAGAGCCAGAGGCTCCCATATTCATACATAGAAGCCACTCTTCGGGTCTTACGTGGGGCTTCTTGCTGGGCTTATTGCTGATATCACGAACAGTACAAATAGTCAGCGGGCAGATGAGGCTGCTTCCTTCTCGACGTACACGGGGTACAAGGATGTACGCCTCATGGTTCATTCTCTCCACCTACGTTGCTGCATTGCAGCATTGAAGTCACAGCTTGATTTAATCCGTTGTAATTTAATTTCAATTTGCTCGAAACTCATCATCAATCACGGTTCATTGCACGCAGAGACGTAATGTGCGGTTTCTGTCGGATTTCAGAATGGTCTGTATTGGAAGTAGAAGAAGACTAGCAAAGGGGGCACCTTCCTACTCAACTTACCGTGAAGGTGCCCTCCTTCAGCTACCTAATGATGTGATCCCACGGGATGACCAACACTCCTGCTCGGTGGCGTTTCTACCTTGCCTGAGAACATATTCCAGATCAATACTTTAAGAGGCCTTCAAGGTTGCGCCACGCCGAACACTTTCCACGGCGCCCTAGTGGCCGACCAACGACCGTTACGAACCCGCAATACACCCATCGAAAACACAGAAAAGACATGTGATAAGGCAATTTTAAGCCATACCCAGGGCACGAGGAAAACCCAAGCTGTGGCTGTTAGTATTCACCTATTCCCACACTGCTGATCTGGTGGCCTGCTAACTCTACCAAGGCCTCTCCCTTTTCCACTTGAATCCCCTACTATCCGCGACTCATCGCTATTATGTCATTTTCCACTCAGAATCGGACCCTTGCCGTGAATAATTTCAGACGACAAGTCGACGGTTGGGTGGATCAATCCACACTTCGACTGTGGCACGCAACGACGAGCGTCAAGTTGGAGGCTTGGAAGAGCGACGCGAGCAATTCGGAGGACTACAAATTGATACGGAGCATTTCGCACAATCTGCTGAACAAGCCTGGCGCGCCCTCAACGACCCGGCCGATAACAGCCTACAAAGCGTTAGCCCAGTACCTGATCGCAGCTCTGTTGACAATCCGGGAACTGGCGTCACTCAGTGCCGCCAAGATCGACACGGAGGTCTTCCACCTTCTCATATCGGAGGCGCATGAACATTTGACTGTGACTCGGAGCGGAGCCCTGTCATGGCAATTCACCAACGTCATATCGCCCACCATCATGTGTATGAAAAAGACATGCAAGCACTATTTCGAGGCAGCCCAGAGCAGGACAGGCGGCAAGCTCTGCTACGTCCGAATGCAGCATTTCCTCCGCCAGGCGTTTGTGCTCCCTTCGCCGCTGGCAACGGGTGGAAAGACGAACATCGGCATCATCAGTCGCGAATTCTTGGCCATCTACAAGACGTGCTGCGACCGACTGTGGAGAAATCTTGGATACACAAAGATAAAATACATCGCCGGAGAGTTTGGGGCTCAGGATCCTGGCGCGCACCGGTTTTTGGAAGCGGACCACTGCGGCTGCCTTGTAGGTTTGCTGAATCGCAACGCAGAGGGCGAGCTGCTCGCAGGAGATGGCGACAAGCGGTGGCTTACGAAGCCGAAAGAATTGACACCGTCGCCACTAAGAGTGTCAGGGTCAGCCACAGACCCAGACTGGGAGGAGGACGCCGACGGCGAGAATGGCGGCGACAACGAGGATGAGGACGGGTGGGAGGACGTGGAGGACGTAGAGGAGGAGGAGAAGGAGGACGTGGAGGACGACCACGGCGACGATGGGGATGAGGACGAGGAGGACGACGTCGATAAGGCACCGCCATATTGACAACTTAATCATACAGGCTTGCTGTCTTCGGAGCTGTATCGAGTCGAAATCGAGGACTTCCTGGAGTAAAGGAAGACATTCACAATCGGGGCTTCGGTAAAGGAATAAGTTACAGCAGAGTCTGAATAGGGATGATCCAATATAGCCAAGTATGAACCCTGCGAGAAGCCATGAATTGCCCTAGAGGCACACAGGCATTCATCCTATTCCTCCAAACAACTTATTCGGATAACTATGTGTCTACGCAGGCTGCCCGTATAGTTCGCCTGTCAACCTGACGAATCTTCACACCCCTGGACGTCCTTAGGTCCAGCAGACCGCGTCTATCTTTTCTCTCGCAATAGAGCGAGGACCAAAGCCTCATAGTCTCCGCTCAAAAGCGCCTTGACCGAGGCTCGCAAGGTCGTTCTGAACTGTCCATGCAATTTGTAGGAGGCTTTGGCGGCCTCGTATCGAACAGGGTCCCAGTAGAGACTGAGCACACGGTTGATGAAGAGGGTATCTTTCCGGGGCGTCTTGTACAACGGTCTCTCGAGGCGATCAGCCTGCAAAACCTTGAGTTAGTCATTGCTCTTCTAGGATAGGTACGCTGGCGGGCTTTCATGATGTCGAAGCAGTAGGTTCCTTGGAAAACCTGAAAAACAAAACCCAAAATTGAATGTAAAAAAATAAAAAGGGAAAAAAGAAGAGTGGCGAATGAACAGGATGCTGATGAATTTTCGGAGGGTGGCAAAAGGCTCAAGAGGTAGCTCGGAAAGTTACTCACGTCGGCCCGAGCCCGATCCATCGCGGTGGTCAACATCATCAACAACGCGTCTTCCATGTCACCCCTGAACTCTTTCTCGATGACTTCCTGCAGCGAGCGGTGATACTTGCGCTGGTAAGCCTCTGATAGCGCGTGGATCTGGGCGTTGTTGGAACTTGTGAAGATTTGCGCTACTGAGATGGCGTGTGCACCGAGCATGCCCTCAGTTGCACGCTGCAGCTCCATCACTTTCTGGTCGATCTCGAGCGCAACTAGAGGCGCCGCGTCCTCGGTGCGCGTCGCCGACAGTGCCATGCTGTAGAGGCGGAACAGGGTGTCGTCGACGTCGTCCTTGATGTCAAGGAGGAGTTCACGGCCGCTGATCCGCTTGTATTCGGCGGTGATGGCGCGGATATCTGCGTTGGAGCGACACAGAAGCACGTCGTTCAGTGCGTCTTCATCGGTACCTGCTTGCTTGAGCGCTTTCACGAGAACCCTGGCATCGTGCTCGAGTGGGCCGCGCATCAAAGCCAGCAAGGCTGTCTCGAAGTCTCCGTGCGTCTCGCTCTCGACGTCCTTGGCCAGATCGCGGATGAAGCGCCGGTCATAGTCTTCCACAAGCTGCTTCATTGCCCAAGGGTTGGCGTATTTGGGCGCAGTGAAAACTCGTATCAGGGCTGCTTCGTCGCAACCCATACCCTTCATGGCTTTGCGACTACAGCGACGGAAGTCAGTGATTGGACGAAAGTCAGTGATTGCCATTTATCCGAACGAATTGACTAACATTTGATAGCGTTGGTGGGCTTCCAGAAGTATAACTTATGTTCGTAACACTAATGGTCTCCCAAGACATGGTGACATGGGCAAGGAGCAACTCGGAATGTCACTCACATGGCCTCCACGTCTGCGGACGTGTCAAGGGGCGCAGACCAGGCCTTCTGCGCCGGGTCATAGCCTGGTGATGCGGGTGTCGGAGGTACGCCGTAGCCGTACGGCTGCATAGGCTGTTGGGACTGTTGCTGCCATTGCTGTCCGCCGGGCTGAAGCTCAGTCAGAGTCGCTACAAGGTCTCATGCAAAGCGGGCTCCACATACAGGAGCTCCGTACGGTTGAGGAGGATATTGGCCCGGGGGTGCTTGACCGTATTGAGCAGGCGGCTGTCCATACTGGCCTTGGGGAGGTTGCTGAGGCTGCTGAGGTTGCTGAGGGGGGTAATGCTGGCTTTGGTACTGTCCCTGATGTTGCTGCTGAGGCGGGTAGGACGAGTTCTGATACTGCCCCGGCTGACCTTGTGGAGGGTACTGAGGGTACTGGCCTTGCGATGCTTGAGGGGGGCCAGCCGGGTATGGCTGGCTCTGATACTGTACAGCTTGCTGCTGGCCTTGCGCAGGGCCGTAGTTAGGGTAGGGCGGCTGCTGATATGGCGGCTGACCCGGGGCAGGCGAGCCCACGGGGGGCTGCTGGTACGGCGCTTGCTGATATCCCGAGTCAGGCTGGCCCGGCTGCGGCGGAGGAGGACCACCCTCGTAGCCAGCCGGGGGCTGACCTTGGTAATTCTGGTTTGGACGATGCATCGTCAACGTGCCTGCGACCACTTGCTGTAGGTATCCACGAAGTAGCTAGCCCTTTGCTATTGATGTTATCACGGAAGAGATGAGTCAAAGTTGAGATGGGTCGTAGCAGAGACGGGGAGATTACACGCCAGGCTAACGAGCCCAGAAACGACGGATTTATGTGCTTCCAAATTCCTACCTAAAGTATCTACCAACCTTGAGAGACAATATCACGAGGCAGGCGCTTGAGAGGCCTCCTAGGGCTGAACTGAACCTGCGTCCTGTCTGCCTGTAGGTCGTCCCAGCAGTGGCAGCCCCTGGGCTTGCATCCAGGTTTGCTGCGCCGCGCCGCGCCGCGCCAGAGCCCAGAGGCACCCGTTCGTGAGCAAACAACTAGGTACCTTACCTTCAATAGGTAGGTAGGTAGCCCAACGAATCAACGATGGATAGCCCGAGACGAAGGTCCCCTTTCGGCGATGCTGAGCTTACCTGCCAAGCCGTCAACTTGGAGTTGGAGGGAACCGACGACCTGATCTGATCCATTTTCGGCAGATTGTCTATTGGCGGGAACCTGATGAGGAGACACTGCAAAGCCCGGTCCTGCTTAATTGCATTGGCGATGAGCGGGTGCGTTAGTGTGAGGTGTGACAATCACTCGAGGTCACTTCTTGGAGCAAGTTGTTGTGAACGACACGGTCCGCGATGAATTGATAATAAGGTCAACTGGCGGCTATGAACCACCCGTTGACACCTGCGCGGGCCCCGCGCCGGCCACTTTACGCGCTCCTTCGGCATCCCACCTGCCCACCCCAGTACTAGCCACGGTACTAGGGTACTTCGACGCGACAGCCCAGTGGCCGATAAGAGCACGATAAGAAAGAGTTGCAGAATACCTTACCTTAGTAAACACATCCCTCGGGCTACCAACTCAAGATCGTCGCAGCTGCGCGTAGCCCTCCCTTCTTTATTTGCCCATACGTTGCCCTACTTAGGTGTCATCCAGCTTTCGCTTTTGCTGTTGGCTGGACCGGAATGTGCTGAGCCCTGTGCCAATGGCTGGGCTGGGCTGCCACAACACCTTCTCCAATGGACGACTTTTCCGACGATGACCTCGACGCCCTCAACGCCAACGCCCTGCAGGAGCTGGAGAACAATGCCATCCAGTTCACTCAGGCCCAGAAGAAGTCCGACCCCTCCCAGCAGGTCGAGTACGACTTCGATTTTGAGGATGACGACCTCGACGACACCATCGTGCAGGATGAGTTGCGAGGCCCCAAGTCTGCCCTGCCGCCCGAGAGGCCTGCCGCTCAAGTTGCTACCACTGCTCCCTCTAGAGTTGTTCCGCAACAGCAGGAGACATGGGGTCCCGTCCCGCTCCCTGCGAGCCACTTCCGCCCTCCGCCCATCGCCGCAAACCCTACCCGACAACCCGCAGCGCAGCCCGCTGGCCACCGTGCTTCGCAACAGATCGCATCGCGCAACAAAGCTCCTCCGTATAGCCAGATTCGCCCTCCACCTCCGCTTCCTCGGCCTGCAGCTTCGATCCCTTCGCGGTACCAGCCCTCCCAGGCTCCGCGCCAAAGCAGTCCCTCGGCCCATGAGCTTGCCGCCCTTCAGGCCCAGGTACTGGATCTCAAGTCCAGACTGACCACGAAGGATGGGGAGATTAGCATCGTTCGAAAACGCCTCGACAAGTCGCGCGACGACCACGAGCGCGAACTGCAGGTCGTCAGGAAACAGACGGCAGAACAGCTAGCAAAACACGAGAGGGCAGTGGAAGCCGCCAAGGCCGCCCAGCAGTCTGCTACCACCGAGCTCGAATTCACAAAACGAGACCTGAGGGAGGAGGTCGATCGTGCCAAGCGCAAGGACGGGGGCGGTACACCCAAGAAGAACAATGCAGCCACCCGGTCGTGGGGCGTCTCGGATGGCTTCGAAGACGTTGAGATGGCCGGCAGCCCGAGCCGAGGCCATCGGGGCAGGAATGCAGGCCCGGTGGCCAGCTTGGTAGCCGAGCCTCCGTCGAGACTGACGAGGACGCCGACAAAGGGGAAGAGGAAGCGTCCTACCGTCGATAGTCCCGTCATGGCACTCGAGACGCACTCCGAGGACATGGTTATGCTGGATGACGCTGGGACTGACGCCATCGTCACAGACCAGCTGTCCAGCATGGCGCCAAGGCCTGCGCGGTTTGATGTGAGGCCTTGTGAGCCATTCATCTACAGTAATTCACATTCACTAATGTCCCTCAGTATCTCAAAGTGATCATGAACCATAGTGCCGCCCATGATGACGTTCAAGGTCGGCGCCTCACATTCGAATACCTCGCTGATTTTGTGCTCCCATCAAGACCTACAGAGAGCCTGGCAGCCATCCTCTTTGGGAAGCTAGCGACTGCTGGCAATCCGGACGACCCAATGCGACTGCCCATTGAATTCTGTGAACTTGTCATCCAGCTGTGGGACGATTGCAGAAAAGAAGGATGTGTAAGTGCTCGTTGCCCCTACCCCCCCCCTATTCGTGAAAAGGTGACCCTTTAGTCTGACCGGGTTGGTGTGTAGCTGGCCCCAATTGCCGAGCTAGTATCCTTGGTCACGTTTACACTACAGCTATATACCGTGGCCATTGCTCCCTACATCGCACCCTCCTTGCTTCCGGTGGCCATGGACTCGTGCTACGAGGTGGCCATCCCCCGGTTTTACTGCCCCCACCCTGGCGATCCTACGGATGAGGCCTTCAAGAACTTCAGGGACAACATAGCAACGAGCAAGATCCTGTCGCTCCTCTACCTGACTGCGTTGGGATGTGCGACGTCGGAACCAGTGGGCGGCGGGCTGACATCGCCAATATTGGAATTTTGGAGTCAGGTCCACCCCGAGTTCGTCATGACGTTGGTTAGCCAGAAACAGACGGTGGAAGACTTCCTCACCATGTTGCGATTGCTCTGTACTTCGGTATTCCCAGACACCATTGGGCCCATAAACCCAGACAGACCGCGACCGCCGGCCGAAGTGAGTACGAGTATGATTGACCGTATGTCTGGTCTCCTCGGCAACACACCGCGCTGGGACCTCGACGAGTCTCAGTTGCGGAAGGTTCGGATGGCGGTGCTGCAGACGCTGGCGGCATTCGCGCGGTCGCCCTTTGGCCTCACCCTGCTGGCTAGAAACGATTCGGCTATACCATGTCTTGTCATGTTGCTCTCTGGCTCGATCGACGAGCTCTACGATGGCGACATGCACTACGTTCCCCCGGGAGGGCGTGATGCGGACAGCGAGCTCCAGCAGTTGGTGGCTCAGACGATGCTGCTACTGCACACGATCATCACTAGCCCTATCAGCGCCGGTATAGCCGAAGTGGCAACAAAGCTGGCCAAGACGACCGTCAAGGCCACGGGGGGAGTGTCTCAGAAGTACGAGCTCAGCTTGGCAAGGCTAAACTTTGCAGAGGATCTCGTTTCGGAGGAGACGGCGGAGCTCGCGCATGAGTTGCTGGAGCTCGCGGTCACGTCGGAGGCGGGAGAGGAGTTGGGGGCATACTTTGGCGGATGACAATGTCGTGTAACCCAAGATACCCTTATGTATATGCACGTTTGAATGAGGCCTGGATGAAACCAAACGAATGATAGTTGGGACAGAAAAGGTCATGCTTGGAACCTCCAGCTTGTTCATCTCACAAGATAGGAGTTACAGGGCATGTAAGAGACGATGCAGGCCTGATCATCTCGGCCAGTCAAGGTAACAATGTAGCTGTTACGTCTTGTGAGGAACGAGTAGAGGGAAGACTATGTGAGGATAAGATGCTCTGTTGCACAAGTGAGGTTGAATGTTATGGCTTATGGGACAGCATCTCACCCCCTTTACCTCTAAACCTGACATGTGAAGATGGGATTAGGTCATCGTCGGAGCGTGGGGACTGCGGGAGACTGCGACGCACCGGTATGGTGGACCCTGCCTTGCCAAGAGTGCTAAGCCACACCCTGACGTCGTGTCCAGGCGCCTTACAGGCTGCGACGACAGGCTGCCAGGTTTGTAGGTACCTGCAGCACCCACCATAGCAGTGAAGGTACCTACCGACTGAATCTTAGCAGCGGGAAACCAAGGCAAGGGAAAAAACCTCCATCGTTAACCTCAACATCGGTCGGTCCTGCTTGGTTTTCTGACGACATCAGCACAACACAACTCTCAGACCAACCCAGCCCGTCGTGGTTCTCCTCCTCCGCTGACCCCCGCTGTCCCGATCAGATCCTTCGCTCGGCAGGAGATATATTGTTAGAGAAGCCTCCCTACGCTGTAAGTGTGTGAGGCGTCAATTGCCTGCCCCAACGCTCGCCGGTGAGCCCCCGCATCGCGCAGTTCATCCGTTCTCCGATTCTTCCTGTCGGTTCACGATCGCCTCGGAAGGAACGCGGATGCCGCACTGCTCCACCTCGCCGAGACCCCCCGACTACATCGTGTTCTACAATATCCCTACAGCGACCTTGCCGGACTGACCACCCTCTTCACAGACAAAGCCTGCGCGCCGCCGTCCGCCCAATTTCTCCCAATCCCCTCGGAAGACCCAGACAGTATGACGAAACCGCGTCGCGGGGTGCGTTTCCCCAACCGGACCGCCAACGGCCATTCCGCACTAGAAAACAGGAGGTCCAGCATGAGCGAGGTCAGCGAGGATGGCTCCGGCTCTCCCGTCAGGGCCAAGAGCTCGCCGCATCTCGACGGCATCAGCGAAGTATGTAACACCTCCCCTACACCCACGCGCCCCCAGAGGCTGGAGGCTATGGCCATGGACAGGCGAACGGACACATGTTCCTTCGTGCTTCTTCGTCTCCGCAGGGGTTGAAACTCTTGTCGTTCACGAGATGGTAACATTGCAACCTCAGCAGAAAGCACCCGAGCCGCCGAAACAGTCCGACTATGAGAAGAAGAAGGCCAACTTCCTCACGCGCACCTTTTGGACCTTCGTCATGATCGCGCTCTTCTTCACAGCCCTATTCTCGGGCCACATCTACATCATCGCCTGCATAACTGTCGTGCAGATCGTATCTTTCAAGGAGGTCATCGCCATCGCGAGCGTCCCGAGTCGCGCGCGACAGCTTCGCCCAACAAAGAGCCTCAACTGGTACTGGCTTGCGAGCACCATGTGTAAGACATCTCCTTACGCCGCGCATCCCCCTTTCGGGTCGTGCTGATCTCAGTGGCAGACTTCCTATATGGCGAGACCGTCATCTACTACTTCAAGCATATCGTGCTGGTCGACCGAGTCCTCCTTCCGCTCGCGACCCACCATCGGTTCATCAGCTTCATCCTATACGTGATCGGCTTCGTCTTCTTCGTCGCAAACCTCCAGGCCGGCCACCTCAAGTTTCAGTTCACCAACTTCGCCTGGACACACATGGCGTTGTACTTGATCGTCGTGGAGGCCCATTTCATCATGAACAACGTCTTTGAGGGCATGATATGGTTCTTCCTGCCTGCATCGCTCGTCATCTGCAACGACATCTTTGCCTACATCTGCGGTATCACGTTTGGGCGTACGCAGTTGATCAAGCTGTCGCCCAAGAAGACGGTCGAGGGTTTCGTCGGCGCTTGGATCATGTCCATTGTCTGGGGCGTCCTGCTGGCCAACGTTCTCATGCGGTCCAAGTACTTCATCTGCCCCGTCAACGATCTCGGCGCCAGCATCTTCACCGGTCTCCAATGCGACCCGAATCCTGTCTTCCTTAAGCATACCTACACCCTACCGCAGCTCTTCTTCCTTCCAGAGGGCATGACCCCATCCTTCACGACGGAGCCCATGCAGCTGCACGCTGTCATATTGGCCTCGTTTGCCTCGTTGATCGCGCCTTTCGGTGGTTTCTTTGCTTCCGGTCTAAAGCGTACATTCAAAATCAAGGACTTTGGCGATTCCATCCCCGGCCACGGCGGCATGACGGACCGCATGGACTGCCAGTTTATCATGGGCTTCTTCTCCTTTGTCTACTACCAAACCTTTATCGCGCAACACCATGTCAACTACGGCAACGTGATGGAGCTTGCCATTACCGGGCTATCGCTGGAAGAGCAGGTGGAGCTGGTGAGGGGGATGAGCAGGTATCTAGAAAACCAGGGAGCGTGGAATCCGGGGGTAAGTTCGGCCCATTCTCCGTGTTGGCCGCCTTGACGTACTAAACGGCTTGCAGGTCCTCGAGTGTCTCGACAAAGCATTGCCAGCACGTCGGTAGGAACGGCCGGGTTATTCAATGTGGTAGGAGCGTCGAAGTGGCTGCTTCGAACAAGAGAATCTTGGACGTGGTCACCAATAGGAAGGCCTGCTAAGAAGTGGCGATGGGATTATGGGCTCGCGGGTCTACCTATAGTCCCCGAGTAATCGGTTTATTGGCTTCTTGGGAGGACCAGTGGGCGGCGTGTATTGAGCTTCTGGTAGCGGCAATCATGGGACCAATTTGCCCCATGTTTAGCAGCCGCTGTATCATACCCTGTGTTATCTATCTAGCTGAAGACTTTGGGAAAACATGTCTCTTCAAGCCGGAGGTGTGGGATAATGACAGATGAGAAGCACTGGGAGCCTGAGATGCGATGCCCGCCCATCACGGTAGAGGCTGAAGTGTATCTGGGTCAGCTCCTTCTAAGCCGTCCTGAGGTCGGCTAATATCCCACGGTCCTCGACGTGTGTTGATTTTCGAGCCCACTCTCAAGGGAGACGCTCGGAAACTTCATTGACCAGTGCGACACGACGACCCGCAGCATGAGCGGCCACGTAGGTGTCTATCACAGGCGTCGACCCGATTCCCGGGAGTGAAGCCAATGTCGGATCGTTGCAAGCCTACATGAGCACTCGCTATCTAGACAGCCATGCATCGATTCCGAGAGGCTGAGGCCACATGTGCTTTCCATTCTCCTCGGTATGTCCTGCTGGGATGACCCGGTGACTGTAACTATCTCCCTGTCGCGGAATCTCTCGCCGTGTACGAACTTACCGTCCATGTTGCGCGAGGCTGTCGAGTTTGTCTAGCCCGCATTGCATGCTCAGCAGAGTCAGAAGACCGCACTGCATGATGGCGGCTCGACAGGCGATGATAGCCTCGATGAAGGACGGCCTCTGGTGGGGGTCATGTGTATAGGTAACTCCACCGGCATGCAGTATGCCCATCTGAGCCTTGCCGTCGCTTCAGAATGCGATGCCTGACACCTGTCACAGGGTACGGAGTATAGGTGAGATTATAGGTAAGTACTTACTGCAGTGGCTGGTGACCATTCAGAAGCTCCCACACATCACCACCAGGCCAGCTATAACGAGCGGGAAGGCAGAAGGCCCGCGCATATATCGTCTTGGTATCTAACCAGATCAAAGATACATGCGGGATCCTGCCGGGTCGGCTCCACCACAGCTGCTACCCGACCCGTTCGTCACAGGTGGTTGTCTTCTGCCCTCTCCCGCCTGTCGTACGTGCGAACGGACCAACCAGCCGTGTGAGATTACGCAACACCCGCCATACCCGGCACAGCGCCTGAGTGGGGGGTATGTATGTTTGTGCGTAGGTGTTGGTGCACCTTGGAGAGACAGTGCGTCTCACGGCGCCTATCTTGAACTGTGCAGCGTTTTCGTGGCGATGGCAGCACATGCCCAGGTAGCTGGGCCTGCCTGCCGGCCACGACCCATGTTGCATGCGGTCGCACAAAGCCCGGCATCTTGGTTTGGAGGCTGGCATTAAGATATATCTTGTCGTGGAGTCCGGGCGTTTTTGGGAATCTAGGAGAATGCAATTCCCTGATTCAACATCACGGAGAAACCCACAGTGGCCACTTTGAGGTAGCCAGGCACCCGCCATTATCTCGACAATCATGTGTGTGAATGTGCCGGCCGGCGACAGGGCAGGCATCCCAATCCTGGCCAAAGTCCAGGGTTATACCGAGACAGACTCACCAAATGCAACCACCACTCACCATTCACCATTCTTGTCATGGAACCATCTCTGACTCTCGGCCGGGTCTCCGCTGTGCGATGGATGGACATACCAAACCAAGCATATGATACCGATCATCCAAGCTACCTATTCGTGGGAAACGCCGTATCAGCCACACCGACTGGTCATCGTCTGCCACAACCAAGTCATCCCACCCGGACATAGCTCACTTTGGCCGGGCGATACAACTGTTCCTGTTTGTGCTTTCGACGCAAGTGACGACGCGAGTGATGGCTTCTGATCACCAAACTAGCCCAGGTGGAAAGACAGCTCCGGCGTCTTGATACCCGGCCCCGTCGTTGATGACCTCGGGAGAAATGATAGATCACAGTCGTCTGAGATAGCCCGCTCACACCTGACGTCGCGCCGGCATGATTGGATACCTACTGGACGGCACCGCTAGAGAGTGGCCCGGGGAGGCTTGACCATCGATCCCAGTCCTCGAGCCCTCGTCCGCTCCATCAGGTAGCTATCCGTCTACTCCAAGCCGTCTGCATGGCCCTGGTATGTGACTCCCACCGTCCCGGGTCGTCTCGTCACATATACGCCCATGTAACCACCGACGTGAGCGGCGCTGTTCCATTACTCATCCTATCACCTGCTCCAAGTCACACGAAAGGGCGCTGCCTGGTCATCCTCCTTGCTCCGTCTAGCCATTGGTAGGCGGCTTCCGCGGGACAGCCGGCAAGGATGACCAGGGATACTCGTGTCTTTGTCTCCCCGATGAGTCTTGCGGGGCGGTGGGATGACCAACAGGCCAGACGGCTATATAATGGCCTTGGAATGTTGGCTGAGACGAGTTGCACCAACCTTTGTTCTTCGACCACCAGCAACCGGATACAAGTCGAACGAACACCTTCACGCAAGCTTCTCGTCAACATGGCAATCGGCAGCCCACTCAATGCGAAGTCGTACATCCACCAATACCTGGAGAAGAGGAGAAGATCAAACACATCTAGTGCACCGTGCCAAAACATCAAGAAAATGAAAGATGAAGTGGCGCCGCCACCTGAGGAGGAGGTAGCCAGTTTCAATCAGCAGCTCGAAAGCCGATTCTTCCAGGAACTACCCATCGAGATCAGAAGGATGATTTACGCCTATGTCTGGCAAGGACGCTACGATCATCTGTATCATATACCCGAGGGGCGGCACATTCACTTCAAAAGGGGCCATTGGACGCATACGCGATGCGTCATGTCCGAGTACGATGAGGACCTGGACTTCATCCAGAAGCAGATGGACACGATCCGGAATACTGGCCGCGGTGATCTCCTCATGTGGCAAAGGAGGTTGGCATCGACGTGGGGTCGCCGCCATTGGAGATGCGAGGAGAGAGTAGAATATGGACAGGCGGGTGCCATTGATCGCACAGACCTGTCTTCCATGATGATGTTGTGCAAACGCATGTAAGTGTTCGAAGCTACTCTACGCATGTCGTGGCTTTCATATTCGTGACTACCCCTTAGGGTTACCTTCAGCGAGGAATCGAGGCTCACCTATCTGTTCGGCGCGTAGGCATCCTGAAGTCTTGGAGTCCTTTTTTGAATCGCACAAATTGCTCTTCAACGACTTCTTCTCGGCGCATAGATTTCTCGTCCAGCATCCTTCGCTGTACGTCTCTCACATTCGTCATCTGGATATTACACTTGATCTGCCATTTCACGAATGCTCGCCATCTGTCATCGAAACACCCAAGAGCCGCGTTAGAGAGATCCTGGAGGCTGTCGATCAGATTGCATGTCTGCATAGCCTGCGGATCTCCTTCGATGTGTATGACAGAGGGCCGTGGAGGCTGGGGGAGCGAGCAATCATGAAGCAGCTCGGTACCCCCATCGCTGTCTATCAAGACAGACTGCTTCGAGGGGCAGGACATCGACAGTCATGAAACAACGCCGTACAGGATCGTCCGAAGATTGCCTCTCCGGTATTGGCAATGGAGTCCGGGTGAGGTCGAGCACTTTAGGTGGGAGACGTACACGGAGGGCGACCAGCGATTTTGCTGGATCATCTTGTCAAAGGCGTCAAGGGTCATCTCGAACCCGTATCTGATATGATTCAACGAGAGCCGCTGACAGGTGGTTTGCGCGCGTGCTGGGCCGAGGGTTTGCATGACATGCGCAGGTAGGATTCGTCACATGGCACCATCACCTGTCGGCGAGGAGGAAGACCCATGTGTTCAGGACGCAGACTGGCGGATAGCGCTGGGGCTTGGACACCTTCTCGGCGTTAATACAATAGTCCTAGCGGCTATATAGGTTGCCACGTTGTCACCCCCCTCTTGTCCGTTTCCCGTCACGGTCGGTCAGTCACCACCGCAGGGGAACACGACTAGCCGTAATACGTCATGAGCGGATTTACGGCCTGTCCCTGACAGATCCCAGAGTTGGCACGTAGAGACTTGTTGGATTTGCACTGCAAGCTTCGATGATCTTCAACGTTGCAATGGAACTGGTCAGGGCCAGGTGAATGATTGGGCTGACGTCGCAGCAGCCAGGCAGTCAGCGCCGGGGAGATATAGGTCCTACCGGGCCGCAAACCAATAGGCACACTGGGCTTATCGTTTCCTGGCCCCTTTTGGACACCTTGATGGTAGGTTGGCTACCATCGGCCAGTGACGTTCGCTGTCTTTCTTTAGGGGGCGGATTGGGCGTGATACCGTGTATAAGTGTCGGGTGTCCCTGTGCTGTATTGCATCTGTCTAATCCCCATAGTCCCCAAAAATCCAGATATTCACTCTATGTTGGCCTCCGCGCTTGTTCGTAACGCCCACTGGAGAACATCGTCTACTGTGTATCAGGCAGACGTTAGTAGAGACGACTCGAGCGCGACGATACCAAGGACACCAACTCAGCCCGTGCCGGGGTGCCATCTCTGTCCTCAAGCGGCGAGAACCCTGCCGGTTTGGTTTTCTCCAGGAGGCTACCGTTTGAGATTCGGGAGGCTATATATCATGGATGTTTTCCGAACTCATATGCCACGTTTCCATCAGTGATGGCTGTTCTTGCGTACTTCCCTCGTACTGTTTAAACCTCGTAAGCTTGACGTCAGGCACCACGAGATTCAGTAAATATTTCAAAATCGTTACGACGCTGGTAAATCAAGTAAAAAGCGATAAAGGGTAGATAAATAATAATAATAAACCCTTTTTCGTTACTGCTTACATATGCCGTTAAAACTGTTATATACTTATAAATGCCGTTAAAGCCCGCATAAAAATATATTAAAAAGCTTTACTTCTTATTTTATTTAATATTGTCAGATGTTAGATCCCAGACATGGTGCCCTTAGGTGCAGTACCCACTAGGAGGCTGTCAAGGGAACAGTGGATACACCCTGGCATGGTGCAGTATGGTATTAAGCTGTAGATTAGCCCTGCCGAGCATACTTGAGAATGACAACAACGTTTGCAGTGACTGCTCACACCCTAAAGGCTTGTGACCCTTCTAGAATCTCACAAATATGAAATATTTTAAAGCGTAAAGAAACATATAAAATAACCTTAGATATATCCGTAATTTATAACAATCGCTATTAACAGCACGAAAAAAGTCCGAAATAATAAATAATTTTAAATAACTATTAAAGTCGCGCTATATTAAAAACCTATAAACTTTAAAGCTGTTGTGGAAAGTCAGTGTGCAGAATACGTATCCATTCGCTCGTTGATTTCTCTAAGGTTCCGTGTCTACCTAGTGCGGACACAAATACAGCTAAAATACAGTACGTACGTGTCCCGCTAGCGTAACAGCTGAGCGGTGGGGCAACGGTCTCCCAACGACCGTCCCCAGCCACACACGGACCACCTGCGCCACAGCCTGCGCCACACACCCTGAGGCACCACGTCCGATAGCTGTTATAAAACTTATTAAAACAACATTAAAAAAGTCTTCAATTTCAAGCTAGTAACGAATATAACTCTTTAAATTACGGTAAAAAACTTACTAACTTTAATAATTAACCAATCGTAATAAAACCTCGTTTAACGCGTATAAAACGTGTCACAAAGCGTAAATAGGATGAGGACATAAAAGTCCTGATTGCACTACCTACGTGTAAGAATCTCTTGGTGGGGAGGGAAAGAAGGATCTGACCCGCCTATTACCTAGCCTAGTACAGTTGTGGCCACACGTCTTGTGCGCCAGGTCATGTGATGCTGCGCACAGGCCACCCTGATAGGTTGACAGACTTCCAGGAGGTCAGACCGTCACAAAACGGCCGTTTTTTTCCTTTTACTTTCTTTATATTTATTATTCGAACTTATTACAACCATATCTTTTATTATTATATTTTATAAAACGATTAAATAACAAGTAAAATCCTAGCATAAGTTTATTAGCTTATATTTATTTAAATAACGAATTGTTAATACGTCGAAATATTTAATATGTTAACCGAGATTTCTCAGTTATTAATTTTATCGAAAATAGTAATTAAAAAGATATTAATAATAAAAAATCACATTACATATCTTCAAAATTTCAATCGTATCCGTCGTTCCAAATATTAAAAGTAAATATATCGATCGTATAATGTAAAAATACGAAAGAATCTAAGCTAAAACCTAGTGAAACAGGCATACTGTCACATTCGCAAGAATCCCCCGACTGCGATCAGAAGGGCTCAATGTCCACGTTACTGTGAATATCGCTGACCAGTCAGGGTGACTGACCAGCCAACCACCTTCGCTCGCGTGATGTGGGCGGGTGGGATCGGACAGGGCAGTTCTAGTTATAGACCTCCTACATCTCGTCGTCTTCGGGTCTCGGTCAACAGGCTAAACGGCAAGAAAGCAGGAGCTCGCGAAATCGGAAAGGGACACAGTCCGATTCCTCTTCCATGCCGTCGTCTGGTTTGGTTCTTCCATCCTATCCGTGATCACCGCAGGGTTTCGACATATGCGAAACGTAGCGCTTTGGCCATCGGATTCCGAATCTGGGGGACGGCAGGACCCCTGTTGCGACCCTGTGAGGCTGTGCCCGTCTGGCTCCTGTCTGGTCTCCAAGATCCGCGCAGGGGGGCGGTCCTCCGACTCCCGTCATAACAACCTTAACTATGAGTGTTTGCAGGTTTCAACAATGCATTTCGATTCGATTGTCGAGAACAGGTCGCAGAAAGTGTTGCCACGGCATTATGATGTAGCATGGCATGAAGCGCACGTAGACCAGTGGCTGCCCAGTGTCGTATATCTCGCAAATAACCATCGAATATCGTTTTATTCATCAAAGCCCTGTTCCAGGCTTGAGTGCCTGCTTGAGTGGCGCGGGCTGTCAAGGTCAACCATCATACGCAGACGAGACACGGGATACATGCAGGGAAGCCTCGAGATCCAGACAAGCAAGATGTGATGTTCTAGGACGTCGTCAATGTCTACATAGTGTAGATCCCATCGTACTAGTGAGCTAGTACAATCCCACCCTGACGAATCGCGATGGGGTATGTGATCTTCGATCGGCTTATACTTCCGAAGCGGAGAACAGGCAAACCCTTGCTAGGCAAGTAGGCCTATCACGGAGTTCGATGCTCATGCGAGGCTGGTTTCATTACAGTGGTAGCCCTAGATAATCGTGAGTCGAGTCGCTGCGCCTGTGCGGAGTTACCAACCTTTTATGGAGTTACCAACCTTTTATGGAGTGGAAGAAGTGACACGAGATGCGTTCCGAGTCCCTCCATGTCCAATCTTGTTTAGCACAAGTAGCTTGCGTGCGAAAAAAGTAGAATACTAGCTGCAGTCCCCAGTTATTATTTGTGGCTTGATAAGAAATAATCCAAGGTAAAGGTTAGATAAGAAGCCGCGTAAGGCTGGTGAGGCTGTTTTTTGCACGCAAGCTATTCGCGCTAGATAAGGTGACGGAACGTATTTGCACACTACCTACGGTACGAGTCGGCGTTGAAGAAAAAGACTCAATTCGGCGCTGTTCTCGGAGTCCCCGAGATGATCCCGAAATGAGCTTGAGCGCAGTGCGGTTCGCGTACCGTCCAGGGGTACCACACCCCAGGAGATATCAGGATTCACTCCCCAAATCGCTTCGAACTTTACACGTGATAATCTACACCCCCGACGGCCCCTTATCACAACAATTAAGACGACGGCGATGGCAGAAACGGACACGACTATTGTGCTGGCTATTGGGGACTCTCAATTCGTCCTTGAACAGACAACAACTGTCGTAGCGCTCCCCGGGGGGCCGGAGCGATTCATCCCGGCAACAGCAGTCGACGGTGATGGGGACCATTTTGGCCACGCCGAGCTGGAGGAGGCCTGTATCCGGTTCAGAAGCGCCGATGATGTCTGGACGGAAGCCTTTCTCGAAGGTACGATGTCATCTTGGGATACGGTACACCGAACCACAACTCACTCACGGCTGTGCTAGTTCTCCTCCTCCAGTCCGTGGGCCCTCTTCAGTTGTCCGCGTCCATTGAGCGCAAATCGGTGCAGCTTCACGGCCTGAAAAACAGAGTGCCGAACGGTCCCTACGCCATACATTCTCCCTCCGGCAAGGTGTATAGCCTTCTGAAGCTGTACGAGGACACCAGCAATGCCTTCATACGAGGTACTATTCGCCCAGCTGGACACTCGAGATACAAGTGGCTTCACAGCACCGATGTAGGCACCGCATGCACTATCTGATATTGGCCTACGCGGTTGGACTAAGCTATCTTGCAGCATATAGCCGTGCCATCAAGGCTCTCTACTAAGGGTCCAGATGCCCAGATGCCGTTGCGCGGATTGCGATTCGCGGTCAAGGATGCCATTGACGTTGCTGGCCTGGAGACCGGCTGCGGAAGCTCTTGCTACCGGTCATTCTATCCACCTCAGGAGTCTTCCGCTGCATTCATCAATCAACTGGTATCTGCCGGCGCTGTTCTCGTGGGCAAAACGAGACTTGGTATGTGGTGCGATGGGCAAGATCCTACGGAACGGTTAGTTGCACCGGCCCTTTTCATCGACTCGTGCGTATTCACAAATATCTGCAGCCTAGAAGAGGTCACACCTACCAACCCTCGAGGAGACGGGTTTCAGAAACCTGGCGGCTCGAGTTCTGGCTCGGCTGCAGCGACGGCCAGCTACCCCTGGCTAGACTTTACGATTGGGACGGATACGGGGGGCTCAGTGCGGCATCCTGCTGGACTCTGTGGCGTGTTCGGGATGAGGCCCTCACACGGTAGTAACAACAGCTCGGGGCTTGTGTGTGCAGCATCGATGGACACACCTGGCATTTTTGCCCGGTCTGTAGCCATTACTCGGGATGTTTCCAGAGTCATGATGGACCAGTCCTGGGACAATTCCATCGCCAAACCAGACAAGCTGCGTTATAAGATCTTGTATGCTGTTGAATCAGACTCGTCCGAGCCCAGCGAGACGCCGAGGTTCTTCTCATCTCAACGACGGGGTCCCGAGGCAAACACTCCCGCTGGGCTCATATTGGAGAGCTTTGCACGGGATTTGGAAAACCACCTGGGTTGCAAACGTCAGGAAGTTTGCCTCGACGACCTTTGGATGAAAACTCGTCCAGAGGGTGCCCCAGAGAGCCTTGTTGAAGCAACGGGCACAATCTACCAGACAGTGCTATACTACGAACTCATGCACGACGTCGTCCAACCATTTATAAAAGACTATCAAGCTGCGAGATCGCGCGCGCCCTTCATCGAGCCCATCACCAAGGCACGGTTGGACTATGGAGCAGGAATACCCAAGGCTGTTTATGAACAATCTGTCGCGGCCCTGAAAACATATGCCACGTGGGTCAATGAAGTCCTTTTACCGCTTCCATCATCCGAGGACACAGAGGGCACGACAATACCGCTGCTAGTTTACCCGCAGAGCTGGGGCAGGCCGCAGTATAGGAATGATGGCCCAAGGCGGGCAGAGGGCAATATCTTTTGGAGTGGAGTTTCCACCTATTCCATCAGCTACTGCTCAGGCTGTCCTGATGTAACAGTGCCCCTTGGCGAAACCGGCTTCCAATCCAAGTTCACAGAATCCCGGGAACATCTTCCTGTGGCTGTTTCAGTTCTTGCGCCTCGGGGCATGGACAATGAGCTACTCAGCATACTGGCGGACCTCGAAGCCAAAAAAGTACTGAAGCCTGTCCAGTGCGGATCGCGGTTATATGCAGAAGGACAATCCTCATAGGTCATTGTACTTCATTGTTACCGCGAGCGAAGTGAAGCGGCAGCTGCGTCGAGCTGGTCATTGGCTATCGCGCAAATACGCTCCACGAAGAGAGTCGGCTGGACGGTCATGTGCTCGAAGCGACCAATGAAGCCATCACTCAGTGCGGTGGGATGCTGGGCCCTTACTCATCCCGAAATAAGGGCTGAGTAACCGCCCCTTGGGGCTGAACCGCAACCACCATTATATAGGCCATGCCTCAATTTCATGTCTCGGCGGTCTGGGGGTATTTACATAGGTCCACAAGACTCCAAGTCTGCCTCCAATGGCTGTTTACACGCTGATTCTGGGGCTGTTGGCGCCTCTGGTGATACTTGGGGTCATTCGTCTCATTCGCCCCTCAGCGCAGGCCATCAACTTTCCGCCAGGCCCGCCGTCTGTCCCACTGCTGGGTAATCTGCATCAAGTACCTCCCAAGAAATCATTCCTCGAGCTTGCAGAACTGAACCGTACATATGGCTCTCGTGGGCTTATGGGCCTTCGGCTTGGTCCAAGTGCCAACGTCGTGGTCCTCAGCAGCTGGAAGGCCGTACGTGACCTGGTCGACCAGCGCGGTGCGATATACTCGTCCCGCCCGTATGTACCTCTGGTCGAGTATGTTGTCCCTCCCCCGGGAGACATCCACCTCGTGTTCACGCCTTATGGGCCAAAGTGGCGCAAGGGGCGCAAGACGGTCACCGACTTCCTGAAAGACAGCGAGGTCGACAAGCTGCTCCCGATACAGGATGCCGAATCGTCTCAGCTCATGTTCGAGTTACTACAAGACCCAAAGCGCTATTATGACCACATACCGAGATGCTTCGGTGCTGTCATAACGGCGTCCGTATTCGGCACGCGGGGGATGGACTACAGCGACACAGCCATCGTCAAACGTTTCTTCGACGTACAGGGCGAGTGGGCAGGCATGCTCGGAGACGGTTCATTTCCACCCTTTGATGTCTTTCCATTCCTTCGATATGTCCCGGATGTCCTTCTTACGCCTTGGCGAGGGTGGAGAAAGCGAGCAGAGTCCTTGAAGCAACGACAGAACGGACTGTATCGTGAGCTCCTGTCCGGAGTTCGAGAACGAGTGGCGAAGGGGCAGAGCCAGCATTGCTTCCTCGCAGGGCTGTTACAGCACAGAGAGAAAGATGGCTACAGTGACGTGGAGCTGGAGTACATCGGTGGTCTTCTGATGGAAGGGGGTTCCGATACGACGGCGGCTGTCTTTGAAACGTTCGTACTGGCCATGGCGGCTTTCCCGCAGCTGCAGAAAAGGGCGCAGAAAGAGGCAGACGCATTCTTCGGGCACGACAAGATGTCTAGTGATGAGAAGCCAAGCTCGGAAAACCTGCCGTTCCTGAAAGCGTGCTTCCTTGAAGTAAGTTCTTATAATTGGTCCTCATGGCGGCTGCAACGGCTTACCAAGGCCTCCTATTTAGAGTCTACGATGGAGGCCCAGCTTCCCGATGAATATTCCGCATGCCACCTCACAAGACGACACGTACGAAGGCTTCTTCATCCCGGCAGGCACAACGGTTCTTATGAACATCTGGGCTATTCACCACGACCCTGACGAATATGAGGACGCAGACAGCTTTGACCCCTCACGGTTTCTCAAACACCCACTTGGGCTCAGGGCCAACGTCGACGAAGAGGCCAAGATGCCCGAGACGAGAGGCTTACGCCGGCCGAGTTACGGGTTCGGTGCGGGGAGACGGGTGTGCCCGGGTCAACGCATGGCGGAGAACAGCTTGCTCATGGCCATGGTGAAGCTCCTGTGGTCGTTCGATATCGTGGCACTTCCGGGACCTGGACAGCTGGACACGAGCGTGTTGAGTGGTTTCAGAGACGCCATCCTCACAGGTCCAAAGCACTTTGGTGTCGACTATGTGGTCAGGAGCGAAGCGAAGAAGAAGGCTATCGCGCAAGAATGGGCAAGGGCAGACGGGTTTCTGAAGCAGTATGAGTAATAAAGCCGGTTGGTGAAGATGGCGCCATGGATATTGCGGCTGGGTTTCCTTTGTATGACTCCCGATGGTGATACTGTGTATGCTGCCAGTAAAGCAGTAATTATGGTAAAGAACACAGAACACAGAACACAGAACACAGACCTACCATGGTAAATAATAACTCGGAACTACCTGCAACGAATGGAATGTTGAAGGATTGGGACCTGACTCAGCGGGGCCGGTGGTTTGTTCGGCATCTTCCGAGCACAGGGGACGAATGCGCTAAAACCCGTTGATTACGGTGCTTCAACCCCTGCAGCCCCAGCGGATGTAGTAGATGCCGCGACCCGCTGACGTCGCCGGCGTCTCTGGTGTTTCGGCATCTCAACAAATATGGATTTCTCGAGGCGGTCAACGAGTCAACTGCGGGACGAGACAGCGAGATTCCTCGTCAATCTTCTGAAGTCCAGTCTCCTCCCAGACACGTGCTTGCAGATTCGACCAGATGCTCAAAGGGCGTTTGGGCTGCTCCCTGCTCTCGTCAACGCGACGCACCTTCATCACCAGGGTCACCGTCACGCACCAACAAGCACCCCGCAGTTTGAGTCTGGCACGCTATTCGAGCCAGTCCGGCAGCAACAGCGGCAGTAACAACAGCAGTAGCACCGGCAGGAAGGACAGTTGGCGCACCATGGCCGAGTCGGACATATCGAGGTATCTCCAGGAGACGCACGACCGCGTCTTCGACCACAACCGCGCCTGGGCGGCCGAGCAGTCCAAGAACGACCCCGAGTTCTTCACCAAGCTGTCGGCCGGCCAGAGCCCGGACTACCTCTGGATCGGATGCAGCGACTCGCGTATCCCCGCCGAGCAGATCACCGGCCTGGAGCCCGGCGAGGCCTTCGTCCACCGCAACATCGCCAACCTCGTCGTCAACACCGACCTCAACGTCATGAGCGTTATTAACTATGCCGTGCGTCACCTGCAGGTCAAGCACATCGTCGTGTGCGGTCACTACGGCTGCGGTGGTGTCAAGGCCGCCATGACACCCAAGGACCTGGGCCTGCTCAACCCATGGCTCCGCAACATCCGGGACGTCTACCGGCTGCACGAGAAGGAGCTGGACGCCATCTCGGACGAGACGGCGCGCTACGACCGCCTGGTCGAGCTCAGCGTCGTCGAGCAGTGCCGCAACGTCATCAAGACGGCCGCCGTCCAGCAGTCGTACGCGAAGAACCAGTTCCCCATTGTCCACGGCTGGGTCTTTGGCTTTGGGGACGGGCTGCTCAAGGACCTCAAGGTCGACCACGAGGCCATGCTCCACGGCATCCAGAAGATCTACAATCTCACCGAGTGATCTGGCCCGCCGAAGGATGGACGGGAGGTTGGACGGAACATTGAAATCACGTCATGAGCTGCTGGGAGCGGTCCAGGGCGTCTCAGGAGGGTAAAGCTTGGCATCGGAAAGGGAAAGGGGAAGAAAAAGGACGAGAAGGGAGCTGTTGAGCTTGCTCTCGAGTGGACTTTTGGCACTCTTCATCCTGGGTAGACTTGTGGCATAGTAGACGGTTTTGTCCGAATAATACTACACTGAAAAGCTGAAGCTGGTATTGCACGCATTGCTACGGAATGGCTGTCTGGGCACGTGTGCCAGGAGTATTGATGGCAATAGAACGGGTTGACTGCCGAATCCAGCTCAATGAGGCACCTAATGTACGCAATATATTGGGGGTGGCTTCAAAGACTCCCGACGCCCGGAGCTCGGACTGCGACTGTTAAACCTCATGTGAGATATGATTTGCTCAGGCCGACAAGAGCTTAGATGAATTCGGTACCTGCTTCTCTAATGATGAAGTCGACGAATTGTTTCCCGGCGTGTGCTGCGAAATAGGATTCGACAATGCTACGCTGACCCGCCATAAGTCTCCGAGCATCCCCGCATTTACACCAAAATGCCCTACCTTTACGCTTTTATAACTAAAGACTTAAAGCTTTTTAAAATGAGAATTATAAGAAACTAATATTTGAAAATGCTGAAGTTTTCGTAAATAATTTCTAAATATTTATTCTCTTAGCGATTAAAATATTAAGAAATAGATATATAAAAGTAAAGTTTAAAGTTTAAAATCTTAAATCTTAAATCTTAATAAAGCTATGAGAAATGTTTAAAAAATCGTATAAGTCGTAATAAAGTTATATAATATTAAATGACATGTAATACACGTATAAGACGAAAAACCTTATGTGATAGATTTAAAAAAAATAGATATGTTAGGAAGTTATTTTTATCGAAAATTTAACCCTTAATAAAGTAACATTTACGACCTTTATCTTTAAGATGTCAAAGTTTTTAAATAAACCATTTTAATATTCCAGTAAATTTAACTATATGTACTATAAGTACCTAAGTTGTATCTATTTTACTCGATTTATCACGATCGCGTAATGTTGGGGTGTTTTGGTGTAAAACAGGGATGCTCGGAGACTTATGGCCGGGGAGTGTACCTGACATGGGCCATGGCAGATCTAGATGGGGTAGATACGAAGGAGGGTGCAGGCAATACTTCCCCATTTGCAGGGGAGGCTGAATTATTGACAGGCATCTCAACCCCAATCGGTCGACTCTCGAGGCCGTCTCGCCTTCCTAGGTACCTAGGCTGTCAGGTCGTTCAAAGAGTTCTCGATGGCCTCGCTCTCTATTACACGCGCACCACATGTAGGTAGTCTAGACTATATACCTATAGCAGTTCTAGACAGATACGGTATAGGACAGTCCCGGCACAGTTCGCATCTCGGCCGCTAGACATCCGGTACCTGACCAGTTCGTATTCATCCTGAGCCAAGCGTCCACTAGCTGGCGCTGCTGCAGTGCTACGATAGTCCGTGGCGGCACTATTGTCCTCTTTCAAGTTTCTGGCCGCTTTGCGCCTCTCTCTCTCTCAGCTGCAGCTTGCAGCCTGCAGGTGCTTTTGGCGCCCATGTTTATCATTTTTTCCTCGACTCTGCTCGGGCGTGGGCTAACGAGTCGCGATGGCGTCCTCCGGCTTTACCGGGTACCTATGTGCCTATGTGCCCTCTACCCCCCTTACAAGTTGCCTCCAGCTGTTTCGTTTCGTTCGTGTCGTTGTGTGTGTGTTTAACTTGACTTCTTTCGTGTCGTTCTTCGCCGTCCAGTGCCAATTGTCGTCCTGAAACACCCTGTCTGAGCCGTCAGGTTCAAGGAGGCACTGCTTAACCTCATGCACGCTCGCTCGTCTGACAAGGCATAGCGATTGACAGCATTCATCACTCACTCATAGTCTCTCTTTCGCACTACTTTCGTTATTCATCATGTTTATCTCGTGTGCTCTGGCCCTCGCGGTCTCTTCCGTCGCACTCGCGCAGACCTCATCGTCGAAGCGTGGCCTGGTGTTTGTTCCGAACGCCGACAGTGCCAAGGACAATCAGATATGGGTTCAGTCCGGGTCCGACTTGACGTGGTACTACAACTACGACGCGATGCCCTCCCCAGCCTTCGCCGGCGTGTCGCAGGCCGACTTCGAGTTTGTCCCCCAGCTGTGGGGGAATACCGACGGCACCACCTTCCTCGACCAAGTCGAGGGCCTGATAGATTCCGGACGCAACATCACCCACGTGCTGGGGTTCAACGAGCCGGACGGGCCCGCTCAATATGGCGGTAGCAACATGGACCCTTCGGTCGCTGCGGGCGTCTGGGTGCAGAACATCGCTCCGCTGGCCGACAAGGGCGTCAAGCTGGGCCTGCCCGCCTGCACCGGTGGCACCGGAGGCATTCCGTGGCTGCAGCAGTTCCTCGGGAACTGCTCGAGTCTGATCAGCACCGGCGGCCACACCAAGAACTGCACCTACGACTTCGTGACCATCCACTGGTACGGGAACTTCGAGGGGCTGGCGAGCCACATGGGTTCCTACTCGGCCGCGTAAGTTTGCCTTCGCTGCTGACCTCGGCGAGTATCGTGTGGGCTAACAGACGACGCGCAGTTTCCCGAACGTCACGCAATGGATCACCGAATACAACCTGAACGACCAGGACCTGACCACCACCCAGAGCTTCTACAACACGTCATCCCAGTACTTCGACCGCATCGACAGTGTCGCTCGCTATAGCCTCTTCGGCTCGTTCCGGTCAAAAGATAGCAACGTCGGCCCCAACGCCGTCATGCTGAACAACGACGGGAAGCTCACCGATATTGGCTCGTGGTACCTGGGCGGCACCGCGACTGGTGTCAAGCCTCAGTCGGCAGCAGGGAGGTATCAGGCGCATGTCCTGTGGGCGGTTGCTTTCGCGGCTGCCGGAAGTGTCCTGCTATGGACCTAGACACTTCAGTCCGATGTGACGCGGGTATTACAGGAAGAAGCCCATCCCCTTGACTGAGGCCTGGATACAGGGGCAAGGGCGGCGACTACATATCCTTTCGGACGGAGACGACCTTATTGCGCAATGCTTTGAACGACACACTTCTGCATCCGAATGCGTAGTGTTGGTTAGACCACGTCTAGCTAGGTTCGGGTCATGTATGGGATTATTTTCTTGGTTTTCGCATAGACACATACATGGGAGGTAAATTAGGCGTTCGTTGGACAGGACTCAAACTGCTTAGAAAATTGAGTTCCCCGTCTTTGGCATATAGGGTATATCACCTTTGATCATAAGTACACAAGGTATAGAAGGTATCTTATTAGATAATAAGACTGTATGAACACATGCAAGGTATCAGGCTAATTTCGCTCCATCTCTCGAGCTGCGAGACACCGACGTAGCTATCATCGAGGAATGCTTGCCACACAGCTTCTCAGAGTCGAACCCCCAAAACGTGCCATCCTTTCCCTGCGCGAGTGATCTGAGGCGCTCCATCGTACTGGTCGCCGACTCTACCTCCCACGGTGGATGTAGGCAGCACCAGCCAGGTGCTGTCTAGCACTCGATTCCGACGGTGGCTTTAGCCTGTCAGGGACTCAGCGTATCTAGCAGTAGTATGCTCTTCTTTCTCCCTCGAGCCCCGATATAATTATAACGCTTCCTCGGACGCTCAAGTTGCGCCATAGCACCGTACCATCGTTATACCGATATCTAGACTACAAAGTACCTGGAGGCGCTGTACTCTCAGGTCAATATCCGTGTATTATCTCCTAGCTAGAAGCGACCAACGTTAAAACAAAAGCGCCTTGTTTCGATCCGAGTCTCTGGCGAGTCTGGATGGCTTCTACCCCGGATTTGCAGTGAAATAGACTAGTGGCGGTTAAGGGGGGCGCCATCTGCCGAAGACCGAAGTCCCCGAAGCCTCGGCAAAACGTAAACATGTGGGCTACATATATCGAACGGTCGCCTCCCATCTACCATCTAGATGAACAAGATCACCGTTTGACTCTCACTCTTCTGTTGACGTTTTGAAGACTTTCACCTTGAGTCAATCTGTTCATAAACTTCAATTTCTAGCAGCGAAGATGGCTACCGAACGAGTCACCTCTATCCTCAAGCAACTCTCGCCGACCTCGCCAGTGGCCGCCATGTAAGCAGGACATCCCCTCCACCGTGTGAAGTCATAGTCGCAGTCGCAGGCTGTATCTAGAGCAGGGCAGCCCGGCTCCTGTCAGACCATCGAGGACTAACACGCGCAACTCAGTACCTCAAAGAGCCCAGACGATGTCGTCATCACCCTCGCGGTCCGAACGCCGCTCTGCAAGGCCAAGAAGGGCGGGTTCAAGGATACCAGTCTCGAATACATAATGTACGCGCTGCTCAAGGCTACGCGCGAGCGCATGGGTTTCTCGCCGGACCTTGTCGAGGATGTTTGCATGGGCAACGTACGTACAGCTGCGGATTTCCCCGACTCGCAGATGCGGTCACTAACGAGTACAACCTTCCAGGTCTCCGACGGCAAAGCAGCCTACAAAGTGCGCGCCGCGCTCCTCGCTGCCGGCTTCCCGAATACCACCGCCGCCTCGTCCGTAAACCGATTCTGCTCCTCGGGTCTGAAGGCCACTGCCGATATCGCCGCCGGCGTCGCCACTGGCGCAATCGAGATCGGAATCGCGGCCGGAGCCGAGTCGATGACAACAGGAGGCGACGCACTTGAGCAGCCTTTCGACGAAGAGGTGCTCAAACAAAGCCAGGAGGCCGTCGACTGCATGATGGCCATGGGATGGACGAGCGAGAACGTGGCCAAGGACTTTGGGGTCACCCGCGACGCCGTGGATGAATTCGCTGCAGAGAGCTTCAGAAGAGCCGAAGAGTCACAAAAGTTCGGCTGGTCCACTGACGAGATCGTCCCCATCACAACCACTGTCAAGGGGCCCGACGGCGAGTCGAAGACGGTCACGTTGACGAAGGACGAGGGCATCCGACCTGGGACGACAGCTGCAGGGCTGAAGAAGATCCGTGCCGCCTTCCCACAATGGGGTCCCGTCACCACGGGTGGCAATGCCAGTCAGGTCACCGACGGTGCGGCGGCGGTAGTGCTGATGAAGAGATCGAAAGCCATCGAACTCGGCCTGCCGGTCATGGCCAAGTACGTAGGTTCGACCGTTGCCGGACTGCCGCCCAGGATCATGGGTATCGGTCCCACGGTCGCGATCCCCAAGCTCCTCAAGCAGCACCACCTCACGCTGGACGACTGCGATGTCATCGAGGTCAACGAGGCCTTTGGTACCATGGCTGTCTACACTAGAGATCACCTCAAGATAGACTGGGCCAAGATGAACCCGCGGGGCGGTGCTATTGCCCTCGGCCACCCTCTCGGCACCACGGGAGCTCGACAGATCGTCACTGGTCTGAGCGAGTGCAGGCGGACGAAGAAGAAGATCCTGCTGACGAGCATGTGTATTGGGACGGGTATGGGTATGGCTGGACTCTTCGTGAATGAGCAATGATCGCGATGCACACGACGAACATGATGGCTATTCTCGCATAGTTGCTTCGGAAAAGCGATATGAATTGCATACGTTCTATAACCTAGAACCCCACTAGCTTGTACATGTGAATAAGTCTCACCACAAAGCCAACTGCTGCCATTGAAGGATGTTTTATGAGTCACCGCCCAGGTTTAGCAGTACTGCCATGGCTGCAGAGGCCTTCGTCAGGGCCCAATAGCTGTTCGTCAGAGCTCCCAGTCTTGGTGGAACAAGAAGCCGACATTTCCTCTCGACTGGACGTTTCCCGCAGATCTGCGGTTTGCGTTCGTCTTTTCAAAGTCTCACGATTACGGGGACCAGCTTGACCCCATTTGCCATACATAAACTCATCAGTTGATTCAGTCGCACCTGTTCGTTATCGACTATCTAGCAACCGTCAAGGCAGCTTCAAGTAGGTTCACAAGGGGCAAATGGTCAAATGACACCTCCAATTATTGTGATTGATCACTGTCGGATCGTGTAACCTAGGTATATGCTTCAATGAGCAAGTGCTCTTGCATACTAAACACTCAGTCTCCATGTCTCGTTGAACATTCGCGTCCCCTGGCGTGCGAGTCGTGCGGGTGGCCGAGCAATAGGCGAGAGCATGTCTGCTGTGTTGCCTGATTGTTGCGAGGTTTCCTGGACCTCGGGCATAACTGCTGTGTTGCCTGAATCTTGCGACGTCTCCTGGACCGGGGGCTTCTCTGCTGCCAGAGCCGTTGCCGCAGGTTCCTGCTGAGCCCTCTCTCGCTTTCGCTTTTCCCTCTTCTGTCTCTTTTCCAGTTTGGCCTTTCGCCACTTCATACCGTTTCTCATGACTAGGTAGAGAACAGGAGAAAACACCGTATATACCAGTGCGAGGATGGTAAAGGACCATCCAGCTCCGATACTGTTGATAAGGGGGTTGATGACCGCAGTGGCGGCGGCTCCGACCAAGCACCTGGTCAAGTTGTTCGCTGCCGTCGCCGCACCTGCTTGACCTGTGTTGATGTCCACGATGAGAATATTGATGCTGTTACTGAACCCGACCAAGGAAACACCAATCAGGAAAAGAAGGACGATGGGGACGGCCAGAGGCGGTCGGGACTGGAGTGCCCAACCCCACGCAACTAGGATGAGGGTAAATATGGCCAGCTGTGGCATGCTTATCTCAAGGCGGGCTTTTTCGATAGGGAAGTCGGACAGATCTTGCTGGCGTTGTCTATCAAACGGAAAGTTGAGTTTCTTGCAATGACGCCTGTAGTTCCAATTGGCCAGTTTTCCCATCGAGAACGCTGATAATATCGACCCACCGCCCAAAGGCAGATACATCAACCCGATTTTCAGGTCGTCGAATCCATATATGTCTCTGAGTTGGACAGGAAGAGCGGTAGCAATGGCGTAGAACCCAGCAAAAATGAAGCTGCTGTACCCAAGTAATAGGAACATCTCTGTCTCGAAAAGGATAAGCAAGGACCGAGCCGGGTTTGGGCTCTTCATGTGAAAGCTTGGCTTGGTTGAGGCCCGTGAAGTTGTTGGTGGAGGGGAAAGATCTTCGGTGCCTCGAGCGGCTCGGTGCTTGCGCCAGGCGTCCTTGATGAGTTGCCAGAAGGTACGGTAAGCGGGGTGTGGTCGGACTGAGCCATCGCCAACGATGGTCCGACAGGTCTCTGGCATGAAGAGTGCATACAGAAAGAAAACGAATCCAGAACTAATGGTCAGGAACCAGAAGATCCAGCGCCAACCAAGGTACTGAGAGAAGATACCACCCAGGACGGGGCCAAGGGAAGGCGCGAGAATGATGGGGACAGTGGTCCAGCCAACATACTGGCCTCGTTCCGCTGAGGTGATAACATCCGACACGACGGCCTGGCAGAGGGCGATGGTGGTGCTCGCACCGGCCGACTGTAGGGAGCGAAGGATGAGGAGCGCGACGTAGTTGGGTGCCAGGGCACATCCGATGTTGGCGGCAATGTAGACGACGAAGCAGAAGAGGTAGGCAGGCCTTCTCCCTGTCGCATCTGCAAACGTGCCGACGAACATGGGCGTGATGCCCTGAAAGATCTGGTCGACATTAGCTTAGGGGTTGGTCACGGGTGTTTTAAGAATGCGCCTCCTATCTTACCATGTATGTTGTCACTGTGAGGTTGATCTGGCTCGCGGTGACATGCAAGTCCTCAGCCAGGACATTCAGGGCCGGGAAGTAGATCTGGCCGCTTAAAGGGGAGAAGAAGGCACCGGCAGCAGCGCCCAGGACGATGGCTCGCTTCTCCCACGTGGTGAAGACGGAGTAGTTGGACTCCTCAGGAGCCACCCGGGCTTCACTGCGAGCCTCCACGTCACTATCCTGCTGTTGGCTCTGCCCCGGCGTCATGACTGTGTCGGCTGATGCTGCTCCCCTGATGGTCCGGGACATGGCTGATCCGATCGATGGTCTCGCATCAACTGTGGTCCCAGACCCAGCATCGTCACTGATGCGCACCTTCTCTCCGGTGTTCGCGCGTGATGTCTCGGCCATTTTTCGTGACTTGTCGGTCGATGAGGTCGGCAGGTTGTTCATGCACAGCGAAGTCCAGAGGGCAAGAAGATACATGGAACGGGGGTGGGAGAGATAGTCTTTATATGACCTTTAGCGATGGCCCGTAGTCGGCTCCGCCGGCGTGTAACGCAATCTTGAGGCTCGGTCTGTGCAATGCGAGCAATTCAACAGGAAATCCATTGGGACAGAAGGTTGCAATCCGAAACACGTCGGCATGGTGGTACTTGGGACCTTGGTCTGCTCAAGCGTGGGGGGTAGGTATTTCAGAGCAACAGAACAAGAGAGCGTTCGGAGCCGTCACGGCTACAGCTCCTTTCTGGAGAAGCCGCATGTAGGCTTGAGGTATAGGTAGGTAGGTAAGTAAATAAGGGATTTCTTCACTTACATGCCTACTGTACCTACCCTAGGTATGAAGTTCCGGCGTTTATTGGGGGGATGTCTAGTACCACTGCCAGGGTGACAAGGGACGTAGCGGAAGCGTCAGGAGGCGATCACTGATGTACCTAGATGTAGCCATGGCCGCAGGCGAGTGCAACCCAGTCTCTCACAAAGAGGCGAGAAGTGTAGAGTGGTGAGGGCTGCACGGAGTATACGGGGAATACGGCGATTCACTCTGCGGCCGGCGGCGCATGGGCGGGACGCGAGAAGAGCCGGTCGTCAGCGACGCACCCGTAGACAACATTGCATGTTAATTTGTCAGTTGAGATAAAGCCCGTACATCAGGTCGAGTGATACGACACCCACGTGCTCGATGCAGGATGCACCGTTGTTTGATATAGCTGCGGGGCGGTCAAGATGGTGTCGGGGCTGGGATTTTGAGGCTGAAGCGGGCTGAACTTGCAACTTACCTTGTCACAGGGCTGATTATTTTGCCAAAGCCAGTCCGCCACTTGGGGCAGGCGGTGAGCAAGCTTTATTTGGGGGTTGGAGATCGGAGATTGGAGATTGGAGATTGGAGAAATGCCACCTATGTCCATCTGCCTGTCTGCCCATTGTGCAGTGCAAAAGCATACGCTCACACCCATTTAACCATTTAACATACAAACGCACTCATTGCTTGTCTCACGGCACCGGCGCCGGCAACCAACTAACTGACTAACTGACCGTCCGACTAATCGACTGTCCGCCTCGGCGCAGTGTCCTGGAGCATACCTACATCCTCCAAAGCTGTTCCCAAGAGTACAGGCTGCTGGCCTGACGGAAACTGCTACAAAATGGTACGCCATCCTTCTTCCATACTCCGACTCACGCTTGTCTAGGTAGCTTCTAACCTCATTATTATCAGAACACACAGTTCAACTCTGCGCTCAAGCAGTCCACCTCGATCAAGCGCGATCTCGCCAACCTCTCTTCCTCCTCTGACGGCGCCCCAACACCAGCTGCCTTGGGCTCTATATCCGCCGCCCTGACAGCCTTCTCGCGCACGCTCGACGAATATAACGCCCTGGCAAAGCAGGAGATGAATCCAGTCAAGCAAGACAAGGCCTATGACCGCATTAAGAACTTCCGCACCGAACTTTCCGAATTCCGCACCGAGTTCGCCAACCTCAAATCCCAACGCGAGGACGCCTCCCACGCCCAGAACCGCTCAGAGCTATTCGGCAGGCGACCCTTCACAACATCCACTCCCGAGAACCCGTATGCGAACGCGACGCCCTCATCGCCGAGCTCGACAGACCGCTATGGCAGCAGCAGTGGTGCCGTCGGCGGACAGCTAAGCATGGGCAGCGACGACTACACGAGAGAGTCACACGCGCTGCGGGAACAGGATTTCTTCCAAAACACGAACTCGGCCCTGGACGAGTACATCGCCCGCGGCCAGGCGGTTCTGGGCGACCTGGGAAGTCAACGCGAGATGCTCAAGCATACGCAGAAGCGCCTGTACAGCGTGGCCAACACGCTCGGTGTCAGCGGCGACACCATCCGCATGGTCGAGAGGCGGGCCAGGCAGGACAAATGGATATTCTGCGGTGGTGCCATCGTATTCTTCGCCTTCTGCTGGTTGTGTATACACTACCTGAGGAAATAGCGCCGGAGTCAAGACAAAACGATGGATACTGGAATGGCTCGGTTACTCGGACTACTGAAGGACATGGTTTGTTTACAGCAAGGCGTACGGCGTCATTTTGCATATGGGAAATCTAATGCGGGCTTTGCAGCTGCAGTTCTACCCGTCCCTCTGTCTCACTAACCTTGCCATGCTCCCGATGTTTCGCCATCTCGAAGTGACATCTAAAGTAGCCGTTTCGTCGCTGATCCTGTGCAACACGAACGGTGTACCCAGGTATGCTGTGCCAACTCTTCGGGGTATAGGACTCAATCTCGTACACGACCGCCATCACCAGTCAAGAACTGGTCCACCAGCTAGCCTTCCTGACGGCTCGTCCATATCCAGGAAACCGACCTCACTTCTTCACGTAATACGGCCATCATAGTTTATTGCCTACCAGGGGCTCAGCCAGCTGCACCACCTGTACCTCTTTCCAGGCGATGGTAAACAGCACATCTTCAGTAGTCTCGACCACGACCACGTCTGTCTCGGGGAGGACATGGTTGCTCGTGCTCATTTGGACGCCGAACTCGGTCGGCCAATCCTGGACGTCCCACTCCAGCCCCCGGGTCGTGATGACGCTTGGGCGTCCAACAGGGACGATACCGACGTATTTGGCAAAGGGGTCGCCGCTGACGCGCGCAAATCCGCTACAGAGGGCGCCGCGCTCGCGCACGTGGATGCGGTGCCGGCCCGGCTTAAGTACGAACGACAGGCTCTCGGGCGAAAGCAGGAACATACGACCGTCGGCGTAGGTGGGCGACGTCTGGAACATGTACAAGTGGTGCAGCTGGCTGAGCCCCTGGTCGGCGCGACCCCCGAGGCCGCCCAGGCAGACCAGATGTGTATGCCGGCCCGACAGCTCCTTACGGACCAGGCGAACTGCCTTGGTGAAGTCGGTCGCATATTGGTCTGCGTCCTGGATTATCCTGCAGGATCTGTGCCCCCGGCCCCGGGTGGTGGTGAAGAATGCTCGGGCCTCGTCGGACAGGGAGTCGAGGTCACCGATGATGACGTCTAGCTCTGACTGGGTTTGAATTAGCATATACCTACTTAAGTAGGTATTTCGAGATGGAGTAGTATCATAGGTGCCGTAGAACGTACAAGTGGATAATCTTGACCGGAAGCGGATTCCGTATTGAGCTTGTAGATATGGTTGGCACCCCCATCAGCAGCGACCCTCATAAAAGCTGAGTTCCATGTTAGACTTGAACACTCAACCGTGCATCTATCTACATACCAGTAGCCCAGAGATCCCTAAACAAGGCTTCGTCACTGAAAGGCTGGTTCAAGACGACCAAGGCAAACTTATAGCCCGGGTACAATAGAAACAGCCTGATGGGATACCATTCGAAGACTGGTCCGTCGTCGTCTGCCATGGGCGAGTTCATGGTGATGAGAGGCATTGCAGATTTTCAAAAAGGCAATGGTGGTGGTATGTTGGTACAGCTAGAGAATAACTCGGAAGATGTCGTCTTGGGTGCATACACTCTCGAAGTGGTCGGAACTAGGTATGTAAACAGTTGACTACAGGCTGAGGTCAATGGTCTTGTTCGAAATACCTACAGTACCATGTACCTACTCAGTTGATAAGAGGTAAGGAAGGCTTAGGGTTGATACAAGTAACATGGAAGGTATAAACTGACTTAGGTATTATTATACCTGTCGCGATCTCTGCCCACATTGAAGTCTTCCTCACAACATGAAATGAAGGAGGGCCACAATATCCACGGCGTCAAAATAGCTGGAGGTCCAAGCAGCGAAGGTGAACGCCAGCGCCATCCAATACCTGCATCAGCATTACCACCTGCCCAGGGCTAGCCTTGTTGGTGCCGGGTAGGTCCGCTGCATACTTACCTACATGTGAATATTATTATTGTTTAGGTAATCATGGGTGTGAAGCCGGGTGCTGGCTTGACCTCTTGACCTCAGACTTCAATTGAGTTGACGAGGGTGGCCCGAGCTTTGGAGTGACCGCATCGCGGAAACTGGGCGCGTTGTGCTTTTCGCAGCTGCCAAAAATTATTGACGAAAGCTGCTTACCAACCTTGAACCCTTGACTCGTTGACCAGAATCGCCAAGTTCCTTCATCCCAGACTTCCTCGTCACCCTCTTTACATCTCCTTTCAGCCAGTCACTCATTATCTCCCTCGTCTGCTACCATGTACAGATCGGCGCTGCGGTCCTCGCCGCGGCTCTCGAATTCCCTCCGTCGAACCGGCCTAGCCGCCAGCGGCCGCCGCTTTGCCTCGACCTCCCCAGCAGACAAGAAACGGAGCTGGAAGAGCTCAGCCGTAAGATGGGGTCTGGCTCTTGGTGCTGTGTACTGGTACAGCACAAGCGCAGCCTTTGCCGAGGAGCCACAGCGTATGCGACAAATTCCGATCCCTCCGAACCACAAGCTGTAGCTGACCAGTGTCTGTGCGAGCAGTGAAGACGATACCGCCACCTCCACAATTTTCCGACGAAGACCTGCCGACCGTAGAGGCTGTGGTCGCCCAGAAACGCCGGGAAGCTGAGGCACGGTCACAGAAGTCGGCCGCAGCGTCTGTCCCCGAACCGGCAACCGCTTCGCTATCCGCAGCAACCTCCCCGACAGCGCCGGTGCAAGACGTCGAGACGACTGGCCAGTCACACCCACCTTCTCCTCCACTTGCAGAAGGTAGCCCGGAAGCTTTGGAGGAGGAGGCAGGCCAGCAGGGCGCCTTCAATCCGGAGACGGGCGAGATCAACTGGGACTGCCCTTGTCTGGGTGGTATGGCGCACGGCCCTTGTGGCGAAGAGTTCAAGGCTGCCTTCAGCTGCTTTGTCTACTCGAACGAAGAGCCCAAGGGAATGGATTGCATTGACAAGTTTCAGTAAGTGTGATATGGAGGTTTACGTTGGCATTAGGGGCTGTGACTAATGTGCTTCACAGGCACATGCAGGACTGTTTCAGACTACATCCCGAAATCTACGGTGAGGAACTCGAAGACGACGAACAGCCGACAGACGGCGCGCCAGAGGCTGGTATCGAAACCTCGGCTGCAAAGACCTCAACCCCAGAGGCAGAGGCTTCTAGCACGGCCCCGGAGACTGCGAAGGCCAGCGCGCCAGAACCCGTGAAATCTACGCGCCCGACGGAAGAACCAAAGGAATCCGGCGGGGAGAGCGGCGATGTGATACCGAAAAGCGCACATGATGCTACATCGTCATCTGCGTCCAAGGCTTAATCAAAACGAGCCAGCAATGGGAGACAGTGCCGGATTTCCCTACATACGGGGCGACGCGGTTGGGATTGCTGATGACGGCCATTCCTATCTACTTGTACAACAGGAGGCTCAGGTCTAGATCATAGAGGTACGAGAAGATGTATGTAATTGTGTACTATATGTTTATATGTGCTGTACACGAGATATGCTGAAATAGACACCACTCACTGTGAGAAAGTTCTGGCTCGGACAGAATTCCCATCTACCCATTTACTCATTACACGAGGCACTCGTCTACTCTGTCATTCTCAGGCTGGAGGCCCTTATGCCTGCACCCCTTTGCTGAAGGTGTTGCGTGGATAAGCCCCTTTCCCATATCTGTGATATTACATGCGTCTAAACCACAATGGAATTATCGCAATTGCCTCCAGCTCCTGCCCGTCATGGGTAAATGCACACATTTGACGTCATGGGTGAGCTTCGAGCTGGCATCCCGTAAAGGTACGGTATGGGCGGCGCTAAGAAGGAGCTTGGAAGTTGGAACTGGGCGGGTGTCTCAGAGTGCGTCGCATGAATCCGTTCAGCGCATTCAACCCACTGTGATCGCTGTAATCGCTGTGACCAGTCGCTGCAGCGTGGAAAGCACGACGAGCCGCCAGTGACTGCCCGCCCGGTTTCTTCCCGCAAGCGTATCTGCATTCCCTTTCCAACCTGAACCTCATCCACCACCCGCCGACTACCTACTACTACTTCACAGCAAACAAGTCGCATCACCAGGTAGAGCTGTGCCGCATTCTCGGTACTCTTCGACTACCCGATTCCTTCGCAATATCTGTTTCCACCAGCTCCCTTCCGCAATAACACCCATCACAAGTAAGTCGTTTAACGCGGCAGACGAGGAAGAGGAGGGAATCGAAGTTGGAAAAGGCTGGCTAACACGGCTCTCTGCGCAGTGTCGTACGCTGCTGCTGCTGCATCGGGACCCCGGCAGACCCCCGAGGAGGTACGTTATCTGCGTCTGCCTCTACTTGCTTCTGCACATTGTGCATTGCATAGGCCGCGTCGTTCGCGATGCACCCCATCGGGAGTCACGCGACAACGGGTACATCTGCTAACCACGGGTCTCGTTGCTATAGGCTGCCGCTCCTCAACCTCCCCAGGTCGTCCACTCCGAGTCTGCTAGCACCAGTTCCCTCGTTGATGTCGACGCCCCTTCCGTCCGCACCGTCCCATCCGACTTCATGGAGCAGGATGTCCAGACCGACACCCAAGCTGCCCGCCGAGAGCTAGAAGATGCTGCCGAACATGCTGCCTCCCGCGCCCGCGCCGAGGCCGATATGGCCAAGAAGAAGGGCTCCGCCAAGGCGCGCAAGGCCGACAACATCCTCACCCAGTGGTTCGGCGACCTGAGCGAAGGCGCCAGCACCGCTCTCGTCGTCTCAAACCTGACTGCCATCATCGCGCTGAGCACCTACGGAGGCTACAAGGCCTGGGGCCTGTACGAGCGTGGCCGATTCGGCTGGAAGCACGTCGGAATTGGTGCTGGTGTGGCCCTGGGCGTTGGTCTCGTCGAGAGTATCGTTGGAGGGTGAGTGCCAATCCCCTTCCCCTATTTACTCAATGGCCTGCCGGGCCTATGCCGTGGCCCTGAATCGGATCGGACCCATGGGTCGCGCTATAGCACATGATCGGCAGCGGCTAACACCCATGCTACAGATACCTCTACAAGGGAAAGAAGGGGAAGCAGTCGTAGAGAAATGTTGCAGGCTACCATTGTCTCGACTCTTTTGACAACATCTTTCATGTGCAATGGTCGCGGAGTGTAGGGTGTGTGCGGCGGTACACGGAGTCTCTCCACTTGGTCTTCATAATTGCGATAGTCTCGTGTTTGTATGAATTTGACTGGTTTTCTGACAACATTGATTTACTGCGAGGTGAGGCTCACAACTGACGACATAGAACTGCCCGCAGTAGGCTCAGATCCCAGGTCGCACTACCTTGGGAAGGCATGGGATTTCCTTCCATGCGAGAAGTAAGATGGTTGAACCAGATCTGCATAAGTACCTAATGCAGCAAGGTCATTGGTTGTGTACCTAGTCAATGCCAGACTGCACTCCAGGGCTGTTTTCGAATTCATCCTTGGTGGATGATCATCCTACATGTAGGTGGTAACTTAGGTACCAAGGTACAGTGTGCAGGCAGATTTGAGCAGAGCTGAACCGCCGCCGATACCACCTCCTCCCTTCCTTCAACGCCGTGGAACTCTTCGCTGGCACTGGCACCATGCGGCCATACCAGCACGTGTATCAGCAGCATCGCTGCCACAATGACCGGCCCCAATGCCGCTGAACAGTCGCAAGAGGCGAGGAGGATGCCACTTCATCGTCAGTCTCAGGCTCTGCCTCCTCAAACTCCACCTCAACTTGGCGTCTACGGATCTGGAGTCAGTCCTGCAGAACGCTTCTTCGACCATGAGAGCGCGGCTGCCAATATCCAAGCACAAAACGCGCTGCGGTGTCGCATGCTCGCTCAGCAGGAACGCCAGCAACGCCTAGCACGTAGACAGGCCGTTCGCAACGACCGTGCGACCAGGGGCGCTCCAACGGTGATGACGCCTTTGCAGCAGATGAGCACAGCCGGAATCGTCTACGATACGCAGACAGTGGCTCCACAGCAGCGATGGGCGCAACAAGAGATAATCAGCCATCCGAGGCAGATGTCGAGCGGCCGCATTAACGACAGAATCAACGTGGCTCAAATGCAGTTCTTCTCGCAGCCCATGCATGCCAACCTTGGTCCCCAAAGCCGTCCTTCGCCACCTCCTTTTACTTTTGTTCCTGTTCATTTTCCTCGTACTCCTCCGACGACGATACTTGGTTCACGTCGGCTCCAGCGCCACTATGCCACCCACTTGAACGAAGTAAACGCACCCTCTCTAACTGATCTTAGCTCCGGAAACGAGGGTACTGCCTCGTCGGTAGACTGTGGTACTGAAGAAGCACTTACTGTCCCGACTGCGCAACCTTCGCCTGTCCCCTTGCAAATAAAGAGCGCATATGCCAGCTCACAGCCTCCACTCAAGTCTATACGTCTGCTAAAGTTGGTTCCTCCCGATTGGCCTGACTCGGTCACGAGTGACGATCAAGCTCTTGCAAGCTACAGCTTAGAGACCCTTCCTTATGTCGACCATCCGGACTACTTGGCCTTGTCTTATGCATGGGGTGATGAGCAGCTTACCAGCTCGATCCTCGTGAATGGGAAGCCCGTCAACATCCGGGAAAACTTCAGCAATGCGCTGACGTATTTGAGAGAGTCGGATCCGGGGATGTATTTGTGGGCAGATGCCAGTATGTCATCTCAAACTTATCGATTGTCCCTTTACTGTTGTGATATACTTCGCGATGGTCCTTTCTCATATCACAAGTCCACAACCTTTTCTTGCACCGCAAGCTAATTATGGCGTATGAGTTTGCATAAACCAAGAAGACGATCGGGAGAAATCTCAACTTGTCCAGCACATGGGGGAAATCTTCGCAAATGCGTCGAAAGTGTACGCTTGGCTTGGGCCGAACGAGCACGCGACGGACGAAACCTCGAGCGATGGTCTACTCTTGCACCTCTCCGATTTGGCAGCTCTGTTCTGGAAGCACGCTGGCCCCATGAGGTCTGGGAAGCTCAACGAGCACTCACTCGAGCTAGATCAGATCCTCGCCGGCTGTCTGTCTGACGTCCACTCAAAGTTCGAGTCCCCTCCTAGCCAGGGCGGATTTCCCACGGGGGAGTATTCGGCGTTCTCGGCAAGGCCATTCTGGCAACGCATCTGGGTTCTTCAGGAGGTCTACTTGGCGAAAGATCTTCACTTCATATGCGGCAGACGCCGTATGTTGTCCAAAGACCTGGCTGGCGCGCTGATACTGCTCGAGACCTTCCAGAAACATCTCATTAGCACGCACCAACTCTCGCGAGGAGTTGTTGAGATTAATCCACATCTCCATGAATTTGCCTACGGTTTTCCCTCCTTCCCAGAAATGCACCGCCTCATCGTTTACACTTCGATATATCCTCCCGATGTCATATCACTCCGCATTGCCATGACGAACTTCTGTGTCAAGGAGTTACCGAGGGGCTCCAGGAGCACCGACCCGAGAGACATGATCTACGGGCTCCTCGGCTTCGCCACTACTAGCGAGAGGTCTTATATCAAAGCAGACTACAGTCTAGACGCTCAGAAGACGTACACAGCTGTCACGCGCTCCATGATCGAGAACGGGTTTACAGATATCCTGGCATGGTCGCAGCCCGAGACTAAGGTCACCGCGAATCTTCCTAGCTGGGTGCCCGACTTCTCTGCGACCATATACGAAAGCCTATGTAGCCAAGGGCAGGCGAAAGCGTGGCTGCCAAAGTTCAACGCGTGCGGAACAACCCATCTTCCTAGCAAGACTCCGGGACCCCCTCACGATGCGATACTGTGCGTACATGGTCGGCACATCGACAACATTGCCCGAATCGGTACAGTCTGGTCCCCCCGGGCGCGGGTCGATTTCCCTTCGTCGTCTGTCCGAGCGGCAGAGACGATGCATTCGCGCTCTGCCACCTACGATGAACTGCTAGCCTTCCTAAGCGAGATTCAAGACTTGTGTTCCCACGCCCAGAAGCTTGCCGTCGATTCTTCGAACAGTAGCCGCGATACCGGCTTGAAGCCGCCCTCACATGAAGACTCAGCCTGGCGCGTTCCGTGCACCGACCAGATCGTGCTAGAGAGCCGACTCGTCCGCGGGGAACCCTCGACTCGTTCGCGGTATGAAGCTACGCTACGAGGTCTTCAAGAATGCGTCAACAAGAGAAGCAGAGATCTCCCATCCGAGTCTAGACCGTATGTGGAGGCCTTGCTGCGGTGGGTCAACAAGAGAGCGTTCGTCACGGAAAAGGGGTTCGTTGGGCTCGGTCCGGAAAGCATCAGACCCGGTGACAAGGTCGTGACTTTAGGTGGCTTTAGTGCCTGTTACGTGCTTAGGACTACGGGACAGGATGTGGATATGCCAGGTGCCCTGGGTCAGCATTCTCTGGTTGGTGAGGCATATGTTGATGGACTTATGGACGGGGAATTGGCGCAATCTACGTGTGAGGCTGATGAGCTGTTCTGCTTGGGTTGAGAGCCACACGTCACCACAAGACAGAAAAGGGGCCTTGGTAGTCCATGGGCCTGGAGTACAGCTACGACCCTGGGTATCCAGGAGCCTTCAGCTCTAGGCTGTGGTTTGTAAATAGAGTGAAGGTCCTCAGGCATGGGCGTTAGCCGTATCTGACTACGCTCGCCCCTTTTCTATCAGTTGATATCCTGCTTTCCGAGGCTACTTCCTAGCCAACGAGGCTTGATATGGAAGTAAATGCGTTTCTCAAGAGCGAGTAGAACTTTTGATCACGTACCGACGTCGGGATAGACAAACATTCTCTATCGCATATGTATTCATGCTGCAATTTGCAGCCTTGCGTTGCTTGCCCCAGCCAGTCTGCCCTTGAGAATATCACTGAACCTGATTGATTACAACTTCCATGTCAGCCACTTGAAGCGGTGGTACCAGATTTCCGCTGGTTCAGCAGGAGATTTCCTGAGGTGGCCTTCGCATTGACAACTTGGGCTGAAACTTTGACAAGAATGAGCCCAAAACATTGCCTCCGCACGATAGGCATCATGAGAGCCCTTCATACCTTGTCCCGAGGGCAGATTCCGAACCACATTCTACCCCAAACTGGTTCAGTCGAGTACACGGCGAAACCCATCCTCTCTGGTAACTGCATACTCTATCAGACTGAGGGGATGTATATGTTCGATGGGGCCATTTGATTGATCGACGGAATGTTTCGATGTGTTGAGGTTGATGTAGAATATATATCACATAAGTTGTGAGTAACTGGAGAGAAGAAGAAAACTATAGAGAAAGGGCACCGGACTTACCTTAATGGGCCCCCTGAATATATTTCGGTAGTAGTCGTCTTGGTAATAGGGACCGACGATGAGCTTCCGCACCAAGAATATGGGCACACCCGCAGCCTTGACATCGAACCCGAGACCATTGAGGTATGCATGGCTGTCACCAAGAATCGGGTTTCTCAAGCGAGCCCAAGCGAGCCACGCATCGGGATTGTCGCCGTTTGCCGCCCACTCTTCTTTGGTTGTTTTCCGGTAGTCCATGAAGATCTCGCAGGTCTTGAGCCGGAGGAACTGGCTGAGTACGATTCTAGGCTCTTCACCCGGATGGTTTCCTAATATCGCGACTCTCAGGTGCTTGACATGAGCCTTGGTGAAGTCGCTGATGCTCTCACTAAGATAGTAGATGCTCATGACGTTCGTGTCGCTCCAAGGGTCCACCCCAGCGCGCAACCTGGCATGCTCCCAGAAGATAGTCCGTCCTTCACTGTAGCATTGCTTGCAGGTCAATAGGACGTCGACGTGCCCCTCGGTGGTGAATGCGTCCGACTGTGCCTTCTCGACTGGCTTGTTGGTATCTCGTCGACGCGCGGGTGTAAAGGTGACTCGGGAACCTGCAAAGACGTAGCCGTAGATCCGGAGGCGCAGCTCCACAGGTATGCCCAGGAAGGTTGGAGTTGGAGCCGCTATCTCGGGGCTTTGCCAGGCGTGTACTCTGGTCTCTTGGGGAAGTGAGCGGTGACAACGGAAATAAGATTCAGGGTTACCGAATGGAAGACGGAATGATAAAAGTGTGCTTGATCCAATGTGGTTGGAGAGGAGATTGTCACAGTTCGGCTGCTGGTGACTCTAGAAATGACTTCGTTGATGTACGTGAAGAAGGAAAGAAACTATGAAGCTAGCTAGATGACAGGATCTGGTATATATAGGGGTTGACCCCTGGAGCTGTGGGGCTGTCATCAAGTGCCGTGACAGAGATGCCGGCGGACAAATGTGCCCAAAGTTGATGGGCCTTAGATCAATGTGAGTCTCACGTGCATGGCGCCTGCCTTGTGTAAGGGCAGGAACAAAGAGTATACCTAGACTCTTTGTTCTGCCCCTGGATACTTGGCCCCTGGATAGAAGCTTCCATCTCACCGTGGCAGCAACCGCACCTGCATGATCTAGACTCTGCACTGAATCTCCACATGCTGAATATCCAGGCATCTATGTTTTGAAGGCCACGATTCAGAGACAAGCCCAAATGTACGGGCCTGCACTGACAATTCTACGTGGCTAAGTTACAACCTAAGGTATAAATACCTACATGTAGGCAGGTAGTCAAACGTCACCTGGGGGAAGAGCCATAGAGGTCCAGATCTCACGTAGCACATGCAGCCATGTGGCCGTCTGGGCTCCACAGGTATGGTCTGAAAGGTTGGAGGCGCCATCGACGCAGCCTTCGGGCCCTTTACCATGGAAGAGAAAGACTGAGTGAAGCGTAGGGGTTGCATGGCCATGAGGAATGTTCATGGGCTGAAGAGAGCCTGACACAACCTGTAACAGGTACAATTAGTACACCAATGACCTGTGTGATACCCAAACCAGCTGGCATCCATCCACGTGATGCTTTCACTTCACTCTAACTGCGTCGCAAATTTTGTGACTACCTTAGTAACCAATTTCAAGACACCTGAGACGGTTTGCAGCGTGCATGAGTTTATAACGTCGGCCTTCTCGTTGATTAGATACCATCTGCGTCTCTGTCTCTTCCCGGCCCCTATTCAACAATAATCTAGTTTGGCCACTTTGCGGACACGTCCGTCTCGATACCTAATCTGATCCATCCAGCACGTAGCGCATCTTCCACCAGTTTCCCCATTTCCCCTCGTTGGCATCCTTGGTGGCGACGTCCATGACCCCTCCATTAAAATCAGTGAAGAAGACCGTACCGTCGTCGTCGATGTCGTCGATCTTGTATTTGTCGCCCTCTTTGACACCGAGGAACTTGGCAGTGACCCACTGATAGTCCTGGAGCCTCCATGTCGTGTCCCTGATGTTGTCCTGAGGTTTGATGATAACTTTTATGGTCCCTGCCAGCGCAGCTGAAAGGAGGGTAGCGACCACGAGTAGCTCTGAGGCGGTGGATTTACCGAGCATGATTCTGGGTGTGGGTAGTTGTTGGAATGATGTTCGTAGGTTGGTAGGTTGTTGGAAAGCTCGATGCTGAAAGTCCTTGCACCTTGACGGTATTCTGAATCTATGAACTTGCGGCTTTTGATTTGGAGTTCCTTCTTTCAAGGCGTTGTCTGCTGAGGGATCGTAGTTCCTTGCTGAACGTGTTGATGGTGTGGTATTGTGCTCTTGCATTTTCTGCTGTCGAGGCGGCCACGGACCTCTTATATGGCAGCTTTATGGAGGTGGCAATAGTTCGCTGGTGGTGGGAGGTTACGTATGTACCAGTACAAGCAAACGCTCCATGATATCAATCAAGCCCGATGGCCGATTTCGTTCTTTTTATAGGCAGCTAATGACGTAAAGGATCCCCAGGGCTAGCAACAAACGCGAATCCGTCGCCATCTCCAACATATTTCTGGAGTCGTGGCACGGTGGAACGGCATCTACAAGGCTCCGTCGCCCGCATCCACCCCATGGGTGAACTTGTCAAAAATTTCCGTTTTCTCTAAATCTATACATGTGACCATATGATCTGGCCAAGCGAGGCGAGCAATACCCAGATCATCCCCGCCCTAAAGTTTCACATGCTGGCTGCCCAGGCATCTGTGTCATGAATGGCAGGATTCCGAGAGAAGCAAGCTGCAAGTAGTGGAGAGCAACTACAGCAACAGTATCACGGTCACATGCTTGGGGTGGTCTGCTAATCTTATCAAGAATCTTCTGGACACGTGTCACAAGATGGCAGAGAAGCACAAGGAAACCTGGTCGGCCATTCAAGGGTGCGGGAGGAACTTCTGGGAGGCGGTCGCCAATAAACCAGTTCGTCTGATGGACAGCATCCATATAGACCAGGAGGTCAAGGACGAACGGCTAGAAGACCTGACGCGATACTTGAGCGGACGAAAGGAGTTCAACAAGACAGACATCCCGTATCGACGTGACTACTTGCTCTACGATCCTCTAGGCTGTGGAAAGTCTCGATATCATTAGCACTGGCTGGCCATTTCAGTCTTGATATGTACGTCGTGGGCATGTCCGGGAATAGGGATGATAGGCACGATATAGCCTCGCATCGTTGTTCATCGGCTTACCTGCTCGGTCCCTGGTGGTGCTAGAGGATACTGACGCTGTGGGTTTAGAGCAATGAGCAGAGAAAGGAATCGGCGGCACGAGTCCAGGGCAAGGATAGTAACAACATGCAATAAAAGCGACGTTCTCTGGCTTGTTCAACGTTCTCGATGGTGTCGCGTCCAGGGGATCGCATCGTGATCATGACCTCCATCATGCCAGACAACCTCGACTACGGCCCTGAGAAGACCTGGACGCATCGACATGATGTATCGCCTAAGTCATATCAACCAGGCCGCGGCCAACGACATGTTTGAACGCCTCATGGAAGAGGAACCGGCTGGGGACAAATCTGCAGATGAAGCGCAGAAATGGTCCAGTGACACCAAGGACGGCTCTGTCGATCAAGCGAAGGGAGACTCTGCTGATGAAGCCGAGGTTCAGTGCTCATTGACAAACAGCTTCATGCAGTGGCCTTAAAGTTGCCTGATCAGATCCCAGAAGAGACACCTACACCGGCAGAGATACGGGAAGTTCCTCTGCGGCATTGGGGGTGTCGGCCGAAGAAGGCAGATTCGATCTCGCCTTGGGCGGCAAAGGAGAAAGCCAAGAAGGAAGGGAGTAAAGCTCGCGACGTATCAGAGATGACAGCTCAACCGGCGAACGCTTATCAGCATCCCAGCAGTCACCACCCCCAATCAAGGGTTTACAGAAATGGACCGGTTCGCTGCTACCATGCAGACACTGAATGAGGGTGTGCTTGATGTTGATCCTGCTCTGCCGGTCGTTCCAGCTGATACGACGTAAGGCCCGGCCGGCTGAGACATGCGAGCGGGAGAGCTGCCCTCCTGACGGCTGGCGGTTGTTCCGTCTATGCGATTACTTGAGCGGTTGGCAGGTGCAGAGCATTCCCACCAACTTGATACCGACACGGCAACAATTGCTTACAGTCTTACAGATCGACGCTCCATGTCACTACCCTGTTAGGGCACTTAGCTCTGCTGTAGGCGCCGAGGGAGAGACGAAAACTCAGGGGGCGGAGGTTGCGTATAGTGTGCTTGCTAAGACCAGTCCTTCTTCATGATCTATTCTTGGGTACATTACTAATGGACACACATGGCGAGCTCGTGCTTCCGGGGAAACCAACAGTGGGGAGAATGCCTCAGTCGTTTCCTACCTAACTGAAGTCCCTAAACTTCAAGGCCGACTGGGCGTTTTTCGTGTCGTGCTCACGTTGGATTCTGGTATTTCATGTGGCGCCAGAGATCGCCGTTGACTTCGCTGATGCACCAGTGGCTGACAGGATTAGGTAGTCCGCGTGGTCGCCTGGCAATGAGCACTTGCTATAGGGGCAATGGACTACAACCACCAACCCGTGGCTGCTTCTTCCAATACAGATTATATCTCGCCGGTGACCAATTTTGCGGCTCTCCCTCTGTTAGATAATCCCATTCTCATAAGATCGCGTGTACTGTTCTATTCACACCATGGAATCTAAGTACAAACTCGATTATGGTATCTCTGTTCGGAAATACTATGCTTGGGCACCTAGACCTGAGGTGCCTGAGGTATCTGGAGGCAACACTACCTACTGTGCAGTCTCAAACCTGAGGAACGCACTGCTCCTCTGGCCAAATTGCCTCTCACGAATGGGTATGCGTTTAAGCACAACATTGTACTCCATGTGACCGCTCTGACAATATGAGATCAGTCATACCGATTACCGATGAACTCCTGGTACGCCGCGATTCCCATAATGCAGTCATGTCAACATACCACAAGCAGATTGGCGGATGCATCTTTCAACGCCATAGCAAACGAAGAATGCTGAACCCCCTTGTAGCACTCGTCGTGGCGTTACTTATTCATCCGTCTTTAGACAATCTGCGCAACCCCATGCAGAGGGGCTACTCCTATGAAGCCTCCTCGCCAAGTCTCCCGAGCCCGCTTCCTCCCTGATTTCGCATGTGCACATCTCTCAATCTACCTACCCAATGGCGTCGCAATGCAGGCGTCATTTTGACGAAGACCATGGCCTTGTTCTCGTCGGTGAGAGCCTTTTCGGCGATCTTCAGCTGCAAGTCGGCATCTTCGTCTGCAAACTCCTGAAACAAGATCTCGACGGCCTGCTCTGGCCATTTGGGCATCGCACGAGCCATGATGGCCTCGGTGAGAGACAAGATACCGTCCTCTAGGAGACCAGCAGCGTTGAAAGAGGGGTGTATGCCATGTGATGTTGCCGCCGTCGCTGCCCGAGGAGGGCCAGAAGCGGCAACGAGGGACGATGAGGACGGCGTCGATTGCGGAGCGAAAAAACTGGCAGAGAATCGAGAGGGTCTGCCGCGCCGCTTATCTGCATAGCTGGAGGCTGAATCTGTATGGGGTCGCTTTCGTGACTGGGAACTCGGAGCCTGCTCATCTGGTGGTGTAAGTGCGTTTGCGTTTGGCACTATTGACGATTGAAGCGGGATGTCGGTCGAGGGTGGTATTTGTACGGGCTGTTGTTGCGAGGTGGAGGGTGTAGGCATCTGTAGTTGTTGAGGCAGTTGGCCAGCAGGTAGCATCTGCTGGCTCGAACTCAGCGATGGACTCTGCGAGTACATGGACGACTCGAGGGATGGATCGATGATGGATTGGTCTGCATTGCTTTGTCTCCCAACTAGAGTGCCGTCGGGGTTCCTGCGCCGCGGCTTCATGATTCGTTTTGGGGCGCCGCCAGATCCCACAACGTCGGGGAACAGGATCTCCATGTATTCTTCGTGGTCGAACGGGCGGCCTCGGAGAGCCTTGGACAGGGGTTCTTTCTGGGGTTAGAGGTCAGCTTGCAGCCAGCTTGCGGGCATGAAGCCAAGTCGAATGGGGCGTAGGGGTGTATTGGTGACCGACCTCGAAGTGCCGCTGCCAGGCCTCCTCGGAGGCCGTGACCGTCCTCGAGGTGGGATTGTACAGAAACTCGGGGTCTTCTCTGAGTCCTCGCCACATGCGGAACTTCTTACGCGCGTTGTCGGCCTTGTTGATCAGATGGCTCTTCTCCGGGTAGGCGCCATGCTTGTCGCGCAAGGCGATGGCAGCGCGCTCCCATGCGCCCGACTTGAAGCTGTGGTTTTCTTTGAACCCCAGCTGCATGGACTCGCACAGCGACCTGAAGAAGGTATCCTCGAAGGCTTGGTTCCAGCTGAAGCGCGGTGTGCGGCGATCGGCGTTGCGCCGTGACGAGCTTCGCGCGGCGGTGGCTTCGACATCGTCGTCCGACATGGTGGCAGTTCTACCCCTAAAGCACCCGGAGGAAGACGGGGAGATGTGACCCGGGGCGCAGGACTGGTGATGGCCCGCGTGCCGGACACCCAGACACCCAGACACCCGACCCAGACACCGTGGTGAGAGCGGAGAGGGAAGCTCTCGAGCTCGCCGTCGTTATCGCTATCGGTCGAGCGGTGCCCGGGGACAGACTAGTATTTTATGGAGGTCGGATGGAGGGAGGCGGGATGGAGCTCAGCTGTTCGTTCGTATTGTTACGGTTCAATGTGAGGTTGGGTTCAGTTTGAAACGGTCGGTGTCGGTGGGCATTACCAGCCAACTCTCCGAGTCACGTGTGCAGAAAAGGATATCGTAGATAAGATAACAAGATAACAGCAAACCAGTCTAATCAGTCTCAGGCGTGTCGCTCGTCCAGTTCTTCCTCCATCGGACCATCATCAGCATTCGTGCCAACTGGACACGAATGGAGTGTTCAATTATTACATGAGTCAATACACAGTAACTCAGACCATACGGCATACGCTAGCTGAGATTCTTCGCGACAATTGATCGGGCCGTACTTGTAGCGTCGCCCAGCGTCGTGGCACCGTACATCGCTCCCCTAAACCCGAACACGAGCTTCTCCTTCTGCCAATACCATGGAAACGAGGATCATGTGTATTGAGAGATTGATCTCGCCTTCAGTTCTCATCAGGAATACCCGACACCAAGGCGTGCGCGTGACTGGACAGTGAACAGCCGTGGCCATCACACCCAGACGAGTATCGCCAAAACCAGGGTCATTCAAGCCTGGACTTGGTGCATTGGAGTGGAAAGGAGACGGGAAGGTCGAGATGTTATTCTTCCGTCAGATGATGCCATCAGAACCAGTCACGGCCTACGGGTGGTCGTGGTCTGCGGGGACACGTAAGATCTGGTTTCATCTCTTGGCACAGCCAGCCCTGCCGCCCTGTTGCTGTCCCTGTTGCTGTCCCTCAGACAAACCTGACAACCCTGACAACCCTGACAACCCTGAGCCTCCCACGATGACAATTATGACAGGGCCAATGATTCGTCCCCAAGGACGGCCACTGGCAGGTTGACGGGTCCAGTGGCCCGTTAATTGACTGTTGAGACACGCAACGTCCATACAAGCTTTTGACAACGTTGGAGCTTCCGGGGTAATACTCCAAACTCCCTTTCTCGTACCCGGGTGGCTTATCGTGATTCCCGCCTGTGTAGCAAGTAGCAAGCCACTCTTGCAAGACGCGAGAGGGTTTAAAGCCCTTCCTGCTTTCGACACGCTGTCAAATCATTCGGTCGCTCTGCAGATCGCAGCATTGCTACCCTGTGTCGCTCTTGAAACATCCCTCGCGTAAAATGGACAGCAAACGAATGCTGCATCTCCCCAAGTTTGGCTCACAGCTCAGTCATCCTGGTTCTGCCGGGGCCACCACCCACGTACCTACGTAGCTTGGAGGCGGAGGGACTGGCGAGACTGGTTGCGGAAGACGTAGCGGTATCACCCACGTCGCGCCTATATTAGACAAAGCAGTGCCTCAAGTCGACAGGTCGGAAACTGGGGTCATCGGGGGATAGCCCCCCTCTCCCCCTTTCAGGACCTCTTCATCGTTTCAATCACTGCATCACTCCCCGCGAATCGCGATCGGCAAGACTCCGTCGATTTCAGCCTCTGACGGTCAGGTAGGATAAGGTGACCATGTTACATACACATTGCTGGTTTGAAGACACGGATGTTGCCTGGTCTTTCTGGACCTGCCGCAGACTTTTCAAGACTTGCTTGTCAGTCAGTGGCCGTGAGCGAGTCGTCCACAAGGCCACGAGCTGCACGGTTCCTTGTCGTAGTGCCGGCAAGCATCGCCACTAACTCAGCCGGCACTTCTTAGTTCTGGTACAATATCGGATGGCAGATGGTTCCGCAGACTACACCGATATTCCTGCGAGTCTTGACTCTTGACTCTGACTCTTGACTTTTGAGTAAATAAGATTATTGGGGTAATGGATCCCTGCCCTCGAATGGCTCTGAATGCAACCCCGGAAGTTGTGAGAACCGCAGAACCGTTACAAGCCCCTGCAGTAGCCTGTCACCCTGTCGAGCATATCCCCGATTCTTCAGCTGCTATTGGCAATACCATGGCCCGGCGGCTCTCCCGGCCCCCACCACCATGGCACACAACCTCGACGACCCTCGCGTTCTGCCGTTTCTGGTGGGTGGACCGCGTACCGCACAACTTCAGCGATGACGAGGCAGTTTCAGTGCGAGGGCGAGGAAGGGCACATGAGACGTGATGTGCAACAAACCTATGATCTGCTTGGTCCGCCTTGGCTAGAGCTCGTTTCCAGATCTCCATGCGGATCGTATCATGGTTCATTGCGGATCATCTCAACGACCCTGCGGCCTGACCCGGGCACGTCGTTGTTGATGACTCTCTCCTTCTCCTGACTTAAATAAGCTTATCTTGGCACTTTTTTGGTTTATTTTCCATTGCACTTCCAGTTCTTCAACCCTCTGTCGTTCTTCTGTTCTTTTCATCCCCGTATCCTTCTCTTGTCTACTTCACCGTGGCCCGTTTTGATTCTCTGTATATCCTTCGTTCGTTACCGTCACCCGTGTCAAGTTGCCGGTTGCCCTGTTTATAATTGGCGGAGTGCTGGATACTTCTTCCCTTTCGTTCATTCGTATACGCCACCTGGTGTGGGATCTTCAACTACATCCTCTTTTCTTAGAGAGCCAGCGGAAACATGCAGACCTTCGCCAAGATTCTCATCCTTTTCGGACTATTGGCCTTGGCCTCTTCCTCTCCGGCCAACATCCAGAAACGGGGAGTCTACAAGGTCGAACGGGTACCCAACCCCAACTTCACTGGCCGCAATGGCCCCCGAGCTTTGTTGAAGACACTCCGGAAATACCGCATGCCCGTACCTGCCGCGCTTGCCAGTGCAGTGGATAAACAAAATGAGATGATCACGAAGAGGCAGGTGAACAGGAAGGGCCGGAAGGAGAAGGGCCGCAAAGGTGCCGGAGCAGGTGCCGGAGCAGGTGCAGCAGCGGGTGCCGGAGCCGGTGCAGCAGCAGGCACCGCAACCAATGCGACCGCCGGTACTGGTCTCGTCATCAACACCCCCGAAGCCGGCGACGTCGAGTATCTGTCCCCTGTCAACATTGGAGGCCAGACTTTGAACATGGATTTCGACTCCGGCTCCTCTGATCTCTGGGTTTTCAACACGCAGCTCAGCAAGGCCGCAACCGCTGGGCACACGGTCTTCGACCCCGCGAAGTCGAACACCTTCGCCTTGATGCAGGGGGCTTCCTTCGAGATCTCGTATGGAGATGGGTCTGGCGCCGCTGGAAATGTTGGCACCGACACCGTTGACATTGGCGGTGCTACGGTGACTGCGCAAGCGGTTGAGATGGCCACGGCCGTATCTCAGTCCTTTGTCAGTGACGCTGCCAACAATGGGCTGGTTGGCCTCGCGTTCAGTCAGCTCAACACGGTGCAGCCGCAGCCTCAGAAGACCTTCTTCGACAACGTCATGTCTTCGCTCGCCGAGCCCCTGTTCACAGCCGATCTGCGCGCCGCGGCCCAGGGTGCCTATGAGTTTGGCACAGTAGACACCAGCAAGTTCACGGGGGCCATGACCTGGGTTCCCGTGAACACGACCGACGGATTCTGGCAGTTCACCAGCGATTCGTTTGCCGTCAACGGCGGCAAGGCCCAAACGTAAGAGTTCCGCGGCTCTGCCTTCCGATTTCAGTCGGTACTGACTCTCAATGGTCTAGGTCTACGGCAGGCGCGCAAGCTATTGCTGATACCGGTACCACCCTCCTCCTGGCCGATCCTGCAGTCGCCCAGGCGTATTACGCCCAGGTACCCGGCGCGGTCAACGACAACACCCAGGGAGGGTTCGTGTTCCCATGCGATTCGCAAATGCCCGATCTCCAGCTGGATGTCGGCGGCAGCATGGCAACCGTCAAGGGAGCTGACATCAACTTTACCGCAGTCGACGCCCAGAGTAAGCAGTGCTGCCCAGACCCACGAAGATGCAGTGCTAACACGTGACAGATTGTTATGGTGGTCTGCAGGCCTCGCCAGCCGGGCTTCAGGTCTACGGTGACATCTTCTTTAAAAGCAACTTTATTGCTTTCAATGGTGGTAACAACTCCCTCGGGTTTGCCACACACGTTTAACTGTGCGCACTGAACAGTGCCGTCCTCGTTCCGCAATGCAGGACTTGATGCATGACGAATTTAGAGGTCCGCTGTATTGGATCCTGTATGAAGTAGCAATCACAAGGTGTTGGATAGAAGGTCTTCCGGGTCGTTCAAGTGCTGGCACGACTATTTTGTACATAAGGCTTGATGTCATACTTAGCCCAATAGTCTGAATCGCTTGACATCTTCAGATTACCCTTTCTGCACTCTTCTGCTAAAGGTGTGGTTTCGGCTGGCATGGGTAATACCAGACGTGGTTGCCCGCGGTTATCGTGCGCCCTACCGCATATCCATTCGCTATCACCTTCTCGACTACTATTGATTATATGGAGTTACCGTCCAAAAGAACCAGAGACACGCTGCAGTCAGGAGGCTTGTTCTGCCGCAGCTATATTCATGATGTTCGTCGCCAGCATCAATACGGCTTGCTGCGTCGTCCTAGAAGATGCTGCCAGTTACGATTGCTCAATTATTGTAAAGGTAAGAGTTTCTGGAGAGCAGGGCAGCATCAGCGTGCGTGGGTCTCGTACAATAGCTGGTTGCGAATCTGTTAGGAATTCGTGGTACCGGGCTGGTCCCCGTGTCATCGACGTCAACTGTCAACTGTCAAACAATACGGCAGACTGGTGGAAGAGAACATGAATGAGAAAACAGTCATGAGGTGATGAGAATTGCGTCTTGGCTGTCCGAAGCCGGACCAAGATGGATGCTATGGAAGCCAAGAGGTGCAGGGATAGATTGCTGAGGGGCGCCGGTGGGACCTCAATTTTTTTTAAATATCTTATCTGATCCGAATCACCGCCCGTCTTTGCATCGCGAACGCAGCCGACTCCTGATCAGCATGTCGTAAGCTACTGTACTCACCTGATCACTGGCCCACGCTACTGAAACGGCAACCCACCGCCTCGCTTTGAGAATCAATTCCATGAAAAATCTGCATCGGCCATTGCGACATGACACGTCCACGGGCCAGCTCGACCTTTCTGCCGTCCTCAATCAGTTCTGTCTTCTATACCACCTCGGTGCTCTCACCTGGGGGACAGGCATTTTATCAGCTTTGTATGTCCTTCTTGAACTTCTGAAGTCTTGCGTTCTTGAGGGTCACAACCACGTCCTCGCGTTACTGTGTCACTGAAGCCTCTGCCTGTCCGTCTGCCCGCCGGGCTCCCAGGCAAGCCACGGACCACCGTTGCAGCAGACCGGACGTAGCCAAGGGTTGATCCCTGCAACGCTACATACGGTCTGCCACCAGGAGTTATCTGATCCGATCAAAGTTATCTGATCCGCTCCGTGTGGAGCTTGGCCTGCGCTGGCTGGCATGGCCGCCTTGCTTCCAAGACCGTCCTAATGCATAACAGGCAAGTTGCTTCAAGAGGACATCTCCTTCATCCCTCTTCGGGGTAGTGGTCGTTCGTTGACCTAGTCGACCGTTGTCGGCAACCATCATGGCGGGGTCCATCATGGCTGCGTTGCGGCTTTTCTCACGCGCTTCTGTCTACATACCTCTGCACTTCTGGACCCTTGACCTTCAAACTCTGCATTTTGCGTGGCACTTTGGTATTTACGGTCCTCTCACTAGTGGATGAGTGATCTTGCAGGTCGAATGTGTGCAGACTCGTCCACTCCGTGTCAGCCTCGACCATTGATCTACACTAGCCTCTGCAGGTAAAGCGACGATGACCCTCAAGGACGACTCGAACGCTGGCGCCGAATCTTGCAACATCGACGAAGCTACCTCGGCCGGCTACCTGTCCACGCCACCGACCGATGTTGATGGAGAAGGCCTATCCACAGACCAACTGGAACAGATCTGGAGTTGGAACACTCCCGTGCCCCCGACGTTGGATTACTGCATGCACGATGTGATCAAGAAGCAGGCCCAGAAGGAACCGGCACGGCTGGCAATCAAATCATGGGATGGCGATCTCACGTACCACGACGTTGATTCCATGTCGGACTCTTTCGCATCACATCTTGTATCCAGAGGCACCGGTTCAGGGACGATCGTGCCGCTGTGCTTTGAAAAATCAAAATGGACTGCAGTCGCCGTCCTGGCCGCCATGAAGGCCGGAGGCACCTTCGCCCTCATGGACCCGAGCCAGCCGGAAGGGAGATTGCGGACCATCGTCGAGCAAACCGGGGCCTCCGTGATTGTCACGTCGAAAGCACAGGAGGACCTCGGTAACCGCATTGCACCAAATGGAATCCGAATCACGCTGTCGAAAGAACATCTCGACGGTTACGACGTTAATTATAGTCTGCCGATCGTACGGCCGGAGACGAACCTCTACATACAGTTCACCTCTGGAAGCACAGGGAAGCCGAAAGGCGTCGTCATCACCCATGCCAACTACTCGAGTGGCGCGGTACCACGCGCAGATGCCGTCGGCTACAGTGCGCACTCGCGGGTTCTGGACTTTGCCTCCTACGCTTTCGACGTATGCATCGATTGCATGCTCTGTACACTATCTGTCGGGGGCTGCCTCTGCATTCCATCTGACGGCGACCGGGTCAACGATCTGAGCGGAGCCATTCGCCGCATGAACGTCAACATGGCTCATATGACACCATCGGTTGCCCGCGTGCTGGATACCGACATTATACCCTCGCTCGAGGTGCTTGGTCTAGGCGGGGAGGCAATCTCTGCTGGCGACGCCTTGACATGGAGCCGTACTACGAAAGTCATTAATGCCTACGGTCCATCCGAGTGCACTGTTGGGTGTACTATCAATAGCGACGTCGGCGCAGAAAGTCATAAGACACATGTGAGCATCGGTAGGGGAGTGGGAGGAACCATCTGGATTGTTGAACCTTCAGATCACAACCGGCTTGTGCCCATTGGTGCGGTTGGCGAGCTTCTGGTAGAAGGTCCGATCGTCGGGCCTGGATATCTGAACGATCCAGCCAAGACGGCGGAAGCATTCATCACCAACCCGGAATGGCTTCTCTCTGGAAGCCCACAGCATGAAGGTCGGGCCGGACGACTGTACAGGACCGGCGACCTAGTCAAATACGACACGGATGGCACAATCGTATTCGTTGGACGCGGCGATCAGCAGGTGAAGCTCCGGGGCCAGCGAATCGAACTCGCCGAGATCGAGTACAATATACGAGACAAACTACCACCAGGAACTCGTGTGGCAGCCGAGGTGATCAAGCCGGGAGGACCATCCGCAGAACCGACATTAGTGGCCTTTCTCGCAGAACGAGCTGGTCTCGTGTCAGACTCGGAGACCCTCGCCGGCTCGCATTCTACGCAGGTTCAAGATGCTCTGGCAAATGTGAACCAACTTTTGTCTGAAAGTCTCCCGATATACATGATACCGGCAGCATATATCCCACTGCAGATTATGCCGCTGCTGGTCTCTGCAAAGACCGATCGCAAGCGCCTCCGGGAGTTGGGATCATCGCTGAGCAGGAAGGATATCGCCCGTTTCGCAGCCATGACAATTCCCAGAAAGGAGCCAACGACGCAGATGGAGCAGAAGCTGGCGCAGCTTTGGGGTGAGGTACTCGGCCCGGATGCTGAGATCGGAGCGAATGACAACTTCTTTAACCTGGGTGGTGATTCGCTTCGTGCAATGAAGCTCGTAGCTCAGGCAAGAACCCAGGGCGTGGCCATTACCGTGGCCGACATCTTCAACAACCCAATTCTGTCCGATATGGCGATTGTTGCGAGACCCGACAGTGGTGAAGGGATCGCTCGGATTACCCCCTTCTTCCTGATTGGTGATCAGTGGTCCGACGTTTCTGCCCGCGCTGGTTGTGCGGCTTTGTGCGATACCGAGGCTTCAATGGTTGAGGATATTTACCCTTGTACGTCTTTGCAGGAAGGTCTCATGGCTCTGTCTGCTAAAGTCAGCGAAGCCTATGTCGCCCAACGTGTGGTAGAGCTTGCCGATGAAACGGCAGCGCGAAATCTACTGGCCGCCTTCGAAAAAGCATCCGCAGATTGCGCCATTCTTCGCACCAGAATCGTCCAGGTATCGGGACGTGGACTGATGCAGGTAGTGGTCAAAGGGAAGTTTGACTATCAGTGGCTTTCGGACAGAAGTCTGAATGATTATCTTGTAAACGATCGACATTCCCCGGTGGCATTGGGACAACCTTTGGTTCGTTACGGCGTGGTACACAATGAGGAAGCCACCGGCAAAACGCATTTCGTGCTGACCATGCATCACGCGCTCTACGATGGGTGGTCGATGCCTTTGGTAGTCGAGCGCGTCAATCGGGCGTATAATGGTCTTGCTACCGAACGCCCTGCTGATTTCAAGCATTTCATTGACTATCTGGGCCAGATGGACCGTCAAGAATCAGAGCAATACTGGCTAGAAAGGTTGCAAGGTGCCGCCGGCGAGCAGTTCCCGTCGTTGCCATGGTCCGGCTACCAGCAACAGGCTGACTCGTTGTTGGAGCACTACGTGAGCACTGGTCGACCAGGTGCCGGAATGACGATGGCGACGATCATCCGTGGGGCTTGGGCATTTCTTGTCTCGATTTACACTGCGTCTGATGACATCGTGTTTGGGGAAACGCTCACTGGACGCAACGCTCCCATACCGGGTGTCGAGCAGATCGAGGGACCCATGATCGCTACGATACCCGTTCGCATTGCTGTCGACCCGAACGCCACAGTATCCGAGTACTTACAAGAGATCCATGATCAGTCTGTCAACGGTATTCCACACGAGCACTTTGGTCTTCAGCACATCCGTCGGCTAAGCCCTGACGCCCGCGAAGCCTGTGAACTACGCACGGGCTTGGTGATGCACCCCAGTGCGAACTCCAGTGACGGCGTCGCAAGTGATAGACAACCGGCTGATGGCTTTGTACCTGCCGGTGATGCGGAAGCTGCACAGGAAGCACTCAAGTTTAACACATACTCCCTGATGCTGGTGTGCTCCTTGGACCCTCAAGGCTTCTTGATTATGGCCAGTTTCGACTCCAAAACAGTAGCGAGTGCCCTGATGGAAACTATGCTTTCGCAGCTCGGAAGGCTTACGCAGCAATTCATCGAGCGCCCGGATCTGCAATGTAGCAATATTGAACTGCTGAATGAGCATGAAGTCCACGAACTCGCCCGTATAAGCAAACCTGGTGCCCAAAGCTTGGCTGGCTCTTCATTGCTACCGACTGGTTGCGATGTATTAGAAACTTGGATTGTCAACCCTGCCAATACAGAACAACTGCTACCTTTTGGCGCCGTTGGAGAACTTTTGGTGCAATGCTTGGGCAACCCCGGCAAGGAGTTGGTTACGGGACCGGCAATGTCGGGTGAGACTCGGAGCTCAAGGTTGTACAGAACTCGAAAGCTGGCGAAGTATGTTCAGGACGGCACAATCACCTTCGTTGAGCCAACACACCGAGTCAAGACGGTTGGAAACAGCCAGCGGCAGAAGCGTGTATCGGCAACCTCGGCAAAACAGAAAAGTCTACGACAGACTTGGTGTCGGATATTATCAATCGATGAGGACGAAATCGGGCTCAACGACAGCTTCTTCCAGCTGGGTGGCGATTCCATTGGGGCCATGAAGATGGTATCAGAGCTTCGAGCCAAGGGAATGCAGTTGACGGTGCCGGATATATTCAAGCATAGAACGCTGTACGAAATGGCGAACGCGATCAAGGAGGCGAATGTTTCATCATTTGAGACTGCGAAAGCCGACCTCACTCCCTTCTCGCTACTTGATGTTGACGACAAGCAGGCCTACGCTACCGACATAATCAGACCAATGCTCTCGCAGGACAGCCACATAATCAAGGACGTTCTGCCGGCACGACCTCTGCAAGCTATTGCCGTCAGGGGTACTACGCAGCTGCCACGGTATTCGGCAAGATACGAGCTATTCCACCTCAGCGGCACAGTCGATAAGTCGAAGCTGTTCGAAAGCTGCCAGGAACTTGTCTTGCGGAATGAGATACTACGAACAGTCTTTGTCGAGACTGAAGGGAACTGTTTCAGCGTCGTGCTCGAGTCACTAACGGTTGCCATCGATCAGTACGAAATCGAAGGCGACATAGAGTCATTCGCCCATAAGCTTTGCGATGTCGACGTCCAGACAAGAATGCCTTTGGGATCTTCTTTCGTCAAGTTCATGTTCGTCCAAGGCGAGAATAACGAGCATTGTCTCGTATTGCGCATCTCCCATGCGCAGTACGACGAGATATGTCTCACGGGGCTGCTACGTCAGTTGGCGGCATTGTATGACGACAAGCCTTGCACAGATGCGGTACCGTTTTCGTCGTTTGTATATCATGTCATCAAGAAGAGCATACCGCAGAGCATTCCGTATTGGCGCGATCTGCTGAAGGGCAGCTCCCTGTCAGTCCTCAGCCCGGGCCTACCACTTTCTTCCAGAGTCCCGGCTGCCATTACCCGGACCGTGGACACATTGGCCCGCTTGAAGGACATTACAATCGCGACTCTTCCGACAGCGACGTGGGCTCTATGTCTTGCCCGCCGGCTCGCACTGCGAGATGTTGTGTTTGGCGAGGTCGTGAGCGGACGCAACATCGACCTGCCCAACGCTGATGCGGTTATGGGACCGACATGGCAGTACGTGCCATTGCGGGTTAAGTTTGAACAGGACTGGACGGGCGTAGACCTCCTCGAGTACGTACAGTACCAGCACATCGCCAGCGCCCAGCACGAGTGCATGGGCCTCGGCGAGATCGTCCGGGAGTGCACCGACTGGCCCGAATCGGTCGACTGGTTCGATTCCGTGGTCCATCAGGATGTCTACCACGTTGAGACGCTCAAGTTCGGCCAAGCCGACTGCCGGCTCGAGACTGTGTACCCGCACTTGGAGCCGCTGCGGGAGTGGAAATTGCAGGCGTTCGTTGATGGTGACAGGCTGACGCTGGAGATTGTTACGTTCAAGGACTGGATCGGCGTTGCTGGCGAGTTGCTGGATGAGTTGGAGCAGATCATGACGATGCTGGTGAACCGGCCTGGCGAGTTGGTTTTCTAGGCACACATAGCGAGAAATGGAAAATTAGGCTTGAAATCGACGCTGTATCAGAACAAAATCTTTGCTGATCCGGGTAGGACTTGTGTCCCCCTGGGTTCAATATGGTTCAACGTATATCTCGATCAGATGCGCCACACACCCTCATTGGTGGTCCCATACATAGATGCCCCTCAAAGCCCTTGAGTTGACCGGCTTGTGCCATATGGACGTAACCGCATGCTGTGATATATGTGATTTCAATATTCTCATAAACCACTCAGAAGGCCCAATGGACTGACTTCCTCTTACGGGTCTTGGTGAGCAATGGCTTGACAGCCAGACTACAATGTACCGTTGCCACCTGCCGACCTTCTTGCAAGTCCATCATCTGCCATTCCGTCCTATTCTGCTCTACGATACCGATAGACCTCTGTACGCGCTTCCTCCAGCCATCGGCTAACATCCAAGCGAGACGACAGTCGCCTATGGCTTCTAGTGAACTTGGAGATTCCCGACTGTACTTGTCTTCCATCGTTCCCACCGTGCTGGCACCCACCATGTCCGAGCGTGGTCAATGGCCATCTAGATCGCCTGGCGAATTGCTTAGCAGCGCACTCCGCTCATCAAGCTCACCTTCGTCTCCGTACGTAAAGGACTTCCGGAGCGACGAGCTCCGCTGCCGAGCCAAGTCGGTGAGTGCACCAAAGGATGCCCGTGGTGAACTGGCAGACCGTGATGAACTGGGACTGCTCTGACTATTGGCGGGAGGCGTCGACTCAAACATGTTCCGGAGTTTCTGGAACATGGGTGACCCCGCCAGAGATTGGCGGTTCGATGGCGATTGCTCGCTCCCGGGCGACTCGCCGTCCGTGGTGTTAGCCATCAAAGGTTTGGCGGCATCGGAACGGAACGGATCGTACTCGTCGCTACCGGTCCGGTCGGTCAACTCCGAGTCGTTGCGCACCCTTATCCTGTTCCCTATCGGCGCGGGCCACGTGTCTCGGATCACCGGCTCGTGGTTGTCGACTGGGAGGGAGGAATGGACTGGCGACGATTGTCCGGACGAGAGGGTGCTCCGGCTTCTCATCGACTGGGGGGTCGAATCGTTGCGAGCGTGCCATGAAAGGTCGGTGATATCGCGGGGCGTGAAGAGTTGTGGATTGACGTCGTCATCGTCAGGCTCCTGAGACTGCAAATGCGGTGGTAGTGTTTCCGGGCGAGCCTTGGGGGCGTGTCTGCTCGCAGCGAGACCTTTTAGTGGCGTGGCTGGGCTGTCAGGCTGCTTCTGACCTGGGCTCGTCCTTGGTGCTTCGCTTTCTTGGGATGGCAGTGTAGTTGGTGTCTCTGGCCCTTCGTCATACTCAACCGCAGGCTCCCTGCGAAGCTTCTTGTCAGGGTCTGATTTTGCGCTTCCTATCGACGCATGCAATGCATGGTCACCAACAGGCGTTTGGGGACGATTGGTATGCGTTCCATCTTCCAGGCTGTAAGTATCCGGTTGATCATGTGTCTCCTTGTCCGCGATGTGCTCAGTTGACCGTCGGTCCAGTCCATCATCGTCCGCTGTAAGCTCTACGGTGATAGGCACAGCATCGCTTGGAGTAGCGAGGAGTTCGCCTATTGTATGTGCTAGCTCGTCCCCGTTGAAAGCCTGATCAGCAGAGATTGTCTGCGTCAAGTCTTCACCCCCATCTGAGTAAAACGAGTTAGCGTCGTCATCAAACAGATCCTCTTGTCCGTGGACAGTGACATTCTCGACAGGGAGTGGCGACCTAGCGGCTCGGCGAGGCGGTGCACCAAGACGGAGCTCGTCCCTTTCGTTCATGTCTTCATCGGTGGTATCAGTATCCTCAGGCCAGTGGTTTGTTTCGAGACGCGGTACGGGTTGGGTATTGATATCTTGACTTTGTATATATGTTTCTTGCTGGGTGTGGTGGCCCTCTTCGGATAGGCCAAGTGCTGTCGAGGGGCCTTTCTCGTCAACAGCTGCAGTGACACTGTCTAAAGGCGATAGCACCGGTGTTGGCGGTTCCGGGCCGTCATGTAAGACTTCAAGATTCTCTTCGCTGGAAGGGGCCGGTTGTACCTCTTCGCTTTCCATGTGGCCGGTAGAATTTTGACCTGGGACCATTCCCTCTGCGAGATTACTCTCCAAGCCCTGTTCGTCAGGTTGGGCATGAACTATTCTGTCTGGGGAGGAAGACCGGGATGGAGCTTCCTCTGCATGGCTTTCGCCTTGCGCGCTTTCGGCCTCCGCAGTTGCTGGAGACTTGAGCAGAGTCCCTTCCACATACTCTCCATTCGCCACAGTCTCATGTAACCGGTCAGCCCGGTCCTTGAGTATGTCACTAAATTCATGAAGCTGGTCCCCAGTATTGACTGGGTCGTTTGATGCAACCCTCTCCGGGCTGCTGGGGGCCATCTCAGCTTCTAACGGATTCGATTCCGCTTGCTCCGACGGAGGCGAGCCACTCATCGCCCCCAAGCTGCTGGGCGACTCCAGTCTGTCTGTATCCAACTCGGGGCCTGGGAGAACGGAAACACTAGGAGCCCCTTCGAGGTGTGTCTCGGAATCTTTGTCGTCATGTTGGCTTGTGCCACTTGTTGGGTGTGGTCCTGGCTCTTTAGGGGCTGGAGAATCGAGGTTGGCACCATCAACATCCCCGAGATCATTGCTATCTTCGGCTCTCTCGGAGTCTGGTCTCTCTTCTGGACCACTGTGAGATGCTTCAGTGCTAGTGGGCTCGAAGATGTCAGAAATGATAGCATCGCGAGCACGCTTTTGCTCGACTGAGGAAGCACGGCTACCTGTCGCCGCCGTTTCCTCCGAATCTTGGTGATCACTAGTATCATTTGTCTCATGGGAATTCTGCGCATGCGACGCAGAGTTCCGCCGACTATCTTGGCTTGGTTCATCCTCCAAGCGCGAGTCAGACTCATATGAGACTTTCTCTGGATTTATTGGGTTTGCGGACGGCGACTGAGGCCCGGTGGAAGACTGTTCGTCCTGTAAGGTCTCTGTGGCAGAAGTGGGACTATTAATACGCTCATATGAGCCGGTTGGTGTTGGCTCCTGACCGAGTTGCGGATCTGAGACGTATTGACACATTTCGTCCGACTTTGACTCTGGATCAGCTCGTGCATCATGGCTACCGTTTACTTGATGTTGCGGTCTTGATCCGTCCGGAGAGTGGTCATCTGAGTACCCCAGTGGATCCGTAGCGCCAAGGTCTCTGGACGAAGATGTTTCTACAGCTGTAGACTCCTCGAAAGATGTATCCCTTCTTCCAGGCAAAGATGTCTCTGCGTTATCGACAGGGGTCTCGACACCATCCTGGGTTTTAAGCTCCGTTTCTGATAGAGATACCGAGTCGGTAGGGTCCGAGGGCAAGATGTGTGCCGGATTATCGAACTCGTCCATTGAATCGACTGGTTCCATAGACTCTACGCTGATAGCAGAGTCGGCCTGTTGCGTAGGTGTGGTTTCGTTTCTTCCATCTGCCTGCGAATGCACGTCAATATCCACAGTACGATCGGCTTTTGGATCCCCTGTTGTGGTTGACTCCAGCTGCTCGGGGCTGTCATCCATGCTGGAGTCTAGACTGACTCCCATGTTTTCGCCTTGTGTGGATGTGAGAATGGTCTTGCCAGGATCTTCGATAGGCGATTGGACGATTGCACGTTGAACTGTTGATGGTATTCCTGAAGGTGCACCTTGGGAAGGCGACGCCTCTTCGCCTCGACCCTCTGCGGTTTGGTCCTCATCTCGCTGCCGCTCATCGTCTGCTGACTTGTTGTCGTCGATAGTGGACCGCTCAGGAGCCTTATCATGGTTACCGATTGCTCGGCCTTGTTCGTCGGTGGATAGGGCAGGCATACTGACTGCAACGCCGTTCGAAATCTTCGCTGCTCGGCCTCGTTTCCGTGTTGGAAGTCTGGGAAGAGGTAGCTTGAGTTGCTCGTCAATAAGTCGATTGATTTCCTGTTGTCAAAGCTGTAAGTCTCCGGTAAGTCACAGTGTTCAGAGCGCAGCTTACCTGTCTCTTTCCTTTCAGCAGTCTTAGTCTCTCCTTGCCCTCCTCTATCAGTTGTGCCGCCTCGGCTTCAACTTGGTCCAGTTGATCTTCTGCGCCATCTTCCACGTCTCTTGTCTCAACATCTAGGAGGTGTCGTCTCTTCGTATCTTTGGTCTGGTTTCTTGTGTCTCGTTCTTCATCCTCTCGTCGTCGGCGGGCCTCTCGCTCTTCGTCCTCCTTTCTTCGTCTTTTGGCGACATCTTGTACCTCTGCCTGTCGCTTGGCAGCCGCTGCTTCGCATTCCTTTTCGAAGGCCGCATGCAGAGCGTTGAGAGCGGCATCTCTTTTCGACTCCAATTCGTCGATGCGTAAATCATGGTCCTCAGTTGAGAGCCCCGCAATGGTCATATGAATCTCAGAGAGATTCTCCTGCATCTGCTTCATAAGAGTAGAGACGTCCATTATTGATGTGAACACTCCGAGGAGATGGAGCTACCGTTATTGAAAGCACCTCGGAAGGCAGCCTAAGCTAGAACACTGGATGTTGAAAAAGCTGATGAGATGTAAAGAAGGGGAACTACAAGCTGCAAGCCGTTGTTCCAAGAAGCCTGACACACTGGAGGCGCGTTCACGGTCTTCCCAGAAGCAAGACAGCAGGAAAAGCTATGCCTGAATTCAGACACATCTTTCCGAAGCCGAGAGGTTTTGGAAGCCGCCAGCGCTGCATATAAAGCATGCTACGGCCTTCATCTGTGCGTTGCGCATGTTGTTGGGTATCCTATCAGACGAAACGGACATGGATCAGGCTCGGGTACGCCAGGACGTTCAATGCGATCTTATGCACAAGCTGCCATCGATCCAGCCCTGTGCAGGCAATGGGACACTTGGCTCAAATCGTACGTGTCGATGATTCACTGTCGTTGGGGTATTCTGCTGATTGGATTGTGTGAGTCTCGGCAAAGAGATAGGTGCTGCAATGGGAGGACCTGCGCGTTCCGACTGTGAGGTAAGTGGCTTGATGGCATGCGCGCGACAACTGAGCCAATAACCGCATCAATAATACCCTGAACCTAGACTCCAGTTGATAGAGCACGATGTGCAGCTCTGCGACGCTTTGAATGGCAGAGTTTGGCTCCTGAAGATGACAGGCAATACCGTTCTGGGTTCGATCACTAGTCTGACCGGCAACATTCAACGTCTCGAAGTCAGACTACCATGACGGACAGTACACTCAGGCAGTCGTTGAGAGACAGAAGACGTGAATGCCATGATGATACATTATCAGGTTGCTGTATTTGTTTGCATGATATTTGGTTTCCGCGATTGTAAATGACCAGACGCAGCCGCACAAAGAGCGGTGCTTGTGGTCAACGCGTTCCATTAAATAAAGAAGAACACTGCTAGGGAAAACAGTGCCGAACCGAATCGAACCCGTCCCAACATATATGTCGGGCATTCGTATCTTGCCGGGATCCCGTATCGGGACCACCACGCCTCCACCACGGGCTCATATTCTCGCCGACGCAGGTTTGCCATCCCGGGCCTTCCTTCTCCGATACATTTCGCGGTAGCCGTATCTTTCATACGTTCCAAACGCATAAGCGCACACTCCGATGACAGTCCACAAACCCGTCACGACCAGGCCAACGGGGAAAATCAAGATGTTGACACCGGGAACGACGAAGGCAATTGTGCCATTGTGTAGCTGGGCTGTGACGTTTGCCACTGCCAATGAAGCACGTGCAACGTCGGACAGAACAACTTCAGATGAGAAAATGCCATTCACAAACGCAGCCTCGTTCGAAGACACGTTGGTGCTAACAGTCTGACCGGCTCCATTCTTGGCCGACAGTGTGACCACGGGCATAACCAATGGCTCGATGACCCCACTGTGAAGTATGAGTAAAGCAGCACGAAGAGACAAACCGAGGAGTCGGGGGTGTCCTTACAGAGTCATCGGCTCCACCATCTGGTCCTTGTTGATCTGACCTTTCATCACGTAGGTCTGAAGCAGTGTGGGCGAGGAAGTCTGTCGCTTTGCCAGCGCCTTGCTACTGAGCCCACGGGCGTTGACCGTCTGGCTGACCACTTCGGCAGTAGCACCGAAGTATTGGACGCCACCCGACACGTCCTTAGGTGCGATGTCCTGAAAGTTTCCAAATGGCGTCGATACCTGGAAGAGGCGTAGGTCTGCCATGAATTTACCGGTATTCGTGTCGAGCTGGGGGAGATTGTAGCACACCGCTGTACCGGAGGGATTGGTGGCGGCCGAAAGTTGGGATAACGCTGCCGTACAGGCTGCCATCGTCTGAGCCTCCCAGTCTGCTGAGTTGAACGAGACAGCTGTGTCCTGCCTCCTCTCTACCGTGTCCATGGCGACATCGACCAGCCGGGCCTCCAAACCCGTCCGGCTCATGGCCAAAGACGCATCGCCAATGCTTCCTGGGGCGGCATATGCTCCAGTGGCAAGCAGTGACGCCACAGCTGTGGTTATCCAGATCATTCTGTGGGAATGTTGCCAATCGAGACCGACGAAACGCACGAAGATGCCGAGGAGTGTCCGTCCAACGAAGATTGCCCGGCCGGCGGTCGAAGATGTCGTTCGGGATGGGAGAGCGTGGCCGTGTGAGCCGCTCGGTCGAGTCGTCAGAGAGACTGTGAAGGAGATTATTCAATACAAGATACAACGAAAGGAAGAGAGAAGCGAAAGGGGCCTGCCCACGATTACGAGGGATAGAGGGTTTGAGTGCGGTCAACGAGCGTGTAGGTGGTCAGTGATTAGAAGAAGAAGAAGAAGAGGAAGGTCATAACGCTTGTATTACAGGTGAGAAGAAACAAACCTGGGGAACTACAGACTACGAAGGGGACGGGGCAGAGATGAGAAACATAGATCCAGGGTTCGTGTGCTGGAACATGGGCTTTCACACGACATGTTTCTGTAGCTCCAACTCGACAATGGCGTGAGGTGGGCTATGGGCCATCGCTGTCGTCCCAGGCCAAATGTGGGAGGTGTGACATGTGAGCCATGCCTGGCCAGACCAGCCCAGAGGGGCCCATCACCAACACCGACGACGCACGAGAACATGCGTTGTTCCAGAGCTGCGGTCCTGCGGCGTTGAGGCTCAAGGTCTCGGGCTTTTGAGACTTGACACGAGACTGTAACGAGGACTGGCCAGTGGCGCCACGGTGTTCGATGACCAGAAACGAGTGCCAAGCGGCGTGGAACCTCAAACCTCGATGCCCTCTGTCTGGTTTGCGAATGCTGAGATGGCACTGGGCAGGATGGAAACGAGGAGTCGAGCTTTGACGCTGTCGGATCGACTGACGATGTTACAGAAGTTGTCGGAGAAGAGAAGATGAAGATGGTTTCGAAGGGGCCGCGCAGAGTCGAGACACGGCGGGTCGCAGACAGGCCTGTGACCAATGGCAGGCGCTTGTGAAGGCTGCGGCGACCTCCGGGGACCCGCTGTGATGCCCCTGGCCCGGGGCCTGCCCCCTGCCCCCTTTGCACCCCCCTGGGCCCCGGCGACCCCCAGCCTCCGCCCTGTGTCCCCAACGCCTTCGTGCTGGCTGTTATCATTACGGTGTTTTTTCTCCCACCTACAGTATCGTGAGCCTGCACATGTGCTGTGTGCAGAAGTCGGACTTTAAGAAATTGCACCGTCGTACTGCAGACTGGCGGCTGGTTATAAGGGTTGAGGGTACCATTGAATGCTCGTGTACCAGCGGTCTGGTCGTACGTTCGTCTCCATCCGACCTCGAATCACTCTAGGCGCCGATGAGAAAAATTATTAGAAGCAGGACAGTCTTGTAGAGACTCAAGCCTCTCATCTTCTGAGAGGAGTCTCACAAGCACTGGGCTGGGCGGATGGGATGCAGCCCATGTCTAGGTTGACGAGTGCACAGCAGAGCGTCGTGACGGCCTCAAAGCCATCTGATAATATCGCAGACGCGGACAATCAGCCAACTCGCCATGCAACACGCCGTTCGGCCAGACTTCTAATCAGAACATAAGGAGCAGGTTTATCAGGCGTGTATCTCCTTCATTCGTGTCAACAACACGGCCTGGCGGTGTCATATCAGTATATTTATCTGGTTTGCTATCGTCACAATTATACGCTCGAAGGAGTCAAATCAAAACATCTGTCGACCTACACGTACCCAGGTAGACATCGCATATTTCTGGCATCCGGATCTCGACCGAATGTATAGCGTCGCTGGAGACCTGGTCTTCCGCCGTCAGCGACGACCGGAAAGCCAGTGGCCATAGCACCTCAAGCCACGAGACCGAGTGTCTGCATGGTTGGGCAATACAAGAAGATGGGGCAGACGCGGGAATGTGCCATGAGGTCTTGCCCGCCTCCAGCCGGTGAACGCGAGCTTGGCTATTCTTTTCGTCCGGTTCCCAAACACCCCTTTGATGATCTCGAACAGTGAGTAATATGGGTTACCCTAACCCCAAGTCATTAGCGCAGCTCTCGGATGGATTCCCCTTCAGAACAATATACCCTTCGTGATGTGAAAAGCACGGTGTTGCAGTTCGTTGCGAGGATACCTGCTTTTCTCTCGGATGCCTTCCAAGGTTCTAACTCATGGTCATCATCATGGCGCCTAATAACGCAATCCATTACGCATGATACGGCAGGCCTCCGAGACGATGCGGTGCAAGTGCTACATTAGACGATTCCCAAATTGCGAAGGATAAAGGGCTTCTCATCGTTTTAGTAGTATAGATACTGAGGATGCACTCCAGACCACAACGTCGCCTCTCCGGTACGCCCGTGTGATATCGCAATGCGGTTTGCCGCGGCTAATGTCAATATCCCCCCCACAATGGCGAAGGCGATGATGGCGGCGGGCATAAATCAATCCCCGAGAGCTCATATGGGTCCTACGTGTAGGTGACGGGCTTATTTCCGGCCCTGAACGTCATAAATAAAGCTAGGTAATCACCTCGCTGCATCTCTTGCGGGACAGGAAGGCGGCGGTGTCTGCTTGGCATCGTTCACTTCTTGTTGTTTTGTTGTTGCAACATGTCGCGATCGCGAAGCGTGTTCCTGCGGGCTTCCCTCCAGTTCTCCTATCGCTGGGCCGCGCCCAGTGCGAAGCAGTATGCCAGTTTGACACCGTTCTTCCAGCGATACTACTCGACCGACAGGCCAGCGGCCGCGAGCAAGCGCGGTGGCTCCAAGGTTTTCAAGTCGGCCGATGAGGCCATTGCCGATGTTAAGGATGGCGATGTGATCCTTAGCGCTGGCTTTGGGCTATGCGGGGTAGCTGGTATGAAGCCGACGGCCATCGTGTGAATGCGAGCCGAGCCTCAATTGACTGACTGTACTGGCAGAAACTCTGATACAAGCTATTCATAAGAAGGGCCTGCAAGACTTGACCGCAGTATCCAATAATGCTGGTTCAGGCGATCATGGCCTGGCGCTGCTCACCCAGGACGGGCGTCTGAGCCGGATCATCTTGTCCTATCTTGGATCGAATAAGGCACTGGAACACCAATACTTGACTGGTAAAATAGCTGTTGAGCTGTGTCCTCAAGGCACGCTCGCCGAAAGGTTGCGTGCCGCGGGTGCTGGTATACCGGCCTTTTACACGTCCACGGGCGGGAGTAAGTCGACACTCGATTGTTCCATCGCCCGTGACTGACGCATCTATCAGAGACGTTTGTGGAAACCGGTGAGATTCCGGCAAGATTCACCCCCGAGGCGATCCTAGAGAAAGGCAAGCCGAGGGAGACGAGGATCTTCAATGGGAAGTCATATATCATGGAGAGGGCTCTTCCTGGAGACGTGGCGATACTGAGAGCATGGAAGGTCGACGAGGCGGGCAACTGCGTCTTCAAGTAAGTCCACCAACATATTGAGAGCACAACATGTATCCCAGGCTCGGTCATTGACTCAGCTGCTCGCAGATACACGACCAAGACGTATGCCGGACTTATGGCCAAGGCAGCCCGCATATCCATTGTCGAAGCCGAGAACATCGTGCCCATAGGGTCCCTCGACCCCGACAGCGTTGACTTGCCGGGCATCTTCATCGATCGCATTGTACCAGCGACGGCGAAGAAGAACGTCGAGTCGCTCAAGTTGGCACCGTCGAAAGACCCGGCAAAGACGAGCGCACCGAATGCCAGGAACCGGGTTGCTAAGCGGGCAGCGCAAGAACTGAAGGACGGCTACTATGTCAATCTCGGTGTCGGCATCCCTACTCTGGCGGCATCCTATCTCCCCGAGGACACCAAGGTCTGGCTGCAGTCCGAGAACGGCATCCTAGGCATGGGACCGTACCCTGCGACCGAAGAGGACGTAGATCCCGACCTCATCAACGCCGGCAAAGAGACCGTGACTCTGCTCCCGGGCGCGTCGACATTTGACTCGGCCGAGTCGTTCGGCATGATCCGCGGCGGACACGTCGACGTTTCCATCCTGGGCGCGTTCCAGGTGTCCGCCTCGGGAGACCTGGCCAACTACATGATCCCCGGCAAGGTCTTCAAAGGGATGGGCGGTGCCATGGACCTGGTTTCAACCCCGGACCAGACCAAGATCGTCGTGGCCACCGAGCATGTCGACAAGAAGGGCCGCAGCAAGATCGTGCAGGACTGCAAGCTGCCCCTCACCGGGAAAGGTGTTGTCAGCACCATCATCACGGATCTCTGCGTCTTCCAGGTCGACCGCGTCAAGGGCGGGCTGACTCTGACAGAGGTTGCCGAGGGGGTTGATGTAGAGACTGTGAGGGACAAGACGGATGCGGACTTTGTGGTCGCTGACAGCCTTGAAACGTTCTAAGGTAAAAGATCTAAGAAGGTCATGGGAACGATGGATTAACGAGATGCGCGTGTGCGTATAGCGCACCAGGAAGACACGCCATATATTGTGTACATATAGAAATTATTCAATATGGTCAAATCTTTACGGCACTCTGCAGCTCACAGTTGACCGTATGTGCTCATTGTAGCAGCAGTATACATGTTTGAATGCCATTCGCATTCCGGCAACCTAATCCGCAAGCCGGATTCGCTCCTCTACCTTTTATCCTCTTCTATAACTTGGCCCGCATCCCGGGCGCAAATGTTGTGCCTTGACTACCACCAATGACGCCAACCAGGTTGTCCACATTCTCCAGCATCCACATGTTGCCATCTTCGCCAGCGAGCCATTCGCCACCCTCGACGGGCTGCTCGCCCTTTGCACTCGCATCCCCGTTCTCATATGCCTTGCGCAGGCCAAAGATATGCGATACAACCTGCGGGCCGACGCCCGTCTGCGAGCGCAGACAAGCGATCGCCACCAGCGAAGTCAGCACCCTGCCGACCTTCTCTTCCTTGTTCTGGTCGCGCGGGTTCGACAGCAGGTTCGAGTAGTGTCCGTTGATGATGTGGACCGGCAAGTCCGGGTGCGACTGCGCCAGTTTATCGAGCAGCTTGCGCTCGAAGCCGAGGTAGACGCTGTCCCAGAGCGCGAGGCCGTCCTTATTCCGCGTCTCGAGGTTGTCAGGCGTGAGCTCGCGTGTGGGCGTCTTGGAGAGCGCCGCGGCCACGTCGGACGGCAGGCTGCTGTAGAAGGCGTTGAGGGTGTTGATGGTGCGCGGGATGCCGTTGAAGGATATGCACTTCAGACCGACTTCGCGAATCAGCTCGGCGTTCTGGGCGGGCGTGCGCTGTGGGCTTGTCGAGTTCGCGAGGTGGAAGATCTGGTTCATGGCCTCGGGGCAGTTCATGGTGGCCGACACGGCTGTCTGCGGACGGGTTTCGTCAGTGACACAATACGCGTCAAGCAAGCAAGTGGTCAATGGGTTCTGTGTTCTCGTCGTACCGACATGGTCACCCAGGCCGGCAGCCCGACCTTTTTCTCCTTCGCATCGCCAGCGAATCTCGCCAACGCCGGCTGGACCTGTGCCGAGGCGCGAGTGTAGCCAGGCTTCGCATGGCTGGCATTGATGAGCGCCTTGACGGCGTCGGACAGTTTCGCCATGGTGGAAGATGAATATGAAGCTGCCTCTATGACCAGCACCAAATCGTCAGAGTCGATGAGCAATCATTGTAACGAAAGACCTGGACACGGACAAGAACAAGTCCCTGGATCTGTGGCAACTCCGCTGGTAATTGACTGGATAGGCGGAACAGGTACCGAGGGGCTCGGGGGGATACCGCGGGAATTGGAGTCGTCGGGCGTTTCGAAGCAGAAAAATTACCGAGACTTTTGGAGGTTCAACGCTTACAGGGGTGTACCGAGCCCGTGGAGATGGCGTCGAATTACAGATTTTAGTGCTTCGTACGGTGGGCAGTCAAGCGATGGAATCTCTCACTAGGAGAATCCTAAAGCTTGTTTACATATATGATCATGGTATTCTGGACTTCTTGTATGGTGTCAGTCGCCGGTTCAGTACTGCCGGGTGCGCTGTGAGGATGCTTCTCGTGCGACGTCGAACTCAGGCGGCCTATGAGTTGCGACTATCCACGCCGTCAGCCATGGTTAATGGCGTCCACAAGATCAAGAGGTTGTGCCTGTTCGAGAGAAAGATCTCGTCTACCTATTTACTGGGTACACTAAGGTGACAAAAGTCTCCGCCCGACCCCAGATTTACATTAAAACACTCTACATTTAGCTTTGAATAATAAAATAAAGCAAAATAGTACCGCATTAACGGTAGTAGTAGACTATGGATTAAATTCGCTTGTAAATAATATATTGAAGATAGCCTGTTCATAGACCTTAAGGTTATTTTACTATAATATTTTGAACATGGGGTGTCCTGGTTTATATGCGGGCTCGGACGGAGATTTTTGTCAGGTCAGTTTACCGGCCAAGTATAACTGAGAACCGAACCGGCACCCATTACATGTACAGTCTGCGGTGCGTCCCGTCATCACACTCCTCTTGAACCACGGACTACTTCACATTACATGCACCCTTGTCGCTCTCGTGCCATTCCGCTCGATCGCTACTTCGCCTGACGCCTTGTGCCGAATGAGCCTCTCATCCATACCTTTACAGAACAAGTTCGAATGTCGGATCTCTGTCATCGTTGTAGCCAATATACTTGTCATACTTTCCCCTGACCTTGTCCTTATTAATCTTCCAACAATAGGCGACGTTACATAGGACCCTGATCGAGCATTAGAATGTGGAAATGGCGGGCGAGGTTGAGCTGTAAAGGCACTTACAAGAACCATCCGGCGACCAAGAGGCTCATGATAATGGTGTGACCCTTGTGGTACCCCGGTCCCTGCGCCTTGGGATACACGAAGACGGCGACGAACCCACCGCAGTTTGCGATCATGAGCTGCATGGCGCTCGTCGTCGCTCTCTTGTAGTGGCCGGCAGAGTTCTGGAGTCGCCGTGGTTAGCTATCTCAAACATAAATCCAAGCATCATAGAGCCTGGCTTATCCAGGTCAGAGGGTGCTTACGTTTGAGAGCCAGCCAAGAACGGGTGGCACACTGCTGTACAGGCCAGTGGCCATGAGGAAGGTCATTCCGTATTTGACATGAGGAGAAGGGGTGTTTGCAATCACCCCGTACCCGACAATGGCGATCGGTAGTGAACACAGCATAATGATACCCCTGACTCGGAAGCGGTCCGAGAGGTAGGCTGTACAGACTGGTTTTTAACGACGTCAGTAATGGGTATCGAGTGAAGGGTGAAATACTTCTTACCCGTGAAGACAGACGCGACGGCATAAGGGATCACAGACCACAACTGTGCTTCATTGGAGGTGTACCCCAGCCCCTGAATGATGGTCGGTAGCTAGAAGGACACATGTCAGCGACGAAAACGACGGTGTCCAGGGGGCAGTAAGGACGCACGAAAAGACCAAAGCTGTATAATCCGCTCAAGATTCCGAAATATGCACTGGCTGTGAGCCAAGTTTGCCAACTAAAGACACCGCGGCGCACTTCAGACCAGGCCATCTTCTCAGTCTCCTCTCTGCAAAGCTGTGAGCATATGGCCGCAGTGGTTCAGGGCATCTACCTGTACTGACTTCTCTCTGCCATTACCACCGCCGGGGCGGTGAAGACGCTTCATGGCGATTTGCCGCTCCTCGGGTGTGAGGAATTTGGCGGAGCCCGCACCGTTCGGCAGAAGCCAAAATGAAGTGAAGCCCATCGTGGCAGTCTGTTCGGCAAGATCAGCCTCAATAGTAGGTGAGTAAGGATTCAATATGGTATTCGTCACGTACAAAGCAGCCACATATGATAAAGATCCATCTCCAGCTGCTTAAGCCGCCTCGTCCGCCAAGCTCAGAGATCCCGCGAGCAAGAAGACCTATGACATGGTCAGCATGGTACACGCTGTCGAGCAGCAGCGGTGGAAACTGACCCGAGAATGCCCCAGATAAAGAAGCGGATGTGTAGAAAATGCCAATCCGAATGGCTAATTCCTGTCTCGTGTAGATACTCGAGAGGTAGAGGATCTGTGCAATGTGTAAGCCACTTCTAAGATTATGAAGCATGGTTACGTACCATTCCTGGTAACAGGCCTCCTTCACATATGCTGCCACCATCAAAGGTTAGTCAATGGTCATGCAAGACGGCATGGCTGCGAGGTTCTGCAAAGCGAGTGGGGGTAGAGATCCGAGACAATCTCCTCCGAGACAAGAAAACAAACCCGAAATGGGTCAGCATACCCCAGAAGCGCACGAACTGCCACGAAATGCGAGAACGTCTTGATGAATCCCGTGCTCATGGCTATGATACCCCAGAAGAAAGCAAGGCACGGGAGCCAGACCTGCGGCGTGAGTCTCTTGAGGATCAGGTTGCTGGGTATTTCGCCGGCGATGTAGGTCGCATAGAAGACGGCGAGACCCGCATCGTACTGCTTGTCTGTGATACCGACCTCCTGCTCGAGTCCGTAGAGGCGGGCATTGCCGACGTTGGTTCGGTCCAGGAACGAGCAGAGGAACAGAATGGCAAGCACTGGTAGAATCCTGCAACGGTTGTTAACCGATATGATTCAGCCATGCTGTTTATTTGGGAGGTTTCACTCGCCTCCTGTCCAGCTTCCATAGAATTTTGCGCTCCAACTGCTTGTCGATCTCCTCGACCAGTTCGTGGCGCACTTCTTCTTTTTCCAGTTCTTCCACCGTCTCCTTGCTGGTACTTGGCGCGTTCGCTAAAACTGACATTGTAGAAGTGCAATTGACGTGGACCGTGGAAGAGGAGGAAGAGTCTCTGGTGCTGAAGTATACAGAATATCAAGACACACAAGATTAGGACAAGACTTTTAGCAAGTTGCGAAGCCTCTTCATAAGGCCGCGCGAAGTCTTGTTAGCGGAGGTTCGTCCGGCGGTTGGGAACTTGGGATGTAGGTGAGATGTGGGGGATTACCTCTAGCTACCTAGCCACTGAGTAGCCAGCTAGTCAGCTATGCATACCATCCAGGATCGTCACGAATCTTCAAGGATCACCAGGGATCATCTACCCCTGTTCTGGGGGAACTGCGGGGAAGCCGGGCAGGGCGGCGCTTCATGTATTACCGATGTCAGGTGGCATGACCTCGCAACACCAGCGCCACCAAGCCATCACAGGCTACACGGATAGGATATTGTGTTGTCAGCCACCTGCGTCTGGATGGAATAGTATATCTCGCGGTATACCACCGCTCATAAAACGAATGCCGATATCGAATCCTTCATTTATTCTCTTGGAAGCTGGGGTATGCGAGCCGAGTGTTGGAGGTGAGACACAGTCTGGGAATAACCTCAGTTCCTGACTAGAGTTTGTTTATGGTGCTTCCCACTGCGGAAGGTCGGCTTGCATATGCTGCGTAACAACGATGCAAAAGAATTTGAAATCATCCGATGACGGCACCGGCGTTAGCCAAGAAGTGCTACACAGCAACCGCGAGACACCTTGTACGATGTCGCAAATCGGGTGTTGGCGAGGAAGTGTTGTTTGATGTAGCCAACTCTACTATACAAGGTATTCAAAATAACCAAGACGTAATCCAGAAGAGTCGTCATTAGGGGTTTGAGTCCCTCAACCTCGACGAAGAGGTGTTGAACGCCTAATCCCCTAGCCTCGTAATTAGTTAATAACTCCATAAAGCGCCCAAAACACCGATGATGGTCATGCAAAAGTGCTCCAGTCCATCCAGTCTAGCTCTGAAGCATGCTGGAATTGGAAGTCTTCCCACGCGGCATCTAGTCCCACATCAGTGTTGTTGATTGCCTCATCCAGCTGGTCGTTAGACATGGTAGAAAACAAGAGATAATCAGGGGGCAGGGTTGTCGCCGGCATATGCATCTGAACCGGACCATGGTGGGTCGCCAGTTGTGTAGCATTCATACCCGGGAACACAACGGTGGCCTCCGGCTCATCTCCATTTGGCTCTGGTAGACTTCGCGTTACTTCGGCTGAGCGAGAAGCAAGCTTGAGAATCTCTCTCAGTTGCCCAGCAAAGAGACAAGAGAGTCCCTTCCGCTGGACCGGTGCCGACCCGATCCTTTCCAAGACATCTATGGTCTCGGAAATCAAGCCTCTGATGCTTGGAGCTAGGCTTGATCCTCTGCCATCGGCAACGGTACTCACTCGCAGGGCGAAGCAAGCTGCGAAAGAGATCATAATGGCCGTGTTGTTGGGCATGGATCTTAGCTGGCCCTCCCCTTGTACAGCGACCCGCAAGACATTCAAGGCGGACGAGAGGCCAGCAGATCTGAAGAAATGGCGTGCTGCCACTGGTGCTGTGCTGTGGTTGATGACACTCGAGTACATCGACAGCCGAGTGTGTGATGCGAGGATCTCGACATAAGGGGGCAGAGAAAGTTCTGAGTATATGTCAGGAGAATTTTAGTAAGGGTTCGGCACTCGGACTACTTACGCTCCCGGTCTCCTATTTGCAATGGCCAAGTCTGATACCACCTATCAAAGAACATGGTAATCTCGTTCTTCAGCCTAGGAATTTGTGTTAGTAAACCATGACTGTACAAGAAGCTAGAGATATACCTATCGACCACAGTAGGCTCGACGACGCCATTTGCGTAGCTGTCGCATGTCACTCGCAGGTTTGTGATTAACTTGGCCTATATACCCAGTAAGCTCAAGATAACTAATTGCCCGGAGACAGTAAGTAGTACCAGATCTCTTCGTAGAACCGCAACGGACACGATCGATCCATCCCATCTATCAGCAAGGTCGCACATATGCCACCGATCACAGTTCTCGATGAGCGGCGACATTGGTAGAACGGGGTTTCTGCCTCTGGCTAAGCAGACACTGCACAAAGTTGCAAGCATCAGTTAACGCGGTCCGAAGGAACATGACTGCATCTGCATACCCTCTTTCAAGAACGAACAACGATAGCCATGTTCGCTCCCTTCTTCTCAGGAGCCGCCGGCCCAGCACCGAGTCTGGATCCACCTCACCGAAACCATCCACGGCGAGAGCTTTCCGCGCAGAGATTCGATCGGACATGGCGACGCTATCTCTCGAGAAAGGGGACTCCATAGAAGAGGGAAGTATAATCTTGTTCAGAGACAAATCAAGGGCGATGCTCAATGCCATGGACATGTAGGTCGACGTCTCATCGTCGGCCCAGTGCTCACCAGCCGATATCCAAGGTATGTTGACCATGAATGCCAACACGATCTCGACAGACTTGTACCGTTTCGCCATGACAAGGCCAGCAATCTTCTTTCGGTGGTTCGAGAGCCGTCTATACATAGACTCCATGGACGGCAAGAAAAGTGCCGACGCGGCGGCTATGGACGTGAACAAGAAGGGCGACCGACTTCGAACAAAGTCGACTGTGTGTATTACGGGGTCGATACCCCATCGCGTGTGCGCGAGTTTCTCATAGAAACTGAAAGCAAGATTAGCGCGGGACAGGTGTTTAGATACACCGGGCTCCTTACTATAGGAACAAGGCCTCGGCTTCTGCGACGGAGAGTAGCCCTAGTCCAACGGGATCAAGATCTTCTCCAACATCTAATCGGGGCTGGAATCGACCAAAGAACTTTCGCAGGTCACCATCGTCATCGTTCTTGACTGGTAAGTTTCGAACAGAAAGCGACTTCGCAGGAATCCGGTATCCGCCGTGGCTGTTGGCCGGGGGCCGTATGGACGACAGCAGCTCCGAAGTCCTCGCCAGTAGCTGCAGCGGGTTCTCAGCATCGTCCAGATCGAGCTGGTCTTTATCGATTTCTCGAGACGGCGTCCCGTTCTCACGTGATTCCACCTGCGAAGAGGGTGTCCCTCGTGAAGTGGAAGTATGCCGAGGGGATGTTACCGAACATTCGCGGTGGCTCCCGTTGGCTCCAGAGAACTGACGCTGGTGACCGTTCTCTGTACCCAGGAGTTCTCGACTCCTATCCAGCAGGTATCGCAACTCAGTAGCCTGCTCAGCATCTTGAATCTGTTCAGTGCCCGGCTGTGATCTTCTCAGTGCCTGCTCTATCTGGAGCACTGCCTTCTCCAGTCCGGAGTGCTTGCTGCTGGGGGTTCAGCAACGCTTAGCTGGGGGATATTGGGTTGGCAGCTCACTTCTTCACGCCCTTGTGGCGACCTACGTGGAACTGCGGAGCAGCACATTGAAGCTGGCGCTGGGTGCATCGTGTGCAGGTGGCGGAACGATCCGATCGAACGCACTTCAACTTGGACTTCTTGCAGTTGAAGCATGCGGCGAGTCGCTCCTCATCTTTGCCGTCTGATATCGTATCTGACATGGCGACTGGGCGGCCAAGCAGAGTCAAGGGAAGTTGTGACCATCAGTATGCCAGTCCGTACGTATGCTGCCTGAAATTTTGTACATGTAGGATCCCTACTACGTAGTACCCTTACCTAGGTAGACAGTAGACATGTTGTGATGAAGCAGGGGTTTGTAACTTGTCAATGAGGTGAGCGAACGGCAAGATTCAGATGGGCCGCCGATGCCCCACTGCGGCTTCAAAGATAATGAGGGGTATTTACATAAGTACATAGCAGATAGCACATATCACTATATCCCGTAGTGCTCAAATCCATCGCCTCACGTGATGCTGAAGTCTGTGTCCTCAACTCGTTCCGGATGGTTCCGTGCAAAAACAGCCGACATTGTATCATCGCCTACATCTCCACGATCATCATCGTCGTCCAATAATCCATCAGCCGTTGAGAACGATAAGCTGCAGTAGGTGGGCGTCTTCAAGCTCTGCCAAATGCCATGCTATATTCATCGCTATTGGACGTTCAGGGGCGACGAGGCGCTCATGGTTCGATTCCCGACGTTCGCTCTCCGGCACGCAAGCTATCACAATCACATTCCTGGTTAGGGTAGCCATTCACATATTATTCAGGCAGCTAGGGCCATCAGACGAATCCCCTCATCAGGCACTTGCGCCAAGTCGGCGCATCGGGTCTGGTTGGCTGGCAAGCCAGCATCTGGAGCAACGACCCTGACGCTCGTTGAGCGTAGCCTCGGGACCTCTTATTCATACATATGTATTTCTTATATGGCTTCGCATGTACAGGATGCTTGAAACCGCGCCATCATTGGCTGCCTTGCTCTCTATTGCAGGAAGCAGCCCGATACCAAGACTCGCAGTGCGACGCATGCTTGCCCTGACGACACGCTTACCGGGAGCGCCAAAATCGCCACGAGGACGGCCGCTGTCGTGCTCCCGAGGAGCCTCAATCTTGGCCTGCTTATCATCGACGAGGGCACTCGTTCTGTCCCTGTTGGTATTGCTGATCAGGGGCATAATGTAACATGAACTCACACCGTTGCATCGCAACACTTTTATGTCAGCTGTCTGTCATGGCAAGAATGGCCTCTGACGTACATGGCAGTAATGCCCGTCCATCCGAACCCCATACCTTCGCCACTACTGGCTTGGTCAGGCCCAGTACTTGTGTGGCTGCAATTATCAAAACTCGATATCACCGAGGCCAGCTTCGCCACGCATCATCTCCGGCCTTGGGGCCATTTAGCACCCGTGTGGTCACACACCCTTTCAGTTGTTGTGGCCGCTATACAAGGCTCAAATATAGTAGTCGATTGACTATCTCCACAAGCCTCGTCCAAACTAATCAAACCTACCTAGACACCGACACATTCAGCGCAGGACTCCGCAACTCCATTTCTGTGGTGCTAGGCCATTTCGCGCAAGACGCAGCTGAGGGGATACCGCGGTAGGTCAGTTTCACGGCTTGTCCTCGACCTGGCAGTGACCTGCGATGAGGAGTCACTCCATCACATTCCCAGGCCCGCTTGCTGCCCTGGACTTGTTTGCCCTGATACCAAGGCGTTTGAAACATTTAAGGCTGCGATAAGTCCATCGTGTGGTTGTCCTCGTCCTCTCCTCGAGACGAGATGCATGGCACCCAGGTGGTTGATATGATGACTCCGCAACGTCATGCCGAGTGTTTGTTCCAGGTTCGACACTTTCGCGAATAACCCCTATCTGCTGCTAAATCCATGGCAAAACACATTTCGTCCGGCCTGGCAGCTGACTAGGTATAGCATTCGTGAAGAGATCGGGGATTGATCCATTGACAAATAGTTTCTGCTGCCAGCCTTCTCTCATTCGATGCCCAAAGTCCTGGGAAGATCAGGCGATGCCATCTTGATCCCATGGTTACCGCTTTCAAACACTTGTTGCCTTGACTCGCAAGCTCATGAAGCTAAGATCTTGGCTGAACAAAAGTAATTCATCAGTGAAAAGGTTTCTGGTTGAGGAGTGGCTAGGTCCCTAGGAAGACTCATAACGAGAAAAACGACCCATGACGCTTAGATAGCAGCATGGAGGCCCATGAGGTCTCTTGGCGGGGTGAGAGAATGGCGGCGCATCCGGCACGGTCTGCTTGCCCTCGTTGAAGCTTCACGGCACCAAGACGGTTGAAAGGAAGTGAGGTCACTGAGCTAAGCCCCGGCCACAGTGGTCTAGATCCCAAGCATCCCCGGACTGTCACTTTTATGGACATATCCTCCGTCGAACTGTGGGTCGCGAGGAAGCCAACCGTCGCACTAATCGATCTGGACAGGCGGCGTGGGTTCTGGAAGCGTACCGCTGCGGCGGCGCTGCCTCATACAGGAAAACATCTCGCCCCGATGCGAGTCATACTGTATGACCAGGTCAGGTAAGGCCGCAAGGTCCAATTCCGCATAGAGCACCCATGAGGTTATGGTTGGCGAGCATCACTCGTCATCTATTGTCAAGCGGCGTCTAAAGGTTTTCTAGTGTGGTTCTAGTGGGTTTCTTCATTCAACAGTGCAGGTCCCTTGCCAACTCTTGTATCACGCGCTTTGCCCCTATCGCATCTCACAACTCTCAGGGAAAGATCAATATCCATGCCGTGGATCTACCCGTCCGGCCCCGAACCCGTGCTGTCTTATCAGATACCGCTGGTTTCTGCCACAGGCAAGGTTTTCCGGCCAACAACCTCTTCCTTGCGACGACGCTATCATCATTCGCCGTCTTCACCGGGCCGTCTCGGCAGCCTCAAGTTCAAGGCCTTTACGGCTGGATCATGGCTTAGACCCGGCCGCATCTCGGCGGCCAGTCATAGTCCAACGTCGCTACCTTTGTGAATACAAAGAAGTAGATGAGCTTGGCACGGACTTCCCGCATCCCCTGGGTCACGCGCACACCGCTAGATCCTGTTGGGCACCAGCTATGAGCTACCGGGGCTCTGTTGGTACACATCTCATTGGCACTAGAGACATAGGATGGGAACGGTGGATTCTCTGGGGATGGTGGGAAATCCTGGGGAAGACCCAGACCCCTCAAGTGCGACTCCAGGTTCTCCAGGTTCCAGCCCCATGCTTTTTGGCCACGACCATGTCTACTCTGGGTCGAAATATATAAGGTTCGTCGATCACCGTCTGGGTAAGACTATCATCCACTCATCAACGCAACGCCCATTCCATCCCGGCCAGACATTACCCCAAAGTCAGCTCCCAACTCCTCGAGTTCGAAGCCCTCTCCTCGGACACTCAGCTCTCACGGCACTCGATTTGTTCAAGGAAACCTCTTCACAATGGCTGGCGGAATTCCTGTGCAAACTGGCCAAGTTGCCGGTGGCTACCTCACCGGCAGGGCTCTTATCTATCCTCTTTCTCTCGTCATCTCCCTCTTCTTCCTCTGGGGATTCAGCTACGGTCTTCTCGATGGTGAGTGATTAGTAGGCACTTAAGCGTCAGAGCTCTAGCTAACGTGGAAAAGTTCTGAACAAGCACTTCCAAACCGTTCTGGGCGTCTCCAAGCTGGAGTCAACGGGGCTCCAGGTCGTCTATTTCGGTGGCGGTTACCTCCTGTTCAGCCCTATCGCCGCCGAAGTCCTCAAGAGGCGAGGCTACAAGCAAACCATCTTGATGGGTCTTTCTCTGTACTCTCTCGGCGCCATCATGTTCTGGCCCACGGCGCACTTCACGACCCCTGACAACAAAGATGCTGCATTCGGTGGATTCATTGCGTGCACGCTGGTCATTGCCTGTGGACTGGCAACACTCGAGACCTCTGCCAACTCGTATGCCGTCATTATAGGCAATCCTGCTTCGGCCTCAGCCCGGTTGCAGTTTTGCCAGAGCTGGAACGGTGTTGCCTCCTTCATTGGACCTCTCATTGCTTGTAAGCCTATCCAAGAATCTAAACCCGCTGGCCACACAACAAGTGACTGACCATGACGACAGCCAAGTTCTTCTTCGAGGGGGCGAACGCACACAGCCTGACCAATGTGCAATTCGTGTATCTTGCAGTGGCGTGTGCTGGAGTTGCCGTCGGGGTTCTATTCTTCTTCGCCAAGCTCCCTGAGATCTCGGAGGAAATGCTCAGCGGTCAGTCAAGCTCTGGTGCCCCTGCCCTGGACCACAATGGCAACGAAATCGGAGCTGGACCTCTGTACAAGCAGTACAACATGATCTTCGCCTTCATTGCCCAGTTCTGCTACGTTGGTGCACAGGTAGGCCTCTACTTCCTCGCCATTCTACTTTGACGAGGCCCTGACAGGAAACAGGTCACCATTGCCTCTTTCTTCATCAACTATGCTACCGAGAATGGAGGGTTCACCGCCTCTGAGGCATCCAGGATGCTGTCATACGCGCTGATCTGCTTCACTATTGGTCGCTTCGTGGCGACGGCGCTGGCGACAGTCCTCCAGGCGGACTTCATACTCATCATCTACGCCGTCATCTGCATCGCGATGAACGCGTATATTTGTGCGGGTCGTGGCCACGCCGCGGCCGGCGTGCTCATTGCCATATTCTTCTTCGAGGCGCCTATGTACCCCACTTTGTTCACCCTGGGCACTGCGAACCTGGGCCAGCACACCAGACGAGGTGCCGGTATCCTGGTCATGGGCGTGTCTGGAGGAGCTGTCTTCCCGCCCATCCAGGGCGCCATCGCCGACGCCGCCTCGACTCGCATCTCGTACGTCGTGCCTCTTGTTGGCTTTTGTTATGTTCTTGGCTACGTCACCTTCCACTGGCTGAGACATGGCCGATACATCATGAGGGTCAAGGAGGTTATCAGCACCGATGCAGGCCTCGCTAGCGAGGACATTGAGAAGAAGCCCGAGGGCGCCATCACTATCGAGAGAGTATGAGAGTGGGCTTGATGAGAAAGCGCTGGGGGTTCTGATTTTCGAGGTCTACAAGTGCGATGGTCGCTTGGTCGTGATTGATAGAGAGGGGCGGCTTTGCCCTGACCTGCCATTCCAGAAGAGTTGTTGGTGGTTCGAGCAAAGAGGCAGTTATATGATTAATGAATAATACCCATGAACAAATAGAACTTGGCCATGATCCTAAGCCATGATGTCGTTTGACGATCGATTCCCATAATCGATATGGACCAAAGCTTATTCCACGGTCATGAACTCCAAGTATCTCTGAATAGATGTTTTCTTCGCTGGTGTGCTAAAAGCCAGACTATTATTTCTTGGTCACTAGAAACTCAGCGTCGGGTCTCTGCAATATGTCTAGTGCGCTGAGACGAGAGGAGGCAGAAAATGTGCGCAAGCTCAAGGTAGTCCAAATTAGGGACACTATCACACTAGGAATAGCCAACCATTGGGACGGAGCACGTGGCACTCGAGCGATACGGTAAAAGGAGAGGAGAATCAAGGGAGATTTAAGGGGTTCGGCTGTATACATGCATAATGATTTGTGCAGCTCTTGTGAGCGCTCGGGCCATCTCAGATGCCCCTCCCCCGCCATATCGACAATTTTTGTATTTGATCGCAACAACCAGTCCCAGTCGCCTCACGCACACGCATGCTCTGAATGAGAGTGTAGGTAACGTCCAATGCACCGGTTTCTTATTCCGTTCTGTAATTCCCGATCCCTCGGCCAGTACGGAATACTGTGAGCCGGCCATCCGGCGTGCCTACGTAACGCCTCCTCTCCTCTTGGCACTCTCCCTGGCAGCCGGGTCCTCACACGATGCCAAGCGCCAGTACCAGTCTGAGCCCAGTGTCGCCTGGCGAGCTCCTCGCAATCGAAGACTCGCTTGGGGACTCGCATTTCCTCCGTCAGCTTGACGGCGAGACATCTAGGGTTCTGATAGACCAGTTTGCCCGCCATGTGGTGGCGTGCACCACAGACCGGACGAGTACAGACGGCCCTGAAGAGACATCCGGTGAACTCCCTCCACCAGATTTGAACACGCACGCCATCCGTCTCGGACTGGCTTCGTTGGCTGCTTTCTTGCAGGCCAACGTCACCGGGCCCGTCCTTGAGAGTCCAGAAGCCGCCGAGCGAATCTTCGTCTCTTCTTTCAGTCAAGCAGATCCTTCACATGTCGGTGGGCAAAGGACGTTAGAGGCATGCAGAGTGCTGTGCCAGAGATCCCTTGACACCGACGGCGTCTCTACGTATTCATATATCCCCCACATCGAGCTTTTCTGTCTAGCACGCTTCATCTTCACTTCGGGTCGCATACTGCCCATTGACACCTTTCAATCTCTCGCATCACAGCTTTCGTGGACTCGCCTGAGGATCCATCTTTGGCATTACAAGCTTCTCACGCAACCTTCCCTGGGCCCTGGCTCACTTTTCACCAAAAGTGGTCGGTGGACCGACGTTGTCACCCTCCAGGAACTCATTGAGCAGAGCCTCAAAGATGCGGAATCGGCCGTCTTTAGAACAAGCCACGCGGAGTCGGGCCTGGAAGAGCCCCCGTGGCCACAAGAATCACGCGTCCAGTTCCGCTTAGAACAAGCGAATTGTCATATACTACTGGGGAATGACACCAAGGCTAAGCAAGCCTTACAAGCAGCTACACAGACCAGCGACTTCGTGTATGCTCTCTCGGGTGCCCTAGGCAAGCGGACAAGATTCCAGGAAACCAACATTAGCCAGCTCGTCGTTCTTGCCAAAAGTCTACACCTAGCTCAAGGGCCGGACGGCGACAAGGACAGGATCAAGGCGACTCCAGTGGCACTGTCGTTGAACGACGACACATTGTTGGAAAACATCAAGTTCAATGGTGATGAGGCGGCTGGCCAGCCCTCATCGGTCCAAGCTGAGCTACAGGATATCACGCCTGATAATCAACCCGAACTACGACCAGAAGATCAGATCATCCTTCTTACCGAGGCCACACTCAAAGATACCTTCCTACCCGTTGATTCCCTGACGTCGGAGGAAATCCTTCCCTTTGCCGTGCGAGTCATCGAGGACAAGGCGGCAAACTGGCAGGTCTACACCCAGGCGTTACTGGTACGGTCGCGGATTGAGATGAACCGGAGTCGGACGGTCGAGCGAGGGGTCTTGCAGATGCAGGCCCTCGTTGACCAGGTTCTTGTCAACACGCAAGAGTCAGCAGCCTCTGTGGAACAATCTGAATCAAAACCAGACCCCAACATTCCGGTAATCCAAGTAACCTCTGAGGGTCAACCAGATAAGATGAACAAACCGACATCCTTCCTACCAGCTCCTAAGCCATCCGAGTCGGCATCTCCAAAAGAACGGCTGCGATACGTCAATGCTCTTGCCTCGCCCCCTCGTTGGCATCTTGAATCGGAGCTCGCCTATGCCTGGTCTTCCGTTGGTTCCCTCGTCTCTGCTTTGGAAATCTTCAAGCGCCTACGCCTCTGGCCGGAGGTTGCTCTCTGTCTAGCTAGCACAGCTGCCACGGATGATGCAGATGGCAGGGGCGCTGGAGGTGAGGAAAAAGCCCGTGCCGTGGTAAGGTGGAGGCTGTTCCATCGGACTCCTAGTACAGGTGATGATGAAGGCGATGTGAACAATGGTGACGTTGAAGAAGACGATATCGATATCTCATCGTTAAAGCCCTCCGACTTCTACGGCCCAGAACATTCACCGCCACCACCCAATGCGCCTCGACTATTCTGCCTATTGGGGGACATGGAGAACGATGCCCAACACTACAAGCGTGCGTGGGATGTATCCAACCGACGCTTCGCGAGGGCACAAAGGTCACTGGGCGAGCTCTATCTGCAGAGAAAAGAGTGGAACGAGGCAAGAGAAGCATACACGCTGTCAGTCGCTATCAACAGAATGAGTCCTGAGTTGTGGGGTCGGCTAGGTGATATCGAGCTTCGTCTCGGCCATTTCCCGGATGCGGCCGAGGCTTTCCAGAGAGGCTTGTCGACGGCGAATGATACTTCAGGCGGCGAGAATGCTAGAACATGGAGCAACCTCGGAACTGCTCTCCTTAGCTGGTACCGCGAGATTGTCGAGGAGAGCAAAGCACGGAAGGAAAGGCTGAAGAACGACGAGGATGATTCAGCCAATGTAGACGATATGCCCAGCACCAAGCGAGCCGCCGAGTTGGGAAGATCTGCACCACAGCTGCTGCGGGACTCGCTGATTGCTTTCAAGCGCGGTGCCACGATCGCGGATTCGAACTGGAGGATATGGGACAACGTGGTGACGCTCGCCGCGAGCCTCTCGACACCCGATATCGATGATATTGTGCTTGGGTTACGGAGCATTATTCGGATACGCAAGGCGGAAGATGCGCTGGATCTCGACATCCTGGCGCTCTTGGTCCGTGAGGCGACGAAGACACCCATATCTGGTGATGACGCCGGCCTGGATGGGGTCTATGAACCCGCGAGGGGGACGGCGGCGCATAGAATCATCGCGATTTTCGAGGATGATATCGTACCCCTGATCACGTCGAACTCGGCGTGCTGGGCGCTGGTGTCCCGACTTCGTGCTTGGAGACGAGACTGGGCCGGGGCACTAGATGCAGCCGAAAAGGGGTGGAGAGCGGCGATCGGCGGAGTGGGTAGCTCCTTATCCGCTTCCAGCGCCGGCGGCGAACAGGGGAACTGGCTGACGGACGTAGAGGAGTGGGATACGGTCGTGCAGAGGACCTCGGAGCTCGTCGCGGCCTATGAGAACTACGGGTCACGGCTCGAGAGCGTCGGGACCAGATGGAAGGGCAAGGCGAGGAGCGCGATCCGCAGCGTCCTGGGGAAGGCTAAGGAGTCCTGGGAGGAGGACGAGCGGTGGGATACTTTGCAGGGTATGATGCAGGACCTGAAATGATGATGAGTCTGGTCAGCACCCACAGAATAGACGTTTCAACGAATTGAAGATCACTCTTCTCCCATCGCATAAGCCTCGTCCAGTCTGCCTTCCACGGCGACAAATATAGGCAGTCAGCATTCGGCCGTATCATCTCTTACCATTCACCTGTGAACCGCGTGCCTTCACTATGAGCATCCACAAGCCGACAAGGTTATCCCAGCAGCTATGGGCCAGGGGCTTTCATCAGTCGCAGGACGCAATGCGCATCCCTGGATGAGACTCTGCTCTCACCAAGGCCTCTAACACCATAGTTGCCCAAGCTGCGTTCATCGATATCAGCCGACCAGCACTGCGGGTACCCAATAGATAAAACCAAGGCATCGATACGGGTAGAAGACGATGTGATTGGAAGAGTATGTATTATGATTATCCAGAAGACATGTAACAAGCCGCCGACACCGCCATGGTATCGACAACCAAGATTCGACCGCCCCAAATCCAAGGTAAACGCCCCAGTCTAATGATGTTACCAGCACCGGTCCGTCTGTTCAAACCCCCCTAACGGATTCCCATCCCGTGTAAAAAACCTAGTAAATGCACAGGTGTAAAAGTGGCATGGCCATCGAGAGAACCGCCACGCAGTAGAAGAAGAAGAAGATGAAGAAGGGAACTTAGGAAGTAGCAGAGGGAGAAGGAGAGGGTATAAATGCTATGCTTGTCCCGCCAACCGGCGGGATGAGAGAGTCTCGCGTGCCGTACACCGGGGGTCAGTTCACCGAACCTCTGGCCCCGTCCGCCTGTCCAACCGTCCGTCATGTCTAAAGCCGTTCCGTTCGCCGCCACCGATTCCCCATCAAGGTCCGTCCATAAGTTAAACAGTCTACAACGCCGAATAAGTTGGGATGAAAGGAAACCAGAGTGCAGGGTTCCAAGAGGAGACGCCGTACGCCGCCTGTCTGTCTCTACAGACTCGAATCCAGCATGAAAGAGGTTAGTAAGATGCCGATGAGACCGGGAACGAAAGCAAGTGACTGATTGAGGAGACCCGAGTTCGTATCGTCGTCTCCCACCCTTCTGATCATGCGACCAGGCCTCGTTGAGCCCATAATTTTCAATGAGGGCCAGGGCTATGATTGAGCATGGCCTAGATGCGCTGTGGTCTGCTGACAGATGGGCTGGTATCGTTCAAGATCATATGCCCGGGAAATAAGGAGAAGGTTGGTCTGCAGTGCAACCCCGAGTCTGCAGTGCAACCCCGAGTCCGCAGTACACAACGGGTGGTAGTATTAGTAGTAATCCAAGAATGGAAGAAGCCTCGAAGGTAGCCGGTCGTGATTGTGTGGAAGCGAGGGCAAGGCGCGTGACGCAGGTGTTATGCGTCATGCAGCAGTCTGCGGCTGCAGCTGCGGCGCGCACCTGGCCTCGGCAGATATCCAGCCGGGGGGACCATGCGAGGCGCAAGGATAGGTCTACTGACTTGGAAGCAGTCAGAGTGACTACCCCTGTCCAAGTTGCGATTTGACGAGGAAAAGTCGGACGCGGCCCCTGGATTGTGACTAGGTGGCCGTCAGGTGTCGGGAGGGTAACAGTGGGGACTTGGCATCCGTGGGTCCGGTCGAGGTAGATAGAGTGGAAATGAGATCAGAGCCAACAAGCTTGACCTAGGTCAGAACGGTTGTGGTGATAGATATTGTTGGTAGGGAATCCAAGGTCGTCGCGTGGAATGTGGAAAAGGGGGGAAGGGGGAGTGGAGTGCTGGGACGAGTCGTTGATTGGCTGGGCCGCGCAGCTGACTTGACTCCTGACCCTAAGGGGGAAGGTCAACGGTCAACTCCCCACCCACCCTCTGCATCCACACACACACACACCGGGTTATACTGCACACCACCACCACGTCGGCTGCCTTTCCTCCGCGCGCACACCACGCGTTCTGGCATTTGGCATTTGCTATCCAACAAATGCCGGTCGCCTGTGTCATTCCGCCTCTTCATGTTCAGCATTCTGCAACTCCAAGGTTGGGATTGTGTCCTTGATCCTGACCATTTCCCCTCTCTGTTCCACATCGTCGCAACCATCCGAGTGAGGTGAAACGAGTTTGTCTGAACAGCAACGAGTTCGTCGTTGCGTATGAGTCCGTTTTCTTTACAACCATTATTCCCATTCAGCACACCTCCACGCACCCCGCCCGCCTCGCAGATCGAGGAGGTGATCAAGTGGTGTGCCGACTAATCCCGGTGACCAGCGTCGCCATACGCGCCAGTGCCGTACACATGACTCTGGTGTTGATGGTGGTGGCTCGTGTACGCAGGCGACGCAGACGCATCGCCGTATCCATTCGCGACTGCCGAGTCCCACCGCTGGCTATGCGGCGCCATGCCGTAGTGATGTGTCGAGTGCTGCCTCGCGTCTGCCTGCCCGTAGGAAGGTATGCTAGGTATTCTGATCCCTGCCTGCGGTGAATGGGTCTTGAGACTCGGGGAGAGGGTGCGTCCGGCGTAGGCTGCCCAGCTGGGGGGAGCGCCCGAGAGCGAGCGCGGCGACGCCATCGTGTGTGAGTCGTGGTGGGAATACCCGCCGTCGGATACTGTTGGGGTATGAGGCATTGCGTAGAGGCCTGGGCTCGTGCTGCTGACGGGCGTGAGCATGGTCGGTCCCCCGGAAGGGAGCTGCGAAGAAGGCGATGCGGACTAGGGTATTGTCTGTCAGTCTCGTTGCACCACGTTTTCATACTACTTGCTAGCTAAGACATGGCTGCAAGGTTGGAAAATCACTTGATCAAGAGGCACGAAAAAGAGAAAGAAAAGACGGACAGGATGGAGACTTTACTCACGTATTTCGATATGATCTTCTTGAGCGCCGTAGCCAGTACTTTCCAAGGAAACACCTTGACGTCCTTCTCGATATTGCGCGGCTTCGGATTCGGAAAGGCCATGATGATCTTGAAGAACTCTTCGCTGTCCGCCTTGGCCTTGCTGACTGTCAGGGGCCGGAACCCTTCCAGATTGCGCCTTATCCGGTTCTTCTCTTCCACCGTGAATCTCGCCGGAGACGCCACGAGCTGCTCTAGTAGCGAGATGGTGTCGACGCTGGTCACATAACACTCGTTCTTCTCCGCCCAGTATATGCAGCTGATGCAGATGCTGTTCGGTGGCCTCTCACTGACGGTGACGGGCTTAAAGCTTGTCGACAGCGTTGAGCCCTGCTGCTTCTTATTGAACATGACTATGCGCCTGCGGTTCTCCCACTCCTCCTGTGTCCAGTTGCTTGCCATCGTCTCCAGGTCGCCGTTGATCTTGAGGTTCGCCTTGGCCGAGTACATGGCATACGGGTTCATCTGCGCGGCACTGGAGGATCCGGACGTTTGTATCGTGCTGGTCCGGATCAGCTGCGGTGCGCTCGACGTCGGCATTGGCAGAGTCGTGATGCTCGGGCGCGTTATCGTTGCGTGGTGGATGGCAGTGGGACTGCGAGGCGTCATGGACGACCCGTAGGGACTCCATGTCGGCGCTTTGAGTAGTGGTGGTCGCGGGTAATCGGCCGCGTACGACGAGCGGTGGTAGGGGCCGATCATGCTGTTGTTGCTGTTATAACCTGCATCATAACTTGAAGCGACAGTCTGATGGGACGCCAGAGCGTAGCCATAGCTATTTGTAGCAGCGTCGGTGAGTTGGTCGGGCTCCGGTTTGGGTGGGCTCGGTCTTTGCTCAGGTGATTTCGACTCCTTGCGCGTGACACCCTCATGCGGACCCTCCGCCGCCCCAACTTGAGGGTCGTGATATGTGAACGTGCCGACGTCGATGGTTGCCAGTGTCTGCCCGTCGGAGCTCTCAATTAGCAGTGATAAGGGCACGCTGCCGCTCGGATTCCTCGTGTCCTCGAGCTGTGGTGCGTCTCCGCTGACCACGTAGCCGAGCCCGCTGGCATCACCGGCGTCCCGAATGGCGTGTGCCGGGCCTTTGTGGGCTCCGAAGGCCAGGAAGAAATGGCTCGTGACGGCAATCAAATCGTACGGCGCTGAGATCTTGATCAGGATCTTGGTACCAAACACGCCGCTCGTTGGTTGATACGAGAGCAATGTCGGCACCACCGATGTCATATACTGGCTCGCCGAGTTGTTGGCAGCGAAGGCCATCTGGTTAAGCTGTGCAGCCGCATTTTCAGACTGTTGCGCAGCAAACTGCTGTGCTGAATATTGATACTGAGAATCTGGATACGACCTCGATGATTCAAATGCTGGAGATCGTGGGATAGTCAGTTAGAATTACACCAAGCGGCGACCAACACCACCCAATCTGCTCCCACTTCCGATTCCATGATTGCGGCATTGAGAAGCATATTAACAGGGAAGAAACACTCACCATGCATCTGGGGCGGTTGCGGCTTTGGGTATGCCGACATAGACAGGAGACCAGGCGGGGAATCCCCACGAAGGTCTCCACCGTTCGCTCTCGCCGCAGCCTCTTCCTCGTATCGGAGCGTCACCGTCTCCGGTGACTCGAGCGCGTCGGCGTCGACTATGATTGGCCTCTGAGGATGGTAATGAGGCTGTCATTCCTCGTCAGCAGGCTTCCCGAAACCCCACGAGAGGCGGCGATGGGCCCCAGCTACTCAATTTGACTCACCTCGAACAGCTTATAAGTCGGGTACTCAAACTTGACAGCCGACATCAAGCTGTCTGTTTCGATGAATTCCGAGATGGTGGAAGGGTCTGTTCCAAGTGGAACGAACGAACACCTCTTTCGGGAGAGGTGTTGCAGAAAAGTATGAACCCTGTGTGTGCGCGTTGTGTGTTAGAGAGCCTCTAGGCTGGGATCTTCTGCGGGAGAATTGCGTTCCTGGCTATGGACGGGGTAGGCTTACCTTTTCGCGCTCTGACTGTCTTAAATGCAATCGAGTCTATCCAACGATCGAACAGCTTATCCTTTTTCCTTTCCGCTTTGGCTGGCTAGACAGGTGAAACAAACTGACGAACTGTCGATGGGCGTTGTCAAGGAGGGTTGGAAAACTGGATATGGTTGATTCCGATGGGGTTGATCAGACACCGCAGGCTGCTACGGCTGATCCGGAGGATTAATAGGAGGAGCCTTCTTCCTTTCCAGCAGGTCTGAAGCCTTTGACAGCCAAGTTCGCAGGGATAAGTCACCAGTTCAGTGCCACTCATTGGGCGGGCTTCCTAGGCTGCAAACTGATTCTGAGTCGGTCTCGGAAACGTGAAGCTTCCTAAACTTCTTCCCCGCTCTAAAGAAGACGTGGAGGATAATGGTTTTCGAATGCCTGCAAGTCGGTCAGCTCTGTGAAGCAGTGTTCCCGTTTTAGTTGTTCTATGACAGCAGGAGGCGTAGAGCTGACAGCACTAGGAGGGAAGCCTTGACTATACTAGGCCTGAACAATTGGATGGTGCAAAGTGAGATATGACACGCCAGAGCTGGTGATAAAGATGTGTTCCGCACTTACACCAAGCAGTGGCTTCGATTGACAGTGGAGCTGCAGTTCGTTCGTATGCAGGCAGCCCGAACCTGTTCGCATGAAGGTGAGTTGGGAGAGCTGCAATCAGATGGAGGCAGCTATCCGACAAGTTCGCGTGGTCTGCGTGGTTCGTGTCGTAAGTGAACCAGAAACACGCCGGCTACCAACAACGGAACGGGTAAACGAGCCAAAGGACTGTGGGCGTCGGAAGAGCTGTCAGCAAACGGTGGCGATTCAGGGCTGGCCTCAGATGTGAGTGAGACGTTGATTCTGAAACTGGGACAGGTTTTGAAAGAAACTGTTGGAAGGGGAAGCATGGAGTGATAAAGAGGCAAAAGAGCAAGAACGAGACACATTGCTCGGGTAGGATAGAGGAGTGGTGAGTGAGTCTTGTAGTAATGGGGCTGTAGTCAAAGATTCCCGTGGTGGCCGGGTCAAGACCGTGCACGACACAAGTATCTATCGACTATCGATGTACCTTTTTCTTCTCTGTCGTTGAACGCAAGCCTCTCATACGATCCGCCCAGGACTGAGAAGTATGTTGATGCGGCAGACTTTTCCTGCCCGCGCTTCGAGGGGGCCCCCAGGTTACTTTTTCCCCTGAACTCAGTGTGCAGCTCCAGATCGGCCAGTTGCTTGAGTATGCAGCTACGATGCCGGGCGCATGATGGGAAGAGTTGGGCAAACGACAGCGACAGGCAGGGATAGCGGCCGTTGAAATGCGAGATTCTAATGTCTCGAACGAGCTGCAAATCATGCAAGGGTCCATGATCAGAGAAAGAACACTTGTGCCTCAAAATCAGGAGCTATGCAGAGTGTTGATAGGTGATCACCACATTCGATGGGGTGTGGCGGGCGAAAGGGATAGAGTCCGCATAAGCAACGACGAGTATCCGGTGGGACGAGTTGAAAAAGCTAGAGGAGGCGTAGGGCCCAATACGAAAAGGGCAACGGCCGGTGGGAATGACAGGGCAAGGATAGTCGGACTTACAGTAGGTATCTCTGGACAAGGGCGTATTTGCTTCCAAGCGAAAGAGTAGCAGACTGGCTACTGGTACAACGTGGTATATAGACAGCGAGTGCAGGCTGAGGAGACTAGCCGGATGGGATCAAGACGCGAATGTTGGACTGAACGTTGGACGTGCGTCTGGCGAGGAGGTACGTAGCGGAGCAAGAGGTCGGGTACCGTACACATAGCAGTTACTTCTGTCCAAGTAGATGGGCAAGTGTAGCCTGGTGCGGCAACTATGGCTGGCTGACTGTTGATGTACTCAAAGTCAGCGTTTTGCAAAACATGATTGGCCTGAAAGCACAAAATCGTCTCATGTACGATGCAATACGATCCTTGGCAGCGCATTGCACAGTATGGCCGCCCGGTGACGGCAACGATGGAAAAGACCATCCAGTGGAGTGCTCCTGTGAGATCGATCTGGGGGAGATCCGGCCGGGAGGGCATGGAATGTGGGATATGGCGTGGTGTGTACGTTGCTAGCAGATAGCCATTGCCGTAATAGGGTCGGAGACTGGGGTAGCCATTGGCCAGCTCTGCTGACCTAGTTCGAGCATCTAATAGGTGATTTACGCGGCCAGGGTGAGATGCGGGTAGGGGGCGGTCCTAGGAAAAGGGGAGGCGGCAGCCATCTCGCCGGCGCAAAGTACACCCCCGGTTGCTTTTGGGTGGGTAGGATGACCCGGCAGGCTAGCCGTGGTCTGCTCCTGGGTGACCTAGAGGCATGTACCGTAGACATGTGGGCACGTATGCATGCACCCATAGCATGCAGTCTTGGGCTTGGGATCTGTGTACTCATGGGGCCAGCTTGGTACTCCGTACGTCAGTTGCACTAGCATCCTGCGTGTGCCACTCGGCGAGATTTGATCATCTCAGATTGGTAGATCCCACATGAGAATGACATTGGGAGGCATAACAGCAACGGCATCAGCCGCGCTGTGTAACCCGACGGGGGTAGCTCGACGTTTGGTGATGTGAGGAACAGGCAACGGGGAACGGGGAACGGGTAGCGGATAACGTCGAGCTCCCCCGACTAAGGCAGGCCTGCTCTCGAGCCTTGTTGACATGATCAAGCACGATGAATGGGCGCGGCGTCGAGGCGGAAGCCCCCCCGCTGGCTGGAATGCCCGATCGTGAACAGTCAGGAGATATTATGACTGGGGGCGGCTGGCGCTGGACAATAGGGGAAGATTCTTTACTCACAGATGGCGCTTTTGCTGGAGCTGGCTGGAATGATCACCTAGTAGTGATGCTCTCCCTCCTAGCCCCGGAGCTGGTCGGCTTGGTATGTCGTATACAGGACGTAAGGTATGTAGTTGTGTTATAAGCCGGGGTCGGCGCGTTCCTCTCAGTGGTTCAAGGATTGAGCCATTCAAGGGCTTCAAGGGCTTGCAGCTTTGGTGAATGTCGTTCTTAGCATCGGTCCGACGTCTGGTCTACTGTGAGGTGAAGGGAGTGATTTGCTCCGGATCTGCGTCCGCATGTATGGGACGAAACCGAGGAGCCACTGGGCCCAGGGCAGGTAATAAATAGATAAAGAAAAGACCAGCCCATTGCGGATCATACACATGCTGGTGCTAGTCTTACAAGATGGCGTCGACGCTCTTCCTCTGTTGATTGACAATTTGAATAGTTCCCAAGCCCCGAAGTTCGTCGCTTGACCATTAGCAGGCTCATCCATGAGTTGGTGTCAGTCTTTGATTGCCTTGGTGTCACGCAGTAGTCGGTGGCGGGAGTATAAGTCGATCAAAAGGCATAGTGCAGGCGGTGAGCAGCAGTACAGTCCTCGACATATCACGGTGAAGACAATGATATCATGGCCATGATCCATCGGCTGGGTCTAGGTACTCCTGGCTCCAAAGCTCCAGCTCCAGCATCAAGCGCAGGCTGTACTTCACATCTGAAGCTGTAGTCTCGATAGAGAAGAGGTGTTCAAACTTCAACTCGGATCTGGGAGAAGTCAATTCGTCATATCCGGAGTGTGTACGCAGCTATACCTGCACCGTCGCTAGTGAATGATCCGCCACAGAGATCATTGGCCAGACAGCAGGCACAGATGTATGAGAGTATGCACAAGACGGCGACGCGACCGGGCCGTGGTTGGAAGGATTCGGTACCTCCCAGCCAGACAAAGATTTTGTACCGCGATCGCCCTTGGCGGCGGGGGAGACCTTGTCGCAATATGCTGGCACATACATATTATACTTACGGTCTACATTGCCTCCTAAGCCTGCCGGCTTGCAGCCAGCACTTTACCCAGAACACACTGCTGCACCCCGAGCAGAGCATGAAAAGCTCCACCATCGGCTGGACCAGGATGGGAGAGTCCCTGAGCAGCTCACTGAGTAAGTAATCGACATACAACCAGCACTGACACCGCGAAAATACTTACCATTAGGTACATGTCTGTGTAGGACAGTAGTAATAGGCTGGCCTTGTTCTCCCAGTGTTATTCAAGCCTACCAAGAGCTCCGAACCTGCTCAACCGCGTTACATAACGCGTCAGTGAGGTCTTCCTCTACACTCGTACCAGTAACAGAAAGTAACTTGTATGAGTACTGGTCCTTTGGCGACTGATCGTTACACATGCTTTTCCACATCGGCTACGGCCGTACAGGGAAGCCCGTTCATGATCAAAGACCTGTTCGCTGGTGAACAATCAGTCCACTAGGCCAATGATGCCTGTCAGTCACATGATGCGATCCCTGCATTCGGCTGAGGAAAGGCTTGCCAGTTGCTGGGCATGATGTCAAGGCGCCGAACGGTAAAAGCGAGTGAGGTGGTCCCAGATTCGGAAGTCGAGCTTCCAGATCCCACGGCGATACGACACGAGCCCTGACAGGATCTCGCTTCCCATAATGCTCGTCACACATTGCATACACGCTGTCCAACAGAGCGTTTTGGGTATATACGCAATATGCTTCTCGGCGATGGGATCGAGAGGCTCTGGTGACACGCGAATCCGAATCTGGCGGGAAACGCTCAGTCGGGTCCATCCCAAGACCAAGACTCTGGGGCCGAGGACCAGATGGCGCACGCCGCAGATGATCCGTGTCTTGCGCGTATCTCGCCAACTCGTCCAAGTGGTGAGGGATCGTTCGAGCGACTGTGCGCTCAATCACCGCATCTACGTACCTACATCATACCTGCATGTCACGGGCGTTTCCCAGCACCCTGGTGCCAGGGACAGACAGAGTTGAAACCCCTCGAGGCTGACGGGAAGCTCTGTCGCAGATTCGCGATGAACCCTTGGCAGACTGTATCCCGGGCTGTTGGGACCGGTACCTTCGACCTCCATGATCCACGACATGGGGGTAATAAGCCTCCATTGTACGGATGCTGGATCAGATCTCCTATCCAGCCAAGATATGACGAGACACCGCTTGCCCGGCGGCACCCATCAGGTCTATAGGATGACACCTACTAGTCCAACGGGCAGAAAGTGGCAGAATTGATTGGTTTAAGGATGGCTCCCTCTGTTATCTTATTCGCAGCTTCATTCCAAGCAGCTAATTGCAACAAGTCCTCCGTGGCAACTGTTCCCAAATGCAGCCCTCATTCCACCGTGACCAGTCCAACATCCGTGAATTCACCCAGCGCCGGCAAGGCGTAAACAATCGACCTTCTCCTGGGGGCAGAACCAAGCGCTAAGAACGCCTACCGCGTGAGTGGCAGGGACACTCGTCACAACGTACTTATGTGAAAATACTGTCATTTACTGGCATTTACTGGCATTCTCTCCTGCATACGCTTGCGATGGACTTATGCAGCCACATCGGGAGGGCCAGTCGGCTCAGGCCGAGAGAGATTGAGTCGGATCGATCTAGGTGCAAGGTACTGGTTGTGGCAGGGTTCCAGAGGTTATTTGGCTGACCAGGGGGTCAAGAAGCCCTCGGGAGACCCCTGGGCCCCTTCGGCACTCGAAGAATGGCAACCCTCCAGTTCGGCGTCGTACATGGCCCCAACACTCCAGATCTGATCTGGCGACAGGGGAAAAGAGTCCGAAAGACGGAGCGCGTATCTACGTAGGTTGAGGTCGAGAAGATCAGCAACAGGTCCAGTTCGCGGCCCCCTGGACCCTGGAGGCTGAAGTGAGCCGACTTGATCAACGTTGCATCCCGCCACCTTTTCACCTTGCACCTGGCAGCTTGGACAGGTTGCGGGCGGTGGACAGGAAACAACTGCGTCTACACCAGGCACCACCGCATCTGTGCGGCCAGCTCCGGCCTGGCCAAGAAGAGTAACGACAGACGAGCATCACGCTTGCATGCGCTGAGATCATGCACGAATATATCCTGCCCGTCACAGATCTCGCGCTCGCCCTTGTTGAGGGTGGCATCGATCCCGGCGCTTGGGAACATGCAGCATCACTCCACATGCCGTGTGACGGGCACGACAGCGGCCGAAATAACAGCTGGGAGCGAACCTCGCTTACTATTGGCTCTCACGAGGAGGCAACCGGCGGTCTGGTCACCATGAGTTGATTGGCGTTGGTCTTGGATCGGTAGCCCCACGAGGCGGTCTTCAACGTTGGGTTGTTGTTCATGTCTTCATGGTCCGCGACATCTGCGCCGCGCCGGTCTCCAGGACCGCCGCCTTGGTAGCAGTGCTTGTACAACCTTGGGTGGTGTTGCCTGGCAAGCAGTCTCTCTGAGAAAGGCAAGGTTCTCAGTCATCCGTCTGAGCTTCTTCCTTGTGCGATGGCAGGGCACAAAAGCGTTGGCTAATCTGCCCAGAAGGATGGACGTTTGGTCCAGCACCCATTTCCGTTCTGGGCCGGCGAGGGTGGTGACAGGGGATCTGTGATGGATGCTGTCTCGAGATGATCATTCCTGGAACTTGTCTCGAGCCCTTGCAGGACCTCTGCCGAGACGCGGTAGTGCCTTTGTCCTTACACGTTTTCCACAGCATCTCCGAACGTGGTATGCGAGGCCAACCAATCGATGAGTTCGACAAGGTTCGACCGTGGAAGCTCGTCAGAAGTTTCCCATCGCAATTGAGCGTAGCATGATCATACAGCCTAAGCTTCCATCTCCATCACTTGTTCCGCCATGAGTGCCACTTCCAAGTCAGGTAAAAGTTTACACATACCCACTGAAGTTGTCCAACCAAGAAGGTCACTTCGTTCTAGCGGCATAAGGTTAACACTCGTTACTACTCGTTGCGATCGTTTTGCAATCGCTCATCAGGCATTCTGGTGTACTCGACAATACCCGCGGTTGACGCTCAATGACCGAAGGCTCGGTACGGTACGTGGGACATGCGCGCAGAGGCAGCCAACCGTCCTGCGTACCTCATCTCGGTCTGTCCTCTCGATCCTGCAGCAGTGCGTGTGCTCCGACCCTAGCCAGATTTACGCCCGTAAAACCGACGTGCGTGCGCTGCAGTGTAACCCAACCGACAAGCGTAGGGTTGTGCCATCGTCGTGTGACCTCAGACTCGCATCCTAGAGTGATGTCGAACGACTTGGTGAAACCGGGAGGGACTGTAACGTGAACAGCCGGAGGTAGCTACACCAACAGCAGCAGCAGTAATAAGCATAATGGATAGCTATATTTAAGCGAGACAGATATGGTCGCGAGGTCTACCGGTGCAATGCTGGGACCGACGCTGCCAGAGTTCGACGTGACTCTGTTCCGGACCCAAGGAGCCTGCTCTCGCCAGAGATATCAGGTCGGTGGATCGTAAGGAACCTGGCCTGCGACTGCAACATGGTGACGAGGTACTTGGCCATGAGATGATGCACTCAGCCGGCATAGCGCCCCCGGGTATCGTACGAACTGGTTCCGACGAGGTCGTGTACCTACGTGTTTCCAGTAACTGCACAGCATATACTTGGGAGTTGCCCTCTACAGACTACAAACCACGGGAAGGACTGCATCCCACCCCCAAAGCCTCCCAGGCCTTTCTGCAATGACGTTTCGTCCGGGGTTGAGGATCCGGACGGGTGCATACATATGTGACTGATTGTGGGTGGGCTTCTTACCAGGTTCTCGGGTCCAGAGAGCCAGTAACGGTGCTGGTTGTCTGAGCATGCTGGTCTCCGTGGCGTCAGGATCTCATGATGTCCGTTGTCCGCGCCATTTACAAACACCGAGATCATGCGGGAGCCACATCCGTTGTGCGCATAGGTAGAGGTAGGAAGAGATTGCGGGGAGATGGAAACCATGGAGTCGAGCCCATCTCATCCTCTTCTCTCGGCACCCTCGAGGCGGAGGATGAAGCCGTAATAAAGCCAAGAACCCGAGTGTAATAATCCCGTGATCGCCTGATGTCTCAGTCTCCCGCAGGCGAACGGGGTGTGGGGTTTGGGGTTTGTGCTAAACGGCCGCTGTCATTACAGCATCTCCCGCCGTCCGCGTCTTCTTCCCTTCAGCAGCACGAAACGTGACGAAAGATCAGCAATAATTGCCGGACACACCATCATATCATCAGCCAGACCGCTCATGAGGAACAATTCTGGGGGCCAGAAGGATGGGCCAATGAGAGATGTGAAGGGAACCAGAGAGCTCGATGCTCGCAAAAATTTCCAATGGCGCAGATCCCGCTCATGCAGGTAGCCGTCCGCCCCCCTGAGCTCGTTGCATGGTATCGCTGGATCTGGGTCAAGCATTGCTTGATCTTGGGTGACGGACCCAAGGTTTCTGTAGAGGTTGAAACATAGCTCATGTCTATCGCTGCTCCGTTCGATCTTTGTCGCACCTCCCCGTGAAACGTTTTCTCTCTGGGAACACCAAGTGGATGGATGTCTAGCCGGCGGAAGCAATGACCGGTCCAGAAGAGCATCTCAAGATTTGACGGATGGCCAGCTCGGAAGCCTCTGATGATTCCTCAATGCTTGTACCCTGTCCCCGATCAACCCGCTCTGGCGGACATCCCATTGGCGAATGCTGTCACATTGAGGCGTCGTTCCTTGTCAAGCGGCCCTCTTCTTGTGCTTTTTCCTCTGGTACTTCTGCCAAAGGCCATTTGTTCGCGTACCCGGCTGACGGCATCATCTCACGCGGCCTTCGGTTCGGGTTCCTAGTCCCCAGATACGATACTCCTCAACGCTTAGGGTTAGGTATTATGGTTCTTGACACCACGATTGGCCTTGGCCTTACCGGCCGAAGCCTACCGGCCGAGACCTAACTGCCAACACAGGATTCTAATGCGTTCGGTTGCTATCCCTTGGCTTCTAACGTGATCATCTTCATGTCGCTTCGAATAACACTACGCAATATCATTTGTGCTCATGAAGAGGGAGGACTAGCATTGAATGTGCTGCGTCATCATGCAACGTTTCATCGAAAACGACATGTGATGGACAAGGAGATCTGTTCTGCTCGTAACAGCTCATCAGCAACACCCACCCCACTTGGATTGAATGTCGTGTCATGAGCCTCTGTATCATCAGGTTACTGTATTTTAGTTCTGTGTTTCCAAGCAATCCGTGCCTTTGATGAAGGGCAGGTTGCAAGTTCGTGTGCCGCCGCAGGATGTTGAATGGATCATTTGGCACTGTGTTTACCATCGAGAACATTTCAGCCTCTCGTAGGAAGAAGACGGATGCACCAGAAGGTGAAGCCACATTAGCGCTATTAGGATTCGAATCTAACACCACTTATATGTGACATCATCAACTAGGTCTTTGCATGGTCGAGAACAACGGAAAAGTCCATTTTCGGCGGACGGCGTCTCTTGAACTGGTAGAGCAGTAAGAATGGTAAATATGCCCGTTCAAGAGCGGCATGTCTTCAGCCGGAACTTCAGATCAAGGGCGAGGATGTGTAGCAATGTATTCGCTGTTCGTAGTTTTGTAAGCTGTCAAGACAGCGAGGTCAATATACATCACGTCTATCCAACATAATCGGGTATATAGCAGACCTCAAGTCAAATAGCGGCGGCAGTGACGGCACTTTTTCACCCAGACGTAACTGTGGGTAGCCCCTGAACTAGAATCCATCGCGAAACTTGGACCACATGTTCGTAGATCGGCTGAAAAGTCTTCGCGAGTGGTCTGCACAACGGATGACTGAGGATCTTCAGTCCTGATTTCTTGACGCATATTAAGTGAATGACTTCGTTGTCTGGTCTAGGGTCTTCTGATAAGCCATGTGCTTGATGGGAGGACAACACCTCATATCCTGGTCAAACTTTCCACACAGTTGACGGTATGTGGATTGACACATCAACAGCTCAACACCTCGTAATCGGTAAGCGTATCACGTACGATCCCTCAAAAGATTGCCGACACTCGAAAGAAGCTTTTTACTCAGAGGCTCTAGGAGACAATAATCGATATACGCCCCTTGTACAGCTCATCTGCCACGAATACTAAAGTTCACTGCGGACGCGGGAAGCTCACACCATGCTGGATCTCATAAACCCGACTCATCGATAAATCCTTGTATACTGCGATGGTCGTCCAAGCCCGTGATGCTTGGGCAGTACAGGGTAGATACACCTACTGCCTATAACTAGAGTCCATTGGGATCCCATCACTGACATCCAGTTCTATCGTGTGACGCATGGGCCTGAGCCTGCGGACGCCATGGCCAAGGTTTTTGTGGATTGAGATGATTTGTGGCGTTTCATTTTGTTCGACTTTGCGTACAGCACTGGGGCTCTGCTTTTGTTGTATTTTGGATCATTTGAGATGAGCTCTTCTCTCGCGGTCGAAGAGCTTAATAAGAAAAATCAATCGAGAGCTCTGAGGTTATGGGCCGATATTTCCCTCACTTGATGTGAACTTCCGCCAAAGCATCATCCCAAGGGGAGAATACGGGGCTTGTGCCTGTGAAGCAAGAATACCACGTCAAAGAATCAAGTTCAGCTACTCAATATGCCTCAAGGTGCCGGTGAAGCACCGTAAACTGTCATCAGTGATCCGATGGGGGTGGCATGCTGTGTGGCAGGACGGACTTGAGCATACATCATACTCCCATGTCTGCAATCGTGCATCGGACTTGTATCTTATTATTCGGCGGTAGGATTCTGCTCTGTTGAACGACCCTCAAGGTACCTAGCAGCTCAGAAAAGTAGAGTCCAGTGGTGATGTTGACAACAGAACCGCAACATCGGGAACCTGAGGGACAGCTTGATCGGACGTTCAAGTTACACTTGTCCAAATGAAGACTATCAGAAACAACCGGGGTACTATCATGATGGGTTTGCTCTGCCAGCTGAGAGTCAGTACGTAGAGAAGCTACGCAGACACGGGTGTCACGGCCTGGGAGCAGGTGTTTCCAAACCCAGTGTCTGTTGTCCGTGGCGGCTACGCGATAGAAACGGTACATGCGACGAGCGGAGTATATACGGTCACCATAGGAGTGAGGGATGGATAGAAGAGCACCAATGCATTGGGTTCGCAATGCTCGTATGATTTGTCCGCCCGTTTGATCCCAGCGTAGACGGATGAGCCGCCAACAAGTACATCATGCAAGAAGTGAGAGCTCGATGGCGTCTATAACTGCAGGTGGCCTTACCTGGCTTTAGCGGAAGACGAGAGATATTCAATGTCCGCATGCCATGGCTGCCCTTCCACATGGTGCTTGGAAGTGTGTGTCCTCCTTGTCATTGTGAAGATCCAAACTCGTCGTCCCGCTTCTCGAGACTTGCTGGTATGGTAAAGAACCTCTGTTCCCATACTTCACCAGACTATTTGGTCCCGAGCTGAACGACCTTTGGCCTGTCAAACGATGAGGGTGCATCCAATTCCCGAGACGTACATAAGAGCTATAGCCAATGGACTCAGATGTGCCGCTCTCGGTTCGTCTGCGTCAATTCGCCTCATGCGCCAACGCTGAAGCCAAAGGAGCCGTCGAATACATCGATATCCTCCGGAGTCTTACCCCCACGCATAGCTTTGAGCACATCTAGGTCGGGGACGTTGTTAGGGCGGTAGAATGTCAAGATATTGTCCATGTCTTCGTCGCTGAGTGTACTCATGTCGTCCCAGGTATAGGCATCGCTGACCTTGATCATCCAGCGCATCCTCTTGGGGCCTTCCTCCGGGTCTGGTGCAACTTTCCGCAGCTTAGCCCGCAGCTCGCCGATCCTCTCGATTGCATCGCCCACGCCTGGCGGCAGCTGCTTTCCAATGAACTTCCGAATACTGGCGGCTAGCCTTGGGCCTTTACCGTTGGTGCTGACCATGATCTGAAGGGGTCCGTCACGGTGTACACTTCCAAAGTAGAAATCACACTCGGGCGGGACATCTGCGATATTGGCAGGGATGCGATGCTGCTTGCAGAGCTTCCAGATCTGGGTAGAGGCGGCGGGATCATCGACCGCGGTAAGGACCATGTCGGGAGGCCCATTGCTCGGAGGAAGCGTCTCAAGGTCGGAAGGCTCGAATGCACGGTCCAGGTAGGTCACCTGGTTGTGGTCAATGCGATGGCGCACTTCTGCGCTGAGGCCCGAGGATGGGCACACAACTACGACCTTGGCGTCGGCATCGAGGAGATTGAGGATTCGACCAACGGCGACCTGATCATGTTAGGTGTTTGTCGTTCGGAGTCAAGCAGAAGGGGTGCAGGGAGAAGGAAGGCAGAGGAAAGGGGAGAGTACGAAGTTGTCAGAAGAAGATGCACCCACCTCGCCTCCGCCAACCACCAAGACAGTCTTATTCTTGATCTGCCATGCGAGAATCAGGCTGCCTCCGCCCTGGACTTTGGGGAACTTCTCTTTCTTATTGTCTGTCATCCTCTCTCGTTGAAACGTGCAGGGAAGGCGGAACAGGATCAGAGGAGGTGTTCATCCTGTCTTTTGCCAGAGAACAACGTCGGAGATGCCAATGACTGACTGACGGCATCAATGACGAGAGCGCAAAAGCTGAGAAGCTCTTATCGATAGGCTGTTACGCTTTATCGGCGGCGGAGAGATAGTGGATCTTATCTCTTATCCACTAGGTGCATGCCCTGTAACGTGCGTCGTTGCTCCCCATGCGACGTCGATGGCAGCATCTCATTGGCTGCTGCGCATGCAGTTAAGTGTGAATTTCCAGCATAATAAATTAATCAATCATAACTCATCCGATTATCCCGTCCATCAAGTCATGGCCTTACATTAATTGTACGTAGCACCCCTCATCAGCACGCCCACGCCTACAACCTCTCTGAAGGTGGTGTCTTCTAACTTCTAGCACGAGCTTAGTCTTTCAAATAACATTTTAACTCTAGAATCTGAAGATCTTTATTTTTACATCACCTGTCCTGCCTATCGAACCTATAGATCCTCCTGCCTCATGGGGCAAAGGCCACCTTTACATGGTGCTGTACCACAACGCCGCCGGTCCAACACAATCCTCCTCAAGGCAACGTCCGTCCGAGCGCGGTAACCGACATAACGACGATCGAGGTCACCAGATGGCAACGACTTCGTGAACCGTCTTGCCCGCCACGATGTCTGGACGCAAGCTAGGTGGTGGGAGAGTGCTGGGCAGCGGCAAGGGGCTTGCCCCTCCTACTACGCCCGCCATCCAGAGGGGGAGGGAAAGAGCCTCCAGCCCATCGGCACCCTCAGACAGCACGCTTTCCATCGGGTCGCCTGATGTGTCCTCCATGTCGCTCGGCACTCCCAGCCCCTTGCCCGGCTTCGCCCAGGATCTGACCTCCAACATCAGTGTCGGCGGCCCCAGTAGCGCCGGCCTCGCGAATAGCAGCAAGCTCGTGTGCCCCATCTGCAACGAGGAGATGATGACACTGCTGCAGCTGAACCGACACATCGACGATAATCACCAGGAGCTTCCCGAGTTCGAACAGGACGAGGTCAAGACTTGGATCGACAAGCAGGTCCTCAAGGCGAAGCGTTTCCAACCCCTCTCGCTCATCAACCAGAAGCTCCGTGGGCTCGAAGTCTTTGAGTCCAACGAGTCTTTACCACTTACTCCGCCTACCGCGATACGGAATACCAGATCCCCCGTTCCCGATTTGCCCGTCGATCCCGACGATCTGATCACTCGGTCACACTGGCAACGCCAAGGCATCAACGACGCGTGTACCGAACCAGCATGTGGAAAGAGGCTGGGCGCGGTCAACGGCAGTGTCAACTGCAGGCAATGCGGCCGCCTTTTCTGCGAGGAACACACCATGTACCAGATGAAGCTGTCACGGTCGGCATCGCACGAGCCTGTGCGGGGATATTGGTGCCGAGTGTGTGAAACGTGCTACAAGTCAAGAGAAGGATACAATGACCACAACGGCTTGACGAGGGACCACACCAAGGGTTTCGCTGCAATTCGGAGGAAGAAGGTTGATAGACAGACCCTGGAGATCTCCCGGTTGGAGAAGAGGCTCACCAAGCTAACGCAGCTGCTGGCGAATCCTCCCGAGGATGGTCTGGCGTCTGGCGGAGGCAGTTTATTTTCTCCTGTCACCTCACTCACGGCGCAGAGGAATCAGCGCAAGGCTATCGAGCAATCGGTCGTGACCTGGGAGGACGACACGAAGGTGTCCAAGTGCCCATTCTGTCAGCAAGAATTCGGGACTTGGACCTTCAGGCGGCATCATTGTCGGATATGTGGGCGAGTGGTATGCGCGGACCCTCAGACGGCATGTTCAACAGAAATAGGTCTGAACGTTGCCAACCCCACGGCGCCTACATCAGAGAAACTGGGAGGAGATTCGATAAGTATCGACATCCGCATGTGTCGGGATTGCAAGTTCACCATCTTTGCGAAGCGTGACTTTGTCGAGTCAGTCGTACACAAGCCGCCGGACCAACGGGCATACGAGACACTGAGGCAGTTCGAACGTGGCATACAGCAATTCCTGCCCAGCTTCCAGCGGGCACTATTGCCTCTGCAGGACGAGGATAGTACACCAAGTCACGCACAGATACAGGAGGCTTCCAAACTCAGGAAGCGACTTACCGACAGCTTCACCAAGTACGATGTGGCTGCGCGACGAATTCGTGATATGAAGACGGACAGCGCGACCCAGAAACAACTGCAGAAGGCCATATATCAAGCGGCTTCATCATTTCTGCACATGCACATGCTACCCCTGAAGAACCTCCCGCGGATGCTGAAGCATAATAGCTCAAGCTCTGCCAAAACTCGTCTGCTGGCGAATGGACACGCATCGAGCCCACTTCGCAACGATAGTTTCGAAACAGCCAGCCAGACGAGCGAGAGTAGCACCGTCGTCTCGACATTGGAGACGGAGGAGAAGGAGCTGCGCGAGCGGTTAATCGTGCTCGAGGAGCAGAGATATATGGTCCAGAAGATGATCAACACATCGCGGGGCGCGAGACGGTTTGAAGAGGTTAGCGCCCTGACGAGAAACGTGGAAGAACTCGAGAAGGAGATCGAAGGCGTGAAAGGCAAAGTTTCTGGTGTAGAACAACGGTGGCAGGGGCTGTATGCTCAAGGCGGTCCCACTATGACTTGAGGGTACTGAACTGTGGTCAACTCGACAGACATTGGCATCACGGGGCATAGACCGCGTGCTATGATGGGGAGCCATGTGTTCATTTTGTACGGAGTTCATTGCATTGCAAGGCGTTGGGTACGGAGTTGCTGCTGTGTACCATACAGCACAAGTTGGATCATTGGTGAACAGACCAGATGGCTGGCGCTAAGCGTTCCAGCATGGTCGAGGTGCGTTAATCTTAGTCTCCCAAGAGAATACAAGTTGATATCCAGCCTATCATACCCCAGACCATTGACCTCCATGGCTATGCTTGTCCTTCCTCTGCACTAGTTTAGTATGAGCAAACCATGTAACTGCCGCCGTCTAGAAAGAGGAGGCTGGTCTCTTGGGCGACTGCAGAAGCGCCGATCTCAGATAGCGGTCCCGGATATCGTTCGTCTCGGGCCAGACCTTGGTGAGACGGTACTTGGCCCGTAACAAGGTAGAGTCCCACGGTAGCGGCACGTAGCAGTCGCCGAAGCGGTCCCAGAAGACCTCGCCGGCGGGGGTGAGCTCGTCCAGGCCCCGCTCGCCAGGTTCCTGCGTGGCGGCGTCGAACATGATGAGCAGCAGCTCCTGCTTCTCCTCCCACTGCGTCGACGGCGCCCACATGTACAGCAGGCCGGCGACGACGTCGCGCACGGAGCTCAGCGTCGGGCGGCTGCTGCGCGCCATGCTGACGCAATACCGGTCGATGGGGATCACGGACGGCAGGCACGGCTTCAGGATCGGGTCGAAGACCCAGCCCATGTCCTCGTCGTTGTCATAGTCGTATGTGAGGTATCGGCTGTCGTCCAGGTCGTCGCGCATGAGGGGGTGTTCGGCGTTGGGCAGGTTGAAGCTGCAGTTCTCGAGCGAGAGGCACAGGATGTCGTCTGCGTGGACCTGGATCTTGCGGCTGATCTGCGGTTCGGGCTTGACGAGTTCTTGCTCGTGTGATAGTTCGCTATATGATAATTTGATCCGTGGGTCGTTCAGCGGTGTGAGCTTCCGTAGCTGGCCGTCGCCTGCCCGGATGAACAGTCCGCGCCTCGGACGGGTGACCGTGATGATGGCGACTTTGGATTCGGGTATGGCGCATAGGGTGCGGGCCTCGTGGCAGGTGCGACTGAGTATACTTCTCGATTGCCATGCCGAAGGATCGTACTGTGATACCGTCTCGTCGTCGTCGCCAATATCGAGCCGTCGCAGGTCGAGGTATAGTCGCGGGGGAGAGGTGCTGCGATTCGTGCCCGGGTGGTCGTTGGGGAAGCAGTGGACGTTGAAGAAGTTGATGCCTGCCGAGGGGACGACGGCTCGCCAGATCTGGTGTCGGATCTCTGGGGGGAGTTCGTTGAAGCGGAAGCTGGGGAGAGCATCCGATGATGTTAAGCTTGAGCTCAACGAGTCGCTGTCGTCGTCGCTGCTCTCGATGGAAGCTTGTGAGAGAGACATTGGTTCCGGAGTCATGGTGCTTAGTTGTGTGACCGAGTCGCAATCAGGAGAAGGGGTTTGAATGGGGGTCTGTTCGCAGAGGCGATGGTGTAGAAAATCGAATTGTGTAAGCTTGCAGACTGAAACTGTTGATGAAGGACCAAGGAAGTTGGTTGAGCTTGTGGAATGCTGTGATTGGTTGCATGTCGGGTGGTTATGATGCTGCATTAGGTGCCGCATTGTAGCACTGTACCCCGCATTACGCCGCTGATCCCACCCCGGCAGCTATGACGAATAGCGTATCGATAGGTCTGCAACACCAAACGCGAACCATTTTACACATCACCAGAACCACCTGTCGCCCGCTTCGTCGCGCCAGTGTTCTACCACAGGAATTCAAATCCGTGTCATGCCAGCTTATATACGTGTAAAAAAAAACTCTACAGAACCGGCCAGGTGTCAAAAATCGCGTCAGTCCCTTGTTTCAGACCTGTTACCACGCGTTCTGTCACTGTATCGCGGCATTGCTCCGCCCCACGGCGCTGCTCCTGCCCATCAACACGAAGACAGTATCACGAAAACCTGATTCCGCAACAACTCGCCCAATTGGCCTCCTAGGATCGACTTCACGGTTGCAAAGGTTCTCGCTATATCCGCGCAAAGGCCACGATGCCGCCACGAAAACGCAAGCGTGCAGCTCCCGCAGCCCCAGCAGAGCCCTCGGGACCACCATCGCCGTCCGACAACGAACCAAATGTAGACGAAATAAACCCCGAGCGTCCGCTCCGATTCTTCAACACCACCTTCTCCACATATCGCGCCTCACCGCTCTACATCGGCAAGGAGCCTCTATCGGCCACGGGTCTGGAAACGCTCTCCAGGCGGCTGCGCGATACCTTCGTGGGCGACGTAGTGCGCGGCGTGCAGGTCGGTCTGGAGAGCGACGCGACGTTGGGGCGTGCCGGCGCGCTGGAGAGGGTAGAATGGCGATGGGCTAGCGTCGGCAGCCTCATGGACGGCAATGGGGATGCAGCACGTCGCAGGACGAGGGGTGGGAGTGAGGAGCTGGGGAGCAGCGCAAGAGAACTCAATAGCGAGGACGAGGACAACGAGGCGCGACGGCGGAAGAAGGGAGAGAAGAAGGTACTCTGTTTGGACCTGGACTACGAGAACGCCAGCTTCAATGCGCTACTGCTGCCCGAGCTGGAAGAAAATGGGCAAGGAAGAAGTACACGCGCCCCCAAGACGCCGTCGTGGACGTGGCAGACAACAGACAATGGTGCCGGGGCCGAGGACCAAGCAGACCCAGCGGCCTTCTTGCATCTTCCCCTCCTTCTCCTGCGCATGCCCGTCCCTCTCAGAGCAGCCCTCGTCGACTTCCTCGCCAGCACCTTCGACTGCCGCGTCAGCCCGCTGCGTCTGGGCACGCGAAGTATTGTGCACAGCTGGGAGAGCTGGCTCGCGGAGAGCGGACTGATCAACCGGAGTACGCTCAGCAAGGACGTCGCTCTGACACTGGGCTTCCATGTCGAACCGCCGGAAAGCAATTTCGGAGATCAGACAGCAGACCACAGTCTGGAAGAGACGGTTCAACTGGGACTGAAATCCATCGATGTCATTGTCCCGGCGGACGAGGTCTATCGGTTTCTGCGTGCGGGGGACAGAACCGGCCATCTGGCCAAGGAGGGCGGTAGAAAGAGGGGAGCAGACGACGACCTGTCAGTCGAGCGGCAGAAGCGAAGACGACGGAAGCTCGCAGGCGGCAGAGACGAAGAGGGCTGGGGATGGCGCAGCAGCCAAAGCGACAAGACCCCTGCTCCAGATTCCGTCAACGAGTCCTTCGACCAGCCATTCACGGAGGCATTGGCTCGGTACATCGACCACCACCTGGCCCTGGATATGTTCCACCCGGGCGTCAGGATCCTGCGGATCGCATGCAGTGGCTTCTCGCTGTCCGAGGGCCGGGTGAAGGTCTTCAGCCCAGATGCCCATCGAGATGAAGATGGCAGCAGTGCCGCTGTTTGGGGCTTTGTGAGAGACCTGGTGCGGAAGGCCAAGGGCAGGGAGTGGAGTCCGGATGCGATGCAGCTTGCGAGCCTACGAAGCGATGTTGTGTAAGAGCTCGGCTAGTCGCCCAACATGGCCGTGTATGATCTGCACCATGTGAAAATCCGAAGATGATACCTTCAAGGCTGCAAACAATCCCACGAGATTCGTAAGCAGTAATTGCAATGGCCTCTCAACCACACGTAAAGAAGTGAATAGAAAGCAAGACAAGGAAGCACTTGATCCCTGATGCTGCGAGTTTCGCCAGGTCCGTCCGTCATACATGATCTCTTCATTGCCAGGTACCCCCGTCCGGGATCTGGTGGTGGTATATAAACATTTGGCCAAGCGGCCATACACGATGATGGAAAGCACTTCAGCCAACGCATGCTTGCTCGAGAAGTCTACACACCAGGGGGTATGAAACACCAAGAATGCCAATACCGATCAATGCCCAATGCCCGCCCATCCTACACAAGGCGCCCAACGCGCCAAGGACCTCCGATTCTCCAGGGTATCAGTTATTGCACGATCGTGTCAATGCCACCGAGAAACCTTCGCACTCGCCCGACCTCGAGATCCCCCTTTTCACTTTCGACCGCCCGTAGCAGACCTTCAATGGTACTGTCGATATGATCTTCCGTTTCTCCCGTACAGAGTGCCACGACTCGTCGATATTTCATCTCAACGTCTTTGCTCCGGCTCTTGAGCGATGCCACTCCGTTCTTCGTCAGCTCCGTCCGGTTCCGGAGAGCCTGTATGCGCGCTCGTAGGACCGTGGCGCTGGGTAATGTGTCTACAGTCGGTGGATCTCCGCCATTATCCTGGGATAGAGACTTCAAGTCCTCCTCCCACGAGCCGCTGGCATTTAGATGGCCATGGCTCTGCTCAAGGCGCGCTAGACGCTTTTGCTCTTCCTCACGGCCTCGACTGAGGTTGAATATTTTTTGGCGCGTCAAGGACTGGGATTTGGCTGCCGATTGCAAAGACTCCAGAGTCCGTCGAGCATCGCCCAGCTGAGTCGACGTCGAACGTAATGAGGCATGCAAGGAGTCCAGATCCGCCTGCTTCTTCTTGAGGTCGCAATGGAAACTGCTTAAAGTCTCATTCAAGAGGTGGGTGATTGCTATTTGCTGTTAGCACTGTTCAAAGCAGGACGAGATTGAGCTGATTTGCGGAATAACCTACAGGTGATGATCGAATCACTGCTCTCTCGGCTCACATGATGGTTGGCGACCCTCGTCTTGTCGGCATCATCTACATCGCCATTGACACCAGCCTCTCCATCCTCAGCACCCACTCCGAAGTCGGACGGCTTCAGACCAGCTGCGTTGGCAATGTTGGCATCAGCGCCCACCTCGAGCAGTTGAGATATTATACTCCGGTTCCCGATTCGCGACGCAATGCTTAGAGCGGTATCTCCCGACTTGTCCTGGGCGTTGACGATCTCGCTCATAAATCTTCCGATTCCCATTTTCGGCGCGGGCGTTTCGCCATTGACCGCCGTGTTCTGACTACTCGGTGCACTGCCTTGCCTCACGACCCATTCGAGAAGGCTCTCGAGGTAATACCTACTGGAATGAATTCGGCCCTTGACGGCACTCGTCAATGCGATGTGATGTAGGACAGTGCGGCCCCTGTTGTCCCGTATTTCGATCGTGTTGCCCAGAACATCAAGTAGTTCAGGAAACGAGACCTGCTCAGAATTATTGGTGACAGCCGAGGCTCTCATCAGAGCTGTCTCGCCCGAGGCATTGACTCTGCAGGGATTCGCTCCTGCCGATATTAGTACCCTGAGCAGTGGTATTCGAGCTAGTGTGGCAGCCCAGTGAAGGGCAGTGTGGCTCGAGGCGTCGATCGGTGTATCGAGATCCACGGGGCTCAAGGCCCGGAGTGCTTCGTGTTGAACGGGATCAAGATCGTTGGCGCCCATATCCAAGAATAGGCCCATCAGTAAGTTGCGTTTCCGGTCCGACTCGGGGGAAACCTCTTGGGGTAAGGGACGCAACGGGACGACATCTGTTTCATAGATATTGATGCCGGCGTATACGAAAGATTCATTGGGTTCGGTCGGCGAGCCAGGGAAATTGTTAGCGTACATCTCCATTGACTGAGACGTGTATTCAAGGCTTTCGGCGGGAGTAACGATACGTTGACGCTTAGGCGGCGGCTCGTTATTGTTCATATTCTGTGTATTTTGTTGTGTCGAGTACGCCGAGTCCACGTTCTGGCCGTAGTCGGAGTTGAAGCTCTGTTGCGAGTTTCCGGGGAAGTCACCCACACTCTGCATCGAAGACTGTCGACCGAAGCTGGGCGGCCTCGTGAGCCCGTTGCGACCCCTTGGGCCCGGTGAGTCGAAACGAGCCTTGCTGATGGCGGCGACCGCATTCGAAGCAGTACTCGAGATTTTCATGAAGAAGGTGCCCGCCTGGCCATTCGTCCGCGCATCGTTGTTCGAACTAAGGTTGCGTTTCCTCTGAGCGGCCATGGCCTGTTCCTTGGTGGGGGTGTTAAAGTCGCCTTGACCGGGCACGCCTCCGTCGTGACCCATATCGTATTCAAGAAGGGGACGCAGAAGCTCCCTCACGCCGTAGTGGTCGCACACCTCGACGCCGCGTTCGAATCTAATCCATGTCCCCTGGTATTTGCCATAGCCGCCCTGAACCTTCTCGTGTTCGCCCGTCTGGATCTCCTTCTCAAGAATCTTGGTCCGCTTTCCCTTGTCGATCTTGGCAACCTTCAGTATTTGGGTAGCGTTCAGCCAGCTGTCGCTTCGTCGGCGCATGACGGCAACATTGTTGACCTCCATCTCATATACTTCCACGTTGGAGTAAACAGCCTATAAAGACTGTCAGCCAATGCGCTGTTTTGAGGCTCCAGGGCACTAGTGGGTTCGTTATTGCCTGCTTACCTTGTATATCTGCGGGGGTTCTTGACTTTGGGCCATCCTCTTGCCGTGGTCAGGCAATTGATGTCTGAATTGTTGCGATTGGCTCATGCTGAAGGACTGTTGCGAAGAGGGTTGTGATTGCGACATGTTGAGATCCCTAACTGCTGCTCAGGTACCGATTTGCTCGAGGTTGGAGGGAAGAGATCGAAGCGGAAGCGGACACGCCGTCGGGGAATGCAGCTTGTTGGTGTTGGATGGCGGCGGTCGAGGCCATGGGCGAGCTGTACGGTACTACGAGGTGTGTCTACCTAGACATGACCAGGCGCCAGTTGACAAAGAAGCCGGCGCGTACGCTCCAATTGTGACGATACCGAACGGAAGGACTCGATGGGCGGCAAGACTCTGCAGGGCATGCATATGCGGGAAGATAATGGGATTGTTGTGCCGAAGTAACGGGGTATACGACGGTATAGATGTCTGTCTGGAGTCTTGGTCACATAAGGCGCTTGTATGCAAGGCAGTCAGGCCGGTCGTCAAGAAAACGGGTGCAGCTTGTATGGTCGATCAGGAATACGTCAACGGTATAGAAAGATCGGTATGGTGTGTGAGAAGTACGTTGATACCGAGGTATTGAGTTTTTGCGCAATATTAGCACCTGGGAGTAGTATACCGCCGGGTGCTTCTGACGAAGGCTTCTGCTTGCTGGTGTGCAACTTGGTTGGCGCACAAAGTCAGTCGTTTCTCGTTTCTCGTGGCAGCTTGACGGTCAATGGCAGGCGTCTCGAACAGGAAACTCAATTAAAGGGTAAGAATTGGGAATGGTGCTGCCGGCCGGAACGAGGGCGACGACGTGTCAGTTTCGTGTGTGTTCACGCACAAAGTCGTGTCGGTAGTGGTAGAGAGGGGAAGACGGAGCGCGGCGCGTAGCCAGAGGCGAGTTGATTGGATGACCTGCAATCGGAAGCGAGATAAGGCGCTACCTGCATCCAGCACGGACGCACGGACCGCCTCTTGTTCCATCTCATGGCAGTGCATGGGTATGTAGGTGCAGGTGCACTCAGGCATCAGGTAACATGAGTGCCTGTGATACCTTATGTGATAACTGTTGAATACACGGATGTTGATTGATGCTATTGATTGTTCTGCTCTGCGTGCAGAGATTGATCATCTGTCTTCTTGGTGGGTCAGATGCCCTGTGCGTCTCTGCCCCACTGGAGATCTTCCGGTGTCTATCTCCGGCTCCCATTCAACAATAACCTCAGGCTATGCCTGGCATTTACGAGGCGTTTATATACCTAAGGTAGTCGGGTGGCTTTATTTTCACATGCAGGCTTCCGTTTAAGAGGAACAAGCTAGCCTTGCTCTCTTTTATTTTAATCTTATCAAGCTTATAACAAGCTTAAAACCTGTTTAACGGCGGATATTTAAATTATAATTACGGTTTATACTATTTTAATCTTAATTATCTTTAATTATATGTAATTTTAATAGCTGGCCTACCTTTAAGAAATGTTACAATAATGTTTAATACATTTATTTATTTTATTTCAGAGGTTTATCAATTTAATACAATGGTAGGACTAATAACGTAGCTTGTAACGTGGTTAATAATCTAGGTGTTTTACATATAAAATATAAACTTTCCCGTCAAAAATCAAATAAAACCACGTACTACCACTTAATATGTTTATATATATATATATTCGATATATTTGATTTCCGATATTTTTTTATATCCTAACTGTTTAAACTAAGCAGCTCTTTTTTTACTTATATTTTAACAGCTTTATTATAATGTAATTCTTAAATAAATAACTGTCTTTAAATAGGCTGTATTCTAATTATCTTACCGATCAATTAAATGATTCAAAATTACATAGTATTTTTATATAAGACTTGATCGTTAAAACTAGTTTAATAATGGGATATTGTTAGTTAATGTTATACGAACTTTATCATTAATTATATTAATATTAAATATTAAATAATTAAGCCTATTTATTTATTTATTTATTTATTTATTTATTTATTTATTTATTTATTTATTTATTTATTTATTTATTTATTTATTTATTTATTTATTTATTTATTTATTTATTTATTTATTTATTTATTTATTTATTTATTTATTTATTTATTTATTTATTTATTTATTTATTTATTTATTTATTTATTTATTTATTTATTTATTTATTTATTTATTTATTTATTTATTTATTTATTTATTTATTTATTTATTTATTTATTTATTTATTTATTTATTTATTTATTTATTTATTTATTTATTTATTTATTTATTTATTTATTTATTTATTTATTTATTTATTTATTTATTTATTTATTTATTTATTTATTTATTTATTTATTTATTTATTTATTTATTTATTTATTTATTTATTTATTTATTTATTTATTTATTTATTTATTTATTTATTTATTTATTTATTTATTTATTTATTTATTTATTTATTTATTTATTTATTTATTTATTTATTTATTTATTTATTTATTTATTTATTTATTTATTTATTTATTTATTTATTTATTTATTTATTTATTTATTTATTTATTTATTTATTTATTTATTTATTTATTTATTTATTTATTTATTTATTTATTTATTTATTTATTTAATGCCATAAATTAAATAGTTTCTTTTTTCCAGTTAAATATAGTTCAAATTAAATGAATATCGATATTTAAGGACGTAATAATTTCATTTAAGTGGTATTCACACTCAATCTTTAATCGTTACGGCTATGTAAAGCGGTAGATTAAACGAACACTTATTGGCCTTATTTCGATAAAAGTACGGCAGATTAATTTATCGTTTCAAATGACGTCGATTTATTCAAAACAAATCAATTTTAATGATATTTATATTTAAAATCAAATCGGTACATTTATTTTAAACGGTAAATATCAATTCGATGCTTTTGATTAAATCTAGCCTTTTTATAATAAGCCGATACCGTTATTGTAAAACGAGATAATCTAGATTTGTATTATTAATATATTTTATTTTTTGTTGGAACAGGCTTGAACGATCAATCATAAACCTCGAGTATTGGGTCAAGGTTATGATGTTACTGATAGTTGGATTGGGAAGTCTAGCTGGACCTGCAGGTCTGGCTAAGTGACCTCACAATCTGGTATATAACCTCTTATCTAATCATACATGTGGGTTCTTTATGGATGGTTTGACTGTGGAATCACATGGATCCAACAATTTTATTTATTAAACCCGCTTTGTGTAATATCTCTCTCAATTAAATATTTCCTTCTAAATATTTCCTTTTAAATAGTTTAAATTTAATAGTTTTCGATATTAAAAGACGTCATATTCTCCATTTATATAACGTTTACACTTAATATTAAATCGTTATACCCGCTTAGCTTAGTATATCTTTCGATTAAACTAATCTTTTTAATAAAAAAACCTTGTCAATATCTTTTAAAACTATTACGAGATATTTTTTAAACATAAGACCGACTTTTAAAAACGCGACAATTTAAAATTACCTATTAATTATATTTAATCTGTAATCGTTATTTTTATCAAGTTGGCGTTAACTTATCTTGGAGATATATATATATATATTTATTTTATTAATCTATCTATTTATTTATTATAACATTATAAACTAACCTTATTATTTAATAATACAAACGGGACGATTATTATTTATATAATATATATATACGATATTAGACTATTCTCACTAACTTAGCTAACACTTATTGTTGGAACAGGCTTGAACGATCAATCATAATACTCGAGTATGGGGTCAAGGTCATGATGTTGCTGATGGTTGGATTGAGAGGAATCTAGCTGGACTCGAAGGTCTGGCCAAGTGCCCTCTCAATCCACTATCTTATCTTATCTAATCATACATATGGGTCCTTGTATAGATGGTTTGCAGTCTGAAATCGCATGGATCCAACACTTATTAATTAATAACTTATCGATTTTAAACTAATATTTTTTAGACTATTTATAATAAAAACAACCGATTTCAATATTAAGTTATATATAAATACGAATTATGTATATTAAGCGTTATTTCTTTTTATATTTAAGTAAAAAATAAGGAGTAATCTTTTTATCACTAGTTAAAAAAGCAATAAAAGAGATTTATACAAATAACAAAAGATTATATATATATAAAGGTATATATAGCGATATTTTAATTTTTCCAATTATATTATAATTTATAGTTACGAATATAATCGAATTTATATTTCATAAAGGTTACTCGTTTAAGTCGCGGTGAGGTGAGTTTCTTTTTTCATAAATGAACTGTTTATACGTTCAAAAACAAATGTATTAAAGTGGTAGTATAGCTAGTAACGTGGCTAATAATATAGCTAATAGTTAGGGTGTTTTAAATATTAAAGATAGATTTTTCGGTCGAAAACTAAATAAAACCACGCATTACTACTTAATTCGTAAACATTAATTTAATTATTTACTTAAGGTTTTTTAGTTTATGTTTTAACTTTTCAAGTTAAATAACTTTTTTTTAAACTTATATTTAAGCAGCTTTATTACAATCTTTTTTATAAATATTATTATACTATTTATACTATCTTTTTTCTTTTCTTTTATTAAGGTATTATTAAGCTTGTTATTATTAACTAGTTATTATTATTTAAAGCGTTAATAACTAGCCGTTGTGACGGTGTACAGCCGTATCCACTTTGATGGATGGATGTTTAGTCATCAGGTCACGTGTAGATTAGATAAGGAACGGGACCACCACATAAGGTAGGTGTACGCACCATACCTTGGCTGGCTTCCCTTTCCTTCCTCACCTTGTTATTTTTGGAATATAACACCAGATTCTGACACAACGCCGCATGGAATGTGACAGCTCTTTTTAATTAAAACGTTATTAATTAAAGCGTTATCAAAAGAAATATGTTAAATAAATAAATATGTTTTAAAATCGTTATACGTTAAATGTGAAGTTCAGGGGTTCGGATGATGTGATGGTTGCTACGTCGCTACCATTGGTGATGGTCCTGGGATCACGTGACAGCACGTGATGTGACGGCTGTGGCGGCCTGCACAGACCTTCCCACATGACAAGTGGATACCTCCCAATAGGGGAAGGATCTGACCAGAGGATCCCCTTAAAGGGGCA